AAAAAAAAAAGGGATACATACCACGCTACCGTATTGTCCAACTTCGTTGGCCAGGAGGGCGTATGTTACGAGTCGTTCCACGGCCCGATACTTTTACCTGACGTTTTCCCTCTTTCCCCCGTCTCCCCGGTTTAGCCCGTATTTGTTATTCCCACCATATATATATATATATGCCAGTACACGTATTGTAGGAAGGGGTTTTCGCAATCGACCAAGCCTATAAGCCTGTCAGCGACTGTGCGAACCTTTCGTGAGAGAAGTGACTTTCGCCACCCTCTCACCAAATCTTGAGTCCTTTCCCAATGGTATCAAATCAGTGGTCGATTACTCCCAAGGGCTTAAGGTCGGCATATATTCTGATGCGGGGTACCTCAATCGTTATCATGTCGTCAAGACGAGACAGTCTATTAGACTGCGGCTTTGCTCCAGGAAGTTATTGCTATGTTGACGTAAGTTATAACATAACACTTACAACGTACGGATGCTCATCATCGTTTATAGGAAGATCAAGATATTGCTACATTCGCTGAATGGGGCATAGACTTCCTGAAATATGATAAGTGCGTAGCTTCGACTACCGATAAGAAAATTCTTATCTTCAATGATGCTTTGCACAGACTGCGGGGACGCGATATTCGCAAGTTCCAGTTGCTAGTTCCGCCAACGTTGAGCCACCTCAAGTTCGTCTCGGACGTAAGATTCGAGAAGGAATAGGCTGGGCCCGACTCATTCCTGCGGTTTCTAGGGATGCGGAACGCCATTTCTTGTTTTAATCGTGGAATGGTTTATTCTATGCACCAACGGGTAACAAAGGTCAAAATGTCAACAATGTCCATGTGGATTCTAAGCTCTCAGTTCCCTTCGTTTGTGGCGGAGGCCATTGGACACACATATTGCATGGTGGGCGATATCAATGCATATTTCGGAGACGAGGCGGGACATCAAGACTGCCAATGCGCCAACACAGCTTACTGTCTGAGTACAGACTGTAAGAGTCGAATTTTGCACAAATGGATTCAATTGCCTAATTTTCTTCCGTAGACGCTGGATGCCCCCCGTTCTAGCATATATCCGTAAGATGCGTGAAATCGCACAATTCCTGAAATCTTTTTCTTTGGCTGACACGGATATGCTCGAGTGCGTCCTATTCTTTGGCGATAACACGGCGTCACCTGTGATGGTTGATATATGATCGGACAAATCACAACTGAGACGGGAAAAAACTCGGACGTATTTTGGATTTTGGGCACTGAAGTCACCCTTGGTCCTGGGTACGATTTATCCATCCTTTTCGGTGATAGGCTGGATATTGTGGAAAAAAAAAGGACGTGATTGCAGTGGATCAGGATTCGCTTGGGAAAGCGGCGGCCTACATCGAAGCAGCAAGTCAAGAGGATGTACGTCAGGTTTGGAACGGTCCCTCCGACGGTGATATGGTTGTTTTGTTGTCTCCGACACGTCAAGATATGTCCGTAGAGGTTTCCCTCACAGACGATTTGAGTTCAGGTTATGAACTATCCATCAAGGACTTGTGTGGGAAGGCATGGTGTAATTCCGGTCGATGATGGACTCTCAGGATTCCAGTTGCGTTGTAAAAATTCGACAGGGGAGTTCCATGGCATACTTACATTCCCGTGCTCACCACTAAGTCCGTTCTTACAGCTCTTTCCTGATGGCGAACAGAAAGATGATTTCGGCAGAATAGAATAGTTACCTGGGAGCGCAGTGACCCAATAACGTCAATCTGGAAATTTAGAAGGTGAGGCCTCGAGGAGTAATGGGAAGCGATATCTCCTGTATGCCGGATATTAATGATCTAGGCAGACAGTTACCAAGAAGAGCGACGATCGAGAAGGTTTGCTACTATTTTGAAACGCGTCGTTGCCGCTGAACCAATTTTTGACTCGTCGGGTAACGTTAACTGTATGGCTTTCGAAGTAGCTGCGCGTGCTAACGCCACTTTCGCCGATTCCGAGGAATACTCCTTCTCTCTATTTTACCGTCGTTCATTCCTTTCTGTTCACCCATGTCTCGTCCACGAAGGGTTGATACTACGTCCACTACAAGCCTCCTTCACTCGGCTGGTCCATCACAGACATTCCGACGAGAATCGGAATGGGTGTGTATTTTTTGTACCTTCCTCGGCCCTACGCAGGTTGACTTTATTTGATAGGGAGAGCTGCCATCGCCATACCCCTCTTCGACCATCTCCGGCTTGTCTATATCAAACCAGGTATTTGCTCTTCCTAGTATATTTTGGACCAGAATGGCCAGCTAACTGCTCTGCTTGCAGTTTTCACTTTCTGCGGACCCGCGGGCGTGGGGCTCAAATTTGTCGCCGAACGTAACAGAAGCAGACGATGAACTACACAATCCTATAGCCCGAGGAGGGAAGTCATTGGATGACGAGGGATTCTCCTTTTTTTCAAGTCGAGGAATGGCGAATTTTGGTTGCTTGTTTGTTCTTTGCGCAGGAATGTTGACAATGTTGTAAGTATATTATCCTTCTTTTTTCTGGTCTCCTTGACTAACTCATATAGCGTCGGGTATCCTATCCTCACATATGTGCGGGAGCAGAACGACTCAGTAGCATCGATTCTAGGTGTCAATGCGTCGGGACAGGTGCGTCATCTTGGATTGTTTGATGTCCGCCGGCTCACACTACCTTTAGGTTCCGGATATAGGTAACTTTGGCTTAATAGACGTGCACACTCCAGACGATGCCCAAACTTTCACTTCATGGCGCGATGGGAAGGAGTGGCGTCTCGTCTTTTCTGATGAATTTGAGGAGGAAGGGAGGACATTTTATCCCGGTGATGATCCTTACTGGGAAGCCGTCGACCTTCACTATTGGGTGCGCCCGGGTCCTTTTAGTGGAGAAAGATCCTCATTGTCTCGCAGGAAACCAACAACATGGAATGGTACGATCCGGCCGCTATAACTACAAAGAATGGTTCTCTCGTTATCACGCTATCCGCAAAGGAGACACATGGCCTTGATTATCAAGGGGGTAAGAGAAGTCTTAAGTTGGTCCTGGGCCTGATGCTAGAACTGACACTGGGTTGCAGGACTTATACAGTCATGGTAAATTTGCCTGTCCATTCTCAGAGTGTCGAAAAATTTTCTCATAGCGATTGAACACAGGAATAAGTTCTGTTTTACTGGTGGATACCTGGTTTCGTCTGTCCAACTTCCGGGAATCAACAATGTTGTTGGGCTATGGCCGGCTGTATGGTCTATGGGAAATTTAGGACGCGCGGGATATGGTGCCACGCTTGACGGCATGGTGCGTCATCAACTTCATTATCCTTTGACAACGATATGGAAACTCGTTGCAGTGGCCTTACACGTACGACAGTTGCGACGTTGGCACAGCACCCAATCAGACAACCGATGGGCTACCAGCAATAGCTACAACGAGTGGCTACGAATACTCCAACTATGAATTATCATACTTGCCGGGACAGAGACTATCGCGATGCACTTGTTCTGGAGAAAGTCATCCAGGTCCAAAGCACAGTGACGGTACCTATGTGGGAAGATCCGCTCCCGAAATCGATGTGTTTGAGGCACAAATCAGTGACGGCAGTGGTCAAGTATCTCAATCTGGACAATGGGCAGTACGTGCAGCTCTGATAGCAACACACAAATGATGAGTTAATCGTTTACCAGCCATTTAACGCCGGATACGTCTGGGACAACAGTTCGGATAACTTGATCATTGCAGACACTAGTATATCCACGCTCAACACATATACCGGTGGGTCGACACAGCAGGCAACTTCAGTGGTATCGGAAACGAATCAGGAGTGCTATCAATTGGCATCTGGGTGCTTTGCGATCTACGGATTCGAGGTGAACTTCTTTCAGGCTCATTTTTCCCTCGCAAGCTGATTGGGTTCTAGTATAAACCAGGTGAACTATCTACCACTCTAGATACGATGTGGCACTCATTTCTTTCGAAGGATATGAGTCAGACGACGCTGTGAGATTTCTTTGGCCTTCACCATTAAGCCAGTATAATACTCACGCCATTTGTTCAGTATATTTCCTGGATCAATGATGGCAAGGTCGCTTGGACACTAAATGCTGCTGGTATGGGGGCGGATAGCGCCACTGAAATATCTGCTCGACCCGTACCAGAAGAGCCCATGGTCAGTGAATGATTCCCAATATTTAGTGCACCACGAGTTAAAATATTCTGTTTCAGTACATCATAGCTAACTTGGGCATGTCCACCAACTTCGGAACTGTCGATCTAGATCATCTCACGTTCCCTGCAATCATGATGATAGATTATATTCGGGTTTATCAGGTTGGATTCAGCATATTTAAGGGTGCATGATTTGTCTAACACGCCACCGTCTTCCCAGGACCCAGACAATATCAACATTGGATGTGATCCGGACGGCTTCCCTACGGCGAAGTATATCGCAAGGTACGTTCCATTGGTATTTCATTCTTACTACACTAACGACAAACCTACTTCTCTCAGTTACAATGAAGCATATGAAAACCCCAACTTGACGACATGGGTAGATGACTACGGTCAGACCGTCCCTAAAAATTCGCTGCTTGATGCATGCTAGATCATTTATTTTTGTATTCGTCATGCATATGGACGACACATTAACGGCAGTAATGCATTATAATCGCTGGAATTCACGCTGGATCACTCGCTAACCAGCGAGTATACCCTCTACTACCCCCACTACCTTACCATTTGTCGGTTACATGCAACCCCACAATCTGTATCGATATATATATAGGACTATTAGGTCACATAGATGACTCATTCAATCTTACAGCTACAAAACACTAAAAGGATCCACGCGAAAATAGATAGTAAGATTCCAATGTTTCATCTAGAAATGGCTTTGATCCACGCTTTCTTGATGCCATATTCAACGACTTCACCAGCACACATAGGACTCAAACTGGTCTCGCTTTTGTCTAGGACCACCGTTTTCCTACGGCCCTTGACAGGCTTCACCCTGGCTGCAGCAGTAGTGAGGCACTGCCCTAACCATTGCTCCAAATCTATGAGACACTCATAATACTCCTGCTCTGTAAGAGCGTTTGATGCAGGAGAGACTGTCTGGCCTCGGCGTCCTGGAAGTCTGATTCCCTTGAAGCGAAGAAGCTTGACCAATAGATAATGAAGCCACTGAGCGGCATTATTAATCTGACATGCTACAAAATCGACTGTGCTAACTCACCATGACATTCGTCAACGGCTGAAAAGATTCCCACTTGCCATTGTTTTGGTCCCGCATCATTCGATATATATCGAATTGATAGTCACCTACGATAATTCGTGTTGGAAAGACTTCAAGTTATTCTAGGAACACGTACCTTCGCCTTGGAATATCTCTTTATCGAAAGGCGTCCAATGGATCATCTCACCGCCACAACCGTCTCCAGCGTCCATTCGGGATAGTCCAAGATCGATCAAAGTAACCTGCACGCCATGAGACTTGTCATCCATGGGTGCACGAGCCCTCTTGGCGGGCTTCCGGTTCTGAGATTGCGCTTGAAGAGGTAATGCGGTTGGCATTGGAAGATCCTTCACAAGAATTTGACCCCAATGAAGATCTCGATGCTATTGGTTTATTAACATAATAAGATGTTAAGGACATCTGTGATTCACCTCAAAAGACACCAGCTGTTCTGCGTGCGCCAAGGATTTCGCAACTTGCCAGAATATACTGCAAGCCTGTCGCCAACCTATCTTTGTCGCATTTCTGAAAGTGTAGGACTCAAGATCTGGTCCGCCATTCGGCAGCACTACAATAGCATAAACCTGGGACAATGTGAACGTATCTGTGAGAACCTTTTAGGTGCAAAGGCATCACTAACTAGAAAGTTCGACGAACCTGGACGTATACTTTCCGAGCCCTTTTGCTGGTTGTACTCGTCCCACAGGCGCAGAAGCTTTTCCGGATACCGTCCCTTAACAACGTACGCTTTCATCAGCTTCACGAAGCCGTCGTAAACCTCGCCCATTGCACGTGTGACGATAATCTCCTTAAGAACATCTCGGACGTCTGTAGGCGCAGGCTGATCGACATCCACAGGAGGCAAGATGGGCCCCATAGCTCCACCTCGGTCTGCGGAAGCTGACTCGTCTCTTATAGGTATAACCTTAAGCACGACGTTGCCAATTCCAAACACTTCCGAGTAACTCGCTTCTCCCACTTTGCGAAAATGGAGTTTAGAAGAAAGCTCGTTAGGAGAGGACAAAATGGGATCAAATGGAAACGTAGATATGAACGCAGAAAATTCATGTAGTCCGCATTCCTCTTGATTACATTCCCTCAAAAGAGGACGGAGGTAGTCAGGCACACCAGGCGCAGGGGCATCGACGGCACCAAGGTCATGCTCACCTAGGGACAAGTTGTTGAAATCAAAATCAAGTTCAGAGGTTGTCGTTGGCGACAGAGGAGAGGGAGGAGCAAAAATTCTGTTTTTGCTCGGTCGAACGGGTGTCAGTTGACGGGGTTTATGGACGGGAAGGACACCAGGCTGATATCGGGCGGGCGCTAATATCGCTGGAGGAATGTCTTCTGTGAGATCGATGTAGACTCGAGTGCTTGGTACGTTACTCGATGACTTAGACGTGCCGACTATGGTAGCATCCGCCTCCGGACGAGAAGATACTCTGGAAAGTTGGCGTCCTACTCCACGAGTGGCATCACGTCGGTCATGGACCACGGCTTTCTGGGCATTTCTGACTGTGGGTCGGCTGGGAGGTAGGGGCTTTGGTTTTCGAGCGGGACTATAGGAAGAGGAGAAGGAATAATCACTATCGGATCCTGATTGAGAACCAGAATCATCCGAAACGACAATAACGCGATTCTTTAGCTGACGGGGCTTTCGCACCGCGACAACATCAGAATCACTACCAGATTCATCCATTGGTTTGGTATCTGTCCGCGAGACTCTCCTTTCTTTCTTCAGCGTCTGGCCTTGATCGTCCACAACCGTAATATCCATTTCGACGAATGGAGTGAACGGTTTGCGTAGCCCCGATGGACCAGTTGGAGACAATGGCTTCTTCCAGTTCTTGGGCAGGATAGCTGGGGATCCAGGTCCATTTGGATGAAATATAGCCAATGGTGTCCGGGCAGGAGTATCACCTACGATGTCTTTGAGTATCAAGTTTATCCGTTTTGGAGGTGTTTTGGGTGAGCGCTTCTTCAGTCGCGGTATAACAACCTTTGGTGACGATACCTTTCTTCCCTTGACAACCAATGGTACCACATTCTCCCTATTCCTGGTGCTGGGAACAACTGACTCCAGCTTGGGTGGTGTCGGATCTAAGTCGTACCCTCCACGCCTTCTTTCCTCAGATGTTATATTGACGACGCGCTGCCTACGCTTTCCATAGGAGGTGACCTTTTTCGTACGAGACCCAAGCATAATTGATATTGCAGCAAGCAGAAATACTGCTGCGACTGCGAAGGCGAATGATAGCAAAATGAGTGAAAGTATAGGATAGAGGGTGACGACTGGAAAATGGGTAAGATGGTAAGACAAATTGAAAGAGGCGGTAGATCTTACCTTGGATTCGAGGCAAATGTCGTGGCGGTAGAACGCCTGTCCCAGTTCCGACGACTCAACAAACGCGCCGCGCCAATCACATGACCGTAATCGGAAGCTCATGACAAACAAATAAATCCTCCTTCTGCTCTCATGTCGTTGCCTCAGTCACTGCGAACGTCTGTCACACCACCTGAGCTCGAGCTCATTGCGTGTCAGCAGCTTGTTGAAATTATACCTCTTATTTCTATGGAAAAAACTGCCTTTATCTCGGTACTTCTGTCTTCTTCAACGCGTACTTCTTTAGTTGTAACCAAGGAACTACAAGGGTGCGTATGGACCACTGCGACCCCCACATAAAGCCCAAGTTCCTCTTTGGATGGCTTTAAATCTAAAGTCAAAGAAGAAATGTCACATTGTTGCCCCAGATTGGCTGAGTGTAGGTTCGTGAGCGTTCGCTGCCACTACATTTCCTGTCCAGATAAATTTGCATTAGAATATTTGCAAGATCGACTGACCGAAGAAATTTCGAAGAAGGACTTCAGTAGCCTACCTTTCCGGTTTACCGAAATCGCCAAAGTCTTACTCGATGTGTACGTATTACTAGCTTCAGTTGGACTATCTGACAGGCGTGACAGTGCGTCGGATGACCTGCAAAACCCTGATCGTCTACGTTTATTACTCAAGGACATACGTGAGGCTCGTCAGGCGAAGAGTAGAGAAGGTCTGCGCCAGCTTGATCACAGCGCTTTGTTGGTACGCCCTATCATTTCGGAAAATTCAATGGCACGGTCTGACCTGTACATAATTTTAGTTAACACGCCTTTGCTCCATGGAAATCAACGAGATTCGGCCTTTCTTCATACAGTCAATGGGAGTATTGACACAACTTACCCGCCAGTCTACATCGGAGTCATGATGGCTTGCTAGCTCCCAGTTGATTGCCTCTACGTCCGGATATCATGCAGCCAAAAGAATCATATACCGAAATATTTCATAAAGCAGATGTGCCCGTTCATACTACGCGTCAACCAAACCACCTGACAATCCAAACTGTGGGCCAGCTCGATATGTCAGGACAACGGATCAGCTATGGCGCGAGGACGATGTTTACAGGCTAAGGTAAACAAGGACACAGCCAATGCCATTGACTGCAAGGATTAAATTAGTACTTCAATAACCCCGAAAGCTAAGGCCCGTTTTGTGATTACTTACAAGTGCTGTTCTTGCAGAACAATGCGTTCCCGGATCTGTTACGAAGGCATGAGAATCATGATCATGGTAATGCCGCTGACTAATCAGCTGTATCTCCAACACCAATGGTGGAAGTAGGGTCACAGGTGAGCCCAACAGGAACCTTAAGGTCCTGAATAATGACGCCCAAAAGCGCGAGGAGAGCTGCAACGGATGCGCTGGAAGCAGTTTGGACTGAATTGCCACATCGGATGGGCCCAGCCGTGCATCTACCAGCGGGTTCCATAGCGACCGCAAAGTTGGAAAGAGCCAGCTCGAGTATTTGATGCGTAAAGCAAGTTAAATTGTAGGTAGGTTAATACAAGAACTCTTCGCGTTTATATATGTACTACTTAAGAATGTTCTTTAGCCTTCTAGTATGTACTGTGCGACTCAATATGAGTCGCTTTGCTACGGCGGAAGTATTTATTAAAAGTAATTATAGTAAGAAGAAGGAATCATAATGAGTAAATGGACACGGTCGTGATAAGTCGTGATGTGGGAAGGAATACGGGATACGTGAGAGAATATTATGATGCCATAACAATTTTCTCAATTTTTTATCCGGCCCAAAACTGTCGCTTCTCGTCCTCACTTTTCAGACCAAAAGATGTTTGATCGCGGTAGGTAAAGAAGCGGCATTGAATTATTGAATATGGATCGCCCATCATGGCGCATTTTACCTTTTGGTTGTAATCTTCCTATGTCAGGTTTTACATTTGTACAACCCCATACAGCCCGAGTGCCAATGAAACGCCAAAGGGCAAGGCGGGTGCTCCTGGTTCTATACGCATGGACTTTCGGAAGAAGTGAATCAAGAAATTCAAGATGCTACATTCGTAGAATAATAGGATCCAGCATCAGCTCGGCACAGTTAACTAGACCCGTAAGTTCCTGTCCTGACAATCGTGAGAATCGGGTTTATGACCCAATGCATACCCGTTAAATAAGTTGCGGAAAATCCATGTGCTGTTCGTCCCCTTTAGAACACAACCATTATTCTCCTTTCACACTGGCACCGCCAGCATCCAGTTTTTGTAGAACAGTACTCAGCTGCTTCTTTAATCCAGCAATCTCGTTCAGAAGCAACTCCTCGCTCGACTGCATGGCGCGTAGGGTTAGGTCGAATACTGGCTTCAAGAAAAGGCCTACCTGAGCGGTATTGGGAAAGGCCTTGATCAGTTCTTCGAAGGAGACCTTGCTTATCTTGCGGCCATTCTCCTCAGCATCTGCTTCTGGATCCCTGCTTTGAGAATAGTTCTCGTCACCTTCATTATCACTGCGTAGCCAATCCGTCACCCAGTGGCGTCCGCGAGTCGACTCGTACAGAGCAATAAGTGTCAAAGGAAGAACAAAAACTACCCGCATCACAAATCTATTTAGCTAAAAGCTGGAGGTTTAAAAAAATCCCTGCCGGTAGAGTGACAGGTGAACGCCAGCACATACCTTGGCGTAGTTTTTGTGGCTCAAACGAAACCCTGGAATGTACCTGAAATTTGTTCAATAAAAAAGGATGTCATAAACAAAACGAAACTGACTCGAAAGGCGTGACGAAAACGATTTCAATGAGATTGAAAGGTGCAGGATAGACATAGACATCAGGTGCCCTGATCATTCCCACCGTTTTACCCGCGAAGAAAGCCAAATATTGCGCTTCTGCATCATCCACGACCTATACCATTGATGCTCAGCACAATAAAAGCATCATCCATCCAGTCATACTCACATTCTGATATGCCGATGAAAACAAGGAAATCAACACGTTGAGGAGAATTATTGCTGTCACGACATTCCAGCTAGACGAAAACAGTGATGAGGATAGATCAATAAACGATCTAAGCGTCGAACTTACAAATAGTACATCACAAGGCCGAGACTATGACAATATATTCAGCCAGGAAACGGAATATGACTGATATGATTTGGTACCTCGAGAAAATTTCGAAATTCGGAGACCTGCATTAATTTGTAAAGACCAGGATACCTGGGTAACGAAAAGCATACCCTAGAAGAGCTTGCACCAACACATTCACCACCGAAGATGGTGGGCTGGCTTGACCATCGGCCGCGTCCAAAGCCCACAAAGCCTGTGTAAAACCTAAAGCCATGATGGACAACAACTAGATCATTGTTAGAAAATAGGGCATGTATATGAGCACAGAAAAACGATTTACAGCAAAAAATATGCTTGATTCCTGTAGCATTCGAGCGATACATATTTGCATTGTGCCTATGTACCTGATCCGAAAATCAATGACGCGTGTCAGGAACTCAGATACAATTAAGTAGTACTTATAACCATCAAAGACAGTCAAAAGCTCTAACGTCGCCGGTAACGTCAGCTGTACTCAGGTACGAAGTAGTACTTACTCATCCAAATGAACGGCGACACAAAACTAAGAACTTGAAAGCTCGCAGTCCTTAGGTTGATTTGCTGCTCAGCGCCTGTTACACGCATTGCAACGACCCGCAGAATGAATGCGGCAAGTATGAGCGAATCGGTAATAAGAGAAACCATATTCCAGAACGAAAATGCACGCCAGGTGACAAAGGTCAAGAGCTTCGTGAACTAAAGCCCCATTAAACCGCTGCCACAGGGCTATGTGAGTAGAAAAACGCATACCTTGTAAATATCTACAATAATAACACTTCAACCACCATCAGAATTCAGGAAAGCGCCATGACTGACCTTCTACAGCTATAGTTAGGGCTAACAAGTAAAAGACAACTTCCCATCCATCCAAGTAGGCATTATTGAGAGGGTCCAGTCGTTCTGCTGGCTGTCGAACTGCATGAAAGGGTATATATCAGGTGATACTCGACGGCCCTTTGCTGTCCTCACCTGTCTGGCAGTAAACGAACAGAAGCACGAACCAGACAACGATACGGAGGACATTTTGATATCGCGGTACTGAAAGACGCGATGGTTCTAGATGTCCCCAGAAAGTTCGAGGATGGGTTCCGGCGTATGGAACATCTGTGTCAGCTTCAGCATCATGTCAATCCCATAAGTATGGACATACATTCAATCTCAAGATTTTCGTTATTTTTCTGAATTAGGTCTCCTTGCCAAAGCGCGTCAACGACTGTGGAGATCAGCTTCACCTTGTTGGGAACAGAAACGTATTCACTCACCATCCTGTGCTTCCGTTGAGGACAAAAATATCGTGCTGCACATTCCGATTCAGTTGAAATATAGTCCAATGCAAGGAGGACAAACCAATGCGAATCAATGGCCATCTCAAGGGCACTCGCCATGTCACTCTCGTCTCCATCCAGCTGTCGATGTTTGAAGCGTGTCGACATAAATGCATTGATCTGATCTGGTGGAGACTGATGCACAATTTTCCTAGCAAGCACTTCACATGCGATAGCTGTCACATATGGCTCTAGTTTCCGATTTCTTTTATACTGACAACGACGCACCTCTTCCGTAGTCCTCCCCATAATCAGCTGGGTTATGGTCCGCATCATACATAAATTCTGCTCGAGCTCTAAGTAAGCAGTATGGGAGCTGGTCACACGTTTTTAGCAACGAAACGCGTCTATAGGAAATATTTCACACACAGCTTCAACGAAGTCCCCCGCCGATTCACGGTACGCAGCAATAACTTGGGGTGTGATAATCCGGCTAGTAGGTTCACTAAGACTGTTCGGAGAAACTTCGACCGGTAATAGCGTCAGCGTCAGCGCACGTAGACGTTTCACTAATTCTGTCACAAGGATTGAGAAACGGGGTCAAAGATGGTTGAAACGAAAACACGGTGATGCTGACTGGTCAATGTATCCGGAGAAGGGACATATTTGACAGAGAGAAGAGACGTGTCCTCGCTATCGTCGCTCATGGTCAAGGAAGGAATTTCGGGACGGCTACAATGAGACTTAGATAACATCAGATGTTACCGTGACCATGATAAGATGGCCTGATAAAGATAAAATGTTTTTTTTTTCTATCTTTCATTCGCGCTCCCTTCAAATGGCAAACAACAAGCCCAAGTGCAAAAATCTAGTCCTCGACGCCGGCCCCTTACTATCTCTGTCACCTCTGCGGGGTTTGGCTGAAACCTATGTCACAGTACCTCAGATAATAGAAGAGTTGAGGGACAAAAACGCCCGTGAACATTTGGAACGACTGGGATTGAATTATGGGGTGAAAATAGAGGTGAAAAATCCCAGTGCGACAAGCCTTGCTACAGGTGTGTGGTATGTGAAATTTTATCTGAGCGTGACGTGAACCTTTGCAGTGATACAGTGGGCCAAAAAGACAGGAGATTACTCAGTTTTGTCCCGTCCTGATCTTTGCGTCTTGGCCCTTACCCACACACTGCATGAACAAGGAGAGTTGGAGAATGTCAACCAGGCAACAGAAGTTGTGAAGGGCACCGTCGAGGCGAGTGCGTCTCTTAATATGGCGTTTACCATACTAATTTACTGATAATAGAATAATGAACCTACGGATGCTCCTGCCGACGATAATGGCTCCAGAGATCCTTCTGATGCTTTCGAACCACCTCCCTCTGACACAGAGTCCGAATCACAAGCTGACGAACAATCAGAGAGCAACGACGTACAGAACCTGGGACCGCTCGACGTTGAGTTACAACCGATATCGACATCTAATCCCGCACGGCAGCATTCACCATCAGAAGAATCCAAAGGCGTCCGAAGTACACCTTTGTACGACGATCCATCCGATGAAGGCGACGGCGAAGGCGAATGGATTACTCCCGCAAATGTCGCTATTCACAAGTCTCGGGCTCTTGATCTTCTCCCAAGTTCTGATTCCTCTCGTCGGAAGGGCAAAGGCAAGGCCAACGAAGTGATTCCTGTTGGTTGCATGACGGCTGATTTTGCAATGCAAAATGTTCTGCTGCAAATGGGCTTGAATCTTGTAGGCACCGAGGGAAGGAGGATACAGAAGGTGAAGAGCTGGGTATTGCGATGTCATGCATGCTTCAAGTAGGTCAGATATTTTGTTCGTATGTCATTGAAACTGAAGAAGTGTACAGAATATGCAAGGATTCATCAAAGAAATTCTGCCCCACATGTGGCAATCCCTCCTTGCTACGCGCGTCTGTTACGATATCTGATCCTGGCGCATCTCCTGATACACCAGCAATGCAAGTACACCTCAAACCCAACTTCCAATATAGGATTCGAGGAACAAAGTACTCGATACCTGCGCCCAAGGCTGGATCCGCCAAGACTGGTCCTGGTGAAGGTCTGATTCTTCGAGAAGATCAAGCAGAGTACATGAGAGCTAAGAAGCGGGCTGATGGGAAACGCGAGCGTGAGGAGGCGAAGATGATGAAAGGCTTGCTTGCGAGAGGTGCCCGCGGGGACACGGGGGTAGCTGTGGGCAGCTGGATGGATCCGGATTGGATTCCCGAGATCATGAGTGCTGGAACTGGAGGTAAGGGAAGGATCATGCGAAGCGCAGGCATGGACGGAGACATGCCCATCATTGGGTATGGTAAAAAAAATCCCAACGAGCGTAAGAGGCGGAAGTAGATATCACCCGCGTCGTTCAAGTCATGGGGATTGTAATTACAGCCGCATTACATTACAGTCTATGCACCTAAACTTCTGTTCATGAAACGCCTCTTCTGGAAGGACATCCACCACTTGCTTGGCTTGCCCGTGCCGTCTGCGTATAGTATTGCGACCAGACGAGCTGCCAATTCTTGGCGGACTTGTGTCAGATACTGTCGTAGATAATCTAACGAAAGAATCCAGTCAAGTCCTGTTAACAAAACATATGACTCACCTGCATCCACCCTACTCGCTGGCGCAGCATAATGAGCATTCAAAGCAAAGTTGGCATCTCCAGGGATCGGAAAATTATCCACTGAAAGGGTATTAAGCTGCTTCGAGGCCTCAATCTGTGTCGGTGGTGTCCGTGCACTCCCGATTTTGGCCAGACAGTCAGAGACATAAAGAATGAGAACAATCAGGGTGCGGTCCGCGGGGCCTTTGATCTCAAAGTTACGGAAAAGAGAGTTGGCGCGGAATAGGTCGAGGGTTTCATCAACAATATCTGGTTGCTCTAGGTCGGCTGAGAACAACGAAGTCATCAGTGAAATGAGCGGGCGTAGCAGATGTCGTATCGCGCACCTATTTGTGCAGGCCCACGAACCTTGGTTTTGATTGGCAAGACCGCCATGTTACCGACCTGACGGATATCTGGGTCTTCATTGAACGACGAGTGGTAAGCCTAGAGTCTCGTCAGAATGGCGAAAAGGGAGCAGGACAGCTGACTTCGTACCGGCATCGATGATTGAATGTTCTGGTCCAAGCTGTTGCTTGGCTCCGCTTGCCACCACCCTTGCTCATCTTATCACTAATCTTATCTAGTACTTTTCCTTCGGCCGACACCATCGGAGCATTTCGGACATTGAGTCTTGGGACAGGAAGAATTTGCTGCTTTCTCACAAACTACATCCTCGCAATGTCTCCAAGATCGTCAGTAGCATTACCTTCCCCGCCTAACAACTCATCTTCCCTCTTTTTCCAGGTTTCGAATCGTCGTCCTTCCCGGGGATGGTATTGGTATGAATGCATTCCGGGATCCCGACGATTATTATCCATACTGAATGCTATTGCAGGCCCAGAAGTCGTCAGCCAGGCCGTTAGAGTGTTGGAACTAGTCTCTTCTTCATCGTCAGATTTCGATCTCAAGTTAGAGACACACGACTTTGGCGGCTGCGCGATAGACAAAACGGGCGAGCCTTTGCCCCCGACCACCCTCAAGGCGTGCCAGGAGGCTGATGCGATTCTCATGGGTGCGTCAAATTGGTACCCGCAGCCTTCCCACACACGTCTCATTCTCATCCAGGTTCCATTGGAGGTCCCAAGTGGGGTGTCGACGCCAAAATTCGCCCAGAACCTGGCCTTCTTGCCCTCCGGAAGACACTAGGTCTGTACGCGAATATCCGCCCGGCCAATCTCGCCTCGGAATCTCTTCTTGAGTACACACCCTTAAAACCGTCCGTCGCTCAGGGCGTAGACATGATTGTCGTCCGTGAGCTGATCGGAGGACTCTATTTTGGTACTCGCAAAGAACAGGGTGTTGAGCCAGACGTAGACACCGCATGGGACAGTATGATCTACAGTGTTTCTGAAGTTCAACGAATTACAAGGGTCGCTGCCCAGATCGCGTTGGCAGCTGACCCGCCGTTGGAAATCCACTCGATCGACAAGGCCAATGTCCTCGCGGCTTCACGTCTGTGGAGAAAAGTCGTCACAGAAACATTGTCAAAAGAGTATCCCCAGCTCAAACTAGATCATCATCTTGTCGATTCAGCGGCAATGCTAATTGTCGCCAGTCCCAAACGATTGAATGGTGTTATTCTCACCGAGAATTTGTTTGGAGACATGTGAGATAGAAAGCTGCGTGTTTGAATTATCAACTGACCATTCCATTTCCAGTCTTTCTGACCAGTCAAGTGTCATTCCTGGGTCTTTAGGTCTCCTCCCGTCTGCCTCATTAGCCGGTGCGCCGTCTGCGCCATCTGCAGATTTCAAACCGACACCAGGTTTGTACGAACCTATTCACGGTTCAGCGCCAGATATTGCCGGCAAGGGTATTGCAAACCCGATCGGCACCATCCTGAGTGCTGCCATGCTTCTACGGTACTCCCTGGGTCTGGAGGCGCCAGCGAAGGCTATCGAAACCGCAGTAAGGAAGGTCTTGGACACTCCTGAGCTAGGCGGGCATGGCTTAAGGACGGCGGATCTCGGAGGCAGCATTGGAACCACTGAGCTTGGAGATCATATCATAGAAGTATTGAAGAGCATATTGTAAAGTAAGTGTTAAGAGAGAAACTCTGTATGCATTAGACGACTTTGGAGAGGTAGCTGGGTCCTTGACACAGCGACCGTTCTTCAAAGGTGATACCTGAACTTTGCAAAGCTGAATGTTCCAGAATCAGTTGACCTTTGGTTACACTGTTAGAGGCCAGTCTAAGTAAGCTGTGGCGGGATTCGGTACTTCGCTCCTTGCAAGAATCCACGGTTATGCGAAACATTCCTGACGGTTTGCAGGCCCTGGTGAACACGCTGCCAATGCAGGAAAAAATGTAAATCGGCTGCTAATCCAATGAAATTTCATGTGCGATTCATCTGAATGTGGCGAATGTCAAGGGGAGTAACGAGATAAAGTAGGAAGCCTGTATCTGCCTTGGATTGGCAAAGCAGATCAACTAGTACTCGAATGACATATCGGCTATCATACCGGCATCCAACTACAGTAACCGGCAGGTGTGATCATCTTTATCTTGCTTACGACCATGGATTCCGAAAAACGGGCCCCTTTTCATGTCCCGTTTGCTGACCTGGGAGAACTACAGCAGGAGGACAGACAACATCGCACTTATCGTCTTCGACTGGTTCTCTTTCTGACACTTTTTTTCGCCGCGTTCATCTATCTGTGCCGCAATTCGCAACCAGTGTTCGAGGCAGAGATAAGGCTCGAGGACCTAGGTCGCTCCAGCATCAAACAGAGTAGCTTTCCCATCACAGAGAGTAGCTCTTCCATTGAGGAGTGCGAATCCCTGTTTCTGTATGTGTCACTACACTGTAATCATTGCAATGTCCACCAATCCTTCATCAGGTCATTTCCAGATGGGAAGCGCGCAGAAGAGACGTCAAAGTTGTATTCCAAGCATCCTCATCTTGCTGGATCGATTGACGATTTTGAAGATGCCAAATCTATTCTCAAGCTCTTCCAGTCAGAATTTGGCATCCCTGAAACACGCAAGGAACCCATCTTTCCTGCCGGTTCAAAGGCGTCCCGATGGTCTACCCTTAGTCTAACTTCGCACTTGGGCAGCAGCAAACCATCAGCGTGGATTGACGTGTACTATCCTGTTCTGAACACCCCGTTAGACCGAAGTTTGGATATTCTTGGAGAGGACGCTCGTTCAGTATGGAGTGCCGATCTCACGGAGGACGGTGACCCTTTGGACAAGGATGCAGCCAAGTACAGGGACTCTGTCCCAGCATGGCACGGATTAAGCGCCGACGGAGAAGCTGCAGGACAAGTAAGAAAACGTTACAAACTCGGGCTGTTGTGTCTCATAATTCATGATTCCAGCTTGTTTACGTCAACTATGGAACAAAAGAGGTTAGTCCGTTTCTTATGATCTCACAAGGTAGCGCCGGATCCGCAGAGCGATTCTCAGGATTGCCGAACACGATGCTACCGCGATCACCGTGCAGCAATCCAATAGCATCTATCATTTCCAGATGCATAGTGGTTTTCTCTTACTAAGATTAACTTTTTCAGGATTATGATGAACTGGTGGCGGCTGGTGTCGACTTCACGGGGAAAATCATTATAGCTCGTTATGGTAAGGTGTATCGAGGTCTGAAGGTACGTAGTTACGACGCGACGGTTCAAAATAAGTTCATTTTCGGCTAGATTGAACTAGGGGAAGCGCTTGGTGCGGTCGGCGCTCTCATCTACTCAGACCCTCGCGATGACGGCTTTGTGACCGTCGAGAATGGGTACGCTCCATACCCCAGCGGCCCGGCCAGAAACCCGTCTTCAGTTCAGCGCGGCAGCGTCATGTACCTTCCACTGTATCCCGGAGACCCCACCACCCTTGGATATCCAGCTTATGAAGGAGTGGAGCGAACAAATGCAACGAATATCCCGAAGATCCCTAGCTTGCCTATCTCTTGGCACAATGCGCAGAGATTACTCGAAGAAATTGACGACGGCGTGAACCCGAGACTCACTGGAAAGCTCAGTTCCTCTACGATCAAGTTGGTTAACCACGGTGAGTCGGATGTATCCAGTTCCTTTATTTTTCTCTGATGCGCGGGTCAATAGTTGATACGAAGGTTACCCCGATATGGAACGCCATGGCTGCAATTCCTGGTCACATAAGGGATGAAGTTGTTTTAGTTGCTTGCCATCGCGATGGTAAAGTCATTTAAGTCTCAAAAGAATATGTCTGACGATTTGACCCAGCATGGGTGCTCGGAGCTGCTGATCCTGTCAGTGGGACCGTTGCTCTCACTGAGGTAATTCGTGGGTACGGCGAGTTGCTTCGTAACGGATGGAAACCACTGCGCACAGGTATGATACGAGCCCTTTGCTCTGTGGCTTCGTTCTAACATTGTTGGTCAGTCGTATTTGCCAGTTGGGACGCAGAAGAGGTCCGTTGACCTCGGCGTACTCACTTTGTCTTCCAAATCACTCATTTCCTTTTTTTTTACAGTACGGTCTTATTGGAAGTGTTGAATATGGCGAGGACTTCTCATCTTGGATTGCCAAGCACGTTGTTGCTTATATCAATGTTGACGTCTCCTCGTCTGGATCCAGCTGGAATGTAGCAGGGTCACCTGCTCTAGCTCCTTTGATCAAGCGAACGGCTTTGGACATCCCCCACCCTACTATACCTGGAAAGACATTGTGGGACGCTCGAAATGACGAAGGACCCTTCCGCGAAGACAAGTTGTCTGTCAACATGACTGCTGACGTTAATGTTCTTATGGACTATGAGGCAAATAAAAAGGCCAAGGATGAGCTGACGACAGGAGTTCTACCTTTGGGAAGCGGCAGTGACTACACTGTTTTCTTACAGAGATTAGGCGTGAGTAATCCTTAGACGGAACTTCGTTCCATACGCTGATATTATTGCAGGTCTCAAGCACCGATCAAGGATTTGGCGGCACGCCTTACGATGCACCATACCACTATCACTCCATCTATGACAGTATTCAATGGCAGCAAGTGTATGCGGACCCTGGATTTCATCGACATGCATGTTTTTGCTTGCTGACACTCAAGGCTTGCGACTAATTCAGCTATTGGTTATAGATTGCAGTGGCCAAGCATCTTGGTCTGATGGCTCTTCGTCTCATTGATTCAATCATAATCCCCTTGAATACTACTCAGTATGCTCTCGAGTTGGACCAGTACCTGGACAAGTAAGCTGCTTCATTTTCCGAACGACCTGTTCGAAACTGATATTTTTATAGCGTTGAAAGGCTGGCTGTGCAAGAGGCTTCTTCGACAATCGACTTTGGAATCCTCCGACTTGCTATCAGTAAATTGCAAGAAGCAAGCAAGGCATTGGACGAAGAAAAGGAAGATGCAGAGAAGGCAAGTAAAAAGGATATGATCTCGATGCTAATTTTATACTCATCATGTCTCGCAACTAGACATTTAAAGACCTCCTTGGACAGTTCCCTTCATTGCCACCGCCTGGGCATGCCATCTGCCGTCGCCGAAGTCCATCGTACATACGGATTACCAATTGGGTCAAAGGCGTATTTGGTGTTTCTCCGTTTCCCCTTGAATCAGCGGTACAGCAATCTACCATCACAGCCGGCATTCCTAAGATTCCTCCCATTATCGAGTTCTTGAAAGCCCAGAGACGCATCAGCAAAGCTAATAAGAAGCTCATCTCCTTCGAACGAGGTTTCATCTCAGAAGGCGGAATCAAAGGTCGAGAGTGGTTCAAGCATCTAGGCGTTGCTCCTGGCAGATACCTCGGCACGTCTTTTTTTTTGCTAGAAGAAATCATTCTAAAATAATCATCAGGCTATGGTGCAACGACATTACCGGCCTTGACTGAAGCCCTCTCTCTTGACAAGAATGTCACTTTAGCACAAGAGGAGACATACCGACTAGCATCGCTTCTGGACAAATTGGCAGATAATATTATGCCTTCCCGCCATTCCAGGACCACTATCATGAACAACAAGCCTGCCATGAGTGCAACAAAGGCATCTCTTGACTCCATCACATTTTCAACCTAGAATGCTACAATCCCCGGAACGACACATGTGCATTTAGTTGTAATCATTACATCCATGTGGCCAAAATAAACCCAAGCCTGCAACCGACGCATTTTTTTTAATGCATCATGTAACTGATAAGAAGACTGATTGCTCTTCCCAGGACGACGAAATGAACTCAAGGCAACATGTTAGATCACATATGGGCAGGTTTACGAAGATACTTAGACCTGTGACTGGTCCCTTACAATTTTTGAGTGTCGATATAAGCTTCCTTGCTCTTGTAGAGAAGGTCACAGATCTAGATGATGGGTAAACTCCTACTCGGCCAAATTGCCCTAGCAGTGTACCAGATTTTTCATTCCAGCCACGGTCTGCCAAGCAAGTGCAAGTGATAATACAGTGTATCAACCATATCGAGACATTGAGGAACGGGCCATGTAGTCGCTTGGTTGATCCGCACCATTTAGTACATGTCGGAAAGAGGAGGCAGTCAGATTCCATCTCCTCAGAAATATTCATTGACCCCTAACCCTAACCTATTCTTCGGATACTGTAGACTCGATGTGAGTTCCGTCGGGAATTCAAGATCTCGTCATCCTAAGCATGGGACCTCTGTAGAATAAAGAGGCCGGGTCCTTATCGTCGTGGTCTTCCTTTCCGCACTCTATGTTTCTCAGAGCCACTGTGAGATTGTTAATAGTCTTCTCCTTCCTCGTGATCGTTCGTGGACAGCTTCATCCCCAAGCTCCAGCAGAATACAAGCGACTTCCTTCGTTACGCGAGCAAGCTGGAATTCTCAACCGTTGGACATCCGAGCGTATAACTCGCATTCCTTTACTCTTGCAAAAATATGGCATCGATGCTTGGCTGGTCAGTATTCCCGCCCAAATTTCGCAAGCAGCAGCTTCATCTGTTGATGGTAGATGTGTCAACGAGAACACGCAGAAGATACTATTTGGTGGTCGATTAAGAATGCAACTGCTTATGACGTTCACAGGAGGACGGTTGTCCTGTTCCATACCAATACTTCATCCTTACAAGGCCAGCCAAACCCTCTCGTGTGGGTCGACAATACTGGTCAGGTCTGGACGGACTTGCGTAAACAACTAACGTCCTATGACCCCAAAAGTATTGCATTAAACGTGGATCAGAATATCGCGTTTAGCGGTGGTATGCATGTAGGAGAAATGCGCGCCCTCGAAGAAGAATTAGGGCCGAAATGGATGTCACGAACAGTAAACGTTCCAATGCTTGCGATCGAGTACGTCTCCGATAAGGTATCGGGCCAAATTCAATATTACCGAGATATGCAAGAGGTTGTATGGGCTATGCTTGAAGAGGGTTTTTCCCATAAGATAGTTGATCCAGGAGTCACGACGACAACTGTATGTAATAAGGACTGGCAACAAGACGTTTTTGATCAATCTTCAACAGGACCTCGAATGGTGGTTCAGAGAAAAGATGCTAACCTTGAATGTAACAACTTGGAACCATCCTCGAATATTCATCACAACGCCCGCTTCAATGCCAGGATGGGAAGGGTCCGATGACATCATTCAAGAAGGGGACCTACTGCATATCGACATGGGTATAACTGCTTTGAGAATGAACACCGATACCCAGCACCTTGCCTATGTCCTCCGCACCGACAAAGGTGAGACCGATGCTCCCGAGGGTCTAAAAGCCGGCCTGAAGAAAGGAAACCGAATGCAAGACATCGTCCTTGAAAATATGAAAGCGGATTTAACAGGCAATGAGGTTCTCCGAAAGTGTCTTGAGCAAATGAAGCTTGAGGCTATCGAAGGACAGATATATTCTCATCCTATCGGCGACTGGGGCCACGACGCAGGGGCGGTCATAGGTGAGCATTGCTATCGTACGGCCTATGCTAAGCAGGATACAATCAATTCCATTATAGGTTTTACCAATCTCCCAGAACACGTACCTGTCCTGGGGGAGCTGCCTCTCCTTCCAAACACATATTATAGTATTGAACTCTTCGCCATCCATTTCGTTCCAGAACGGAACGAGACGTTGAGATTCCTTCTTGAAGAGAATGCCTATTGGAAAGCGGAGACTGAGACATGGGAGTTCGTTCGAGGTACGTTTTACATTGAAAATTTTTTAGAAAGCATATCGATTGAGGGTTGCGTGATAGGTCGTCAAGAAAGATTCCATCTCATCGACCAAAGGAAACGAGAATCGACGATGGTCTTCAATGTTCAATAATGTACTGAAAGTGACCACTAAGGGAACTTGATGATGATCATTTGTACAATCTACGAGAATCCATTAATGAGTAAACCGAAAAAGGTGAAAAACAACATGGCATAAAGTAGAGGCATAGAAATAGGATATCGATTATGTGACTGTTCTTCCGTACATGGCAAAAAATAGTTCGACATTAGAACATGTTGGCAAGCTTGCTAGCGGCTTCTCGTGCATCCAATCGCGGGCGCGTCGGCTGCACGCGGACTGAAGCGGACATGTACCCGGGCCTGGCTTGACCGAGAGGGTCAAGACCATTACTGTTGACATGTCGCTCCGTGGGTCGGTTCAGGGAACCACCGTGGCTTAACAGCGGATCTACAGACATCCTTGGTGGATTCGAACTAACGTTCGAAAATGACGAGGCGATTGGCGGTGATGCAAGAGGAGATATCGACGACGACGTAGACTTGACAAACATCGATTTGGTTCCATCGACAAAACGCCCACCAAGAGGCGGACTATCATCGATAGGTTGTTTTGGAGACGCGGCTGCTTCAGAAGAAAGCGACGGCGAGGACGGCCCGGCACCGGGGGATTGCGGCGGCCTGGGGGACGACGGTCCAGCTGAAGATGAAGCGAGGCGGGATATGATGCTGGCCTGAGTTGATGAAGGGGACAAGGGACGATGTGTGTAGAATTGAGACGAAGAAGGCACTGGACTCTGCAAGGATGGCGACGACTGTGGTGATGGACCCTGCGCAAGCAAGGGATCTCCATTACGTGACGCGACAGGTTGGTTCGACGGTGGAGGAGTACGAACAGTGGGATGTTGATGAACTCCGTTGATGCCAGGAGCAGGGTCGGGAGCAAGAGCGCGCGGCATAGGCGGCCTCGAGAAGTCTTCCAGTGGTGGTATTACCGTTGGTCTGGGTGCGGGTGCGGCGCTCGGAGCCACCTTCTTCGCAGCGTTATTGACATCCCCACACAAAGCTTGCAGTTCCTTCAGAAGCTGCCTTTCGTACATGATTGATGACCGAGCATGCTCGATTAAGGCAGTCGTGATATCGTCGTTAGCGTAGCGGTTGTGTGTCTGGAGTGCTCGATGTAGGTTCTGTGAGATACCCTCGGCTCTCTTAGCCAACACTTGCTCGTATTTGTTTGCCTGGCGTGGCTATCAGCTTGGTAGACTAGCATGGTTAATCTGGACTGACCTCTTCAATCTCTTCCAGAGCTTCGTCAACACGATCAGGACGGATATTAGAGCTAGCTTTGAGCCGTTCAATTTGTCGCCTCTTCGAAATAGTAGTCTTAACAGCAGCTTGATATTCCTCGAGCACACCTGTTCGCATTTGCAACGTCTCCTTTGCCGAACGGGCATTCATTCCTTGATAGCCTAACGAGTCACCCAGAATAACGCATTCACTAAGTGCTTGAGCCTGGTCAAGATCGGAAAGACTGTGCCACGTTCTCCCAAGCTTTCGCAGGGCATTTCCCAACGGCGGATGAGCTTCCGTAGTAGCAACATTAATAAGTTTGTGGCCCATTTCCGAATGTGCATTAGCAAGAGCTGCGTTTAGGTCAGGCCACCCACCACAGAACACTGAAATTGAATACACACATTTCCGAGCCATAGCTAACTTGTCCACAGCCTTCGCAGTATCGAAAAACTGCCCCTCCAGTTTCGTCAACTCGAAACGGGCCCTCTGCAGCTCTTCATCCTCATCTGGCACACCACGCCTTATCAGCCCAAACCCGCTAGACGTCTTCCGGCGTGGCCGTGGAGTTGGCTGATAACCAAAGTCACTCTCAATGAAAGAGCGAAGGTCTTCGTCGTGCAAAAGAATAGGATCCTCACACACCCGGGTTATCCACCTCTGCAGCATGATCCTCACCAGTCTATCATCCTCTTCGTCCGTCGGGGCAGATGTTTGCGCCAATGGAAGAGCAGGAACGATGGTCTGAGGGTTGCTATGCACAATAGATTCATAGAACTGTTGGAATTCGAGGTACGAGCGCGACACGTTGCGATAGGTCGTCCCAGTGAAATTCGACAGGTTCGCCTGAGAGCATGGGCGTTTAGTGGGATAAGGAGAATACAACGGAAGGTGTTACCTGTGCATCTAATCGTATCAGAATATCCCTTCGGTTTCTGTCCAACCCGGTAATCCGCACTCGAAGGTATGGTTCCGGTTTCTCGTACTTGGTACCATTGGAGCCTACTGTATCCCGAGGAGAGATAAGTCCAGCTTCTGGCTGTCCGTATATCTGAGGTTCCTTCCCGTACAGCCCAGGACTAGGCCCTTTATCAGGCGTCGGTGGTACAGGCGTCGATGCCCGTCGTAAATTGGGTATAGGAGAGTTCGGGTGAGGAGTAGTGGGCCATGGGGGAGCTTCGACGCTGCTACCTCCAAAGGCGCTGGCCGAATTGAGAGGATCGAACATAGGTATGAAGAAAAAAGGATAGAACACTCCACGACGTCGCCCAAGACAGAGATGCCTTTTTGCGGTTTTACGTAACAACGAATTGAACCTCAAGCAAAAAACTGTTAACAATACATGCGGCGTGATATAAAGCAAATGTAGATGTAAACGGGAGCCATAAAGTTAGAAAATCTATAAGCCACGAATATTGTTTATTGTCCTACCAGTAGTCAAAAATACCGAACAATAGTTCGTTATACTGAAAGTAAGAATGGTAATGGATCAGCCGCCTTTATGGCACTGGGCAGTCGGGGATGGCTAGTCGCTTCATTGTGCGACTAAGCAGAAAGTCAGTTTCTGATAAAAGGCTGATAAAATTGAACTGACTTGGCATGGAATAAACCCCAGTGTCCCTCAACACCTCCATACACTTCGTCTTTCCAAGGTTCATCAGTGAACTATAAACGTCAGATTACTTGAGACTGAGGGGTAGAGCACGAATAAGCACCTCAAAGAAGAAATATCCAGTGCCATTGGTATTTGCTTGGCAGACGAAGTCATTCAGGAAGATTTGAAGGTTAGCTTCAGACGCATCCGAAACACCGTCGTTGGCATTAGCAGCATCTGATGATTGCTGAAAATAGTCACGTCAGAACATATCCTCCCAAGAAAGGCATAGCGCAAAAGACCTACCGATGGCCATCCTGTCTCAGCTATGTACATTTTGGGTTTATTCGGTAATGTCGCGGCAGGCTGAACATTGGTTTCATCAAAGAACGTTGCTGTCCAAGACGCGGCATCTCGGATTGAGGTTTTTGCAAACCACGGATGCACATTTGCCATCTTCCAGGGCGTTTGATTATCAAGTTTCGATAAAGTTAAAAATCTCTTACCCCATAGTCAATAGCTTCCAGCACGAGATTATTGAAGTAGCTGCCAGCATCTGAATTACCGACAGGTATCTTCTTGCTCAATTTGAGGCCATCAAGCATACCACGGGTATCGTTAATGTCGGCCACCAACTGTTGACCACCTGCGAGGAAACGATAATGTGTTGTGTGGAATGTAAAAATAGAACTGACCTTTGTTGCCAACGTCACCGTTGGGATCCTCCGATCCATAGTTTTTAAGGTAACTATATTGGATTGTGAGCCTTGTCCCTCCGAACCTATATCGGGCACGTACTTGAGAATATACTCATTGCCGACAGTAATTCCCGCAATGTGATCAATGCCATAGGTCTGTATTGCTGCCTTGATAGTATCACGTTGACGGGTGTATGTGGTGGTATCATCGGGGGTGGGATAGTTGCCCAGGAACACCTGCATGTCGACCTTTGTCTGCTTGATGGCCTCAAGCTGGAATGATGTATATTTGAGATCATTGTCACACTAACGAATAAAGCGATACGTACGACAAGGGCGGACTGGTTGCAATCTGCACCATATAGACGTACGCGCTTTGTGAGTTGAGACATAAGCTGAGGAATCATGAGCTACTGCCGGAAAGCATGAAAAAGCGAACCAACCTGAATATCCTGGATGATAGCACTCAGCGAGTTGCCGCAATTAGGAAGTAATGACCCCTCAGGCGTGTACGACATGCCGTAGAACGACTGCTTCAAATTTGGGTTCTTGACAAAGGTACTGGGGTCATTAGGATCTCTCAGCTTTGGAGGACCTGGATTCGACGAGGTTGTTGACCCCGACGAAGTACTAACGCCACTCGTCTTATTGGACACGCCTACACCAACACCCACGGCAATAGCTATGACTCCCAGAAGAGCGACGACAGAACCAAAGATCTGAAGAGTTAAAACGTCAACTCAAGGACAGCGTTGTACAATTGACGAACGTACACTCCACTTTGACCTCTTACTCCTTTTCAGACCAGAGTTAGAACTGATGTCTGCCATGCTGGAGATGTTAATGGAGAGAAGGAGCAGCCCGCAGATGTAATTTAAAAAAAGGTGCAAGGAGACGCTGGCGGTGTGATTAAGTGCCCAGGCCGGTGCTAAGGTCGTCACAGGGAGAGCAAGAAACAGAGCAGACAGAAGCCAAAGATCTGAACCAAGAAATCCTAGACGGTGCCAGACAGCTGACCAATAACACCATGTCAATCGTGCTAGTGGATCCTGATTCGTTTCGGCGCATTTCAGACATCTCACTCATTCGACCTTGGCGGCAGGCGAACCACACTAAATTTATATCATGATGATCTGCCCTACTTGTTATTACTTTGTGCACAGCAAAAATGGTATCACCATGAGAATTACAATTTATTATAGAGTAGTAGACAGTAGTATGTGATCCTTATCCTCATTCCTTCACGAATAATGAGTGAATAACAAAACTGTAGTTTCAAAAGACAATATTAGGCTTCCACATCTTCCATCCATAGTGGCAGAATGTGGCCCATTTTCAACACCTTTGTTCGCAGATACTTGTCCAGATCCTCCCCATAGACAGCTTTCCCACCAATAAGTGTGGCCCCAACAAGATGATCTTCCACCTTGGAGAGCCTCGGATCAACATCCGAAGTCACCTTGGAACCCGCTTGACGAGATTTCCAGCTCCTAGGTATCATCGGAACACGCTCAACAACCCTCAGCCCATCTTTCTCCAGTGCCTGGACTTTGTCCGGGTTATTCGTCAAAACTCGGACACCACCATCTAACCCGAGGTCACGCAAAATCGCAACGGCAATGTCGTACCCGCGTTCATCGGCCCCGTGACCGAGCATCAGGTTAGCAGTAACGGTGTCATGCCCGATATCCTGTAAGTTATACGCGCGTATTTTGGAGAGCAACCCGATTCCCCTCCCTTCTTGTCTCAGGTAGACAACGACACCGCGACCTGGGATAGAGGGGGACGAGTTCATTGGGCATGACGAAGAAATCGCGATAGGTTGCGATATTAGACGAATAGCTTCGTCTAACTGCTCACCACAGTCACACCGCATGCTGCCAACGGTCTCGCCGGTAAAGCATTCCGAGTGTATTCTGATGAGAGGCGCGGGGAGGGCTATGGTTACTCCGGCAGCATCGGATGGCGGCATAGACGCATGCTGAGAGGTAGGTGATAACCTACCTACATAGGCACCGCGTGTGATTCTATCCATTTCCGTTTCATCATTGCTCCATACAGCATCCAGGGTGTGTGACCGGATGGGGGGCGGGGAAACCGCGCTGGGTTTGTCTGCGAGCTGGACGGGGTCGACAACGATAGCTAAATGCTCTTTGTCGTCCCGGTTATTGTGGTAGAGATGTAGGAAGACTGGGCCATGGGGCGTCGGTATTCTCGTTCGAGCCATACATTTCAGGTCGAGGTCCGCGGCCGGGTCTTTCGGGATCACATCGGAAGCCGCCTCTGTTGACTGGCTGGCAGAAAGAGCCGGAGGAAACACAGAGGTGGATAACGAGGTACGGCGTCTCTTGTGAGAGAGAGAAAGGTTCTCAATGGGCGAAAGCGAAGCGGCAGTCTGTTCCCATGGTTGGTCGTTTTCCTTCCCTTCCAACGCTAGGCGCTGCCTACGAGGCGCTTGCCTACTAACATAGGCCAGCTTCTTCCGTTCAGGTGCAGACGCATCCTGCCCAGTAAATTTGGTCCAATCCCATGCGCCTTCTGCTTTTGGTAGCATGACTCCCGGAAAGAAGTCATGGTGGTAATGATTTCGGGTAACCTGAGGACCCGAAGCGAATGCAGCCGCCATGATTAGAGGGTCAAGTGCTGCATCCCTCCGTGCAAAGGTAGTTGCGGTTGGCGCCGATGGCCCGGTAAGCATGTCCAGCAACGCAGCGTCAGAGTCGCCGAGGGCGTCGTGAATAGGCCTTCTAGACATTGCTGCTGATGTAGGGGGAAAACCTGGGTGAAGTGTGATGACAGACGAGTATTTAAGCGAACTGCAGCGGCTGACCTGGGTGAACGACGTGCTACGATGTGGTTACTGGCTAAGTCATCCAATTGCAATAATTTTTGGGCCAAGGATAGGTCAGCAAATAAGCATGATTACGAGGTAATTAGCATGAGATTAACAAGTGTTTTATCTTATCTTGCACGTGCCCACGACTAAGATTTGGTTAAGACCTGTCTCTCCGCACCGTACTCGTTCCAGTTTCTGGAATTTTTTCCCCAATATATAAAGACGGTTCTTCCCAGGTTTCTTATTTAATTTCTTCCCGCCCAACTTGTCTTCCTGAGTCCGCCCTCGTCGTCATGAATATGTTAGCGCTTCGGTGGAGCATGCTTCTATATATTCTACCATGGTACGTTACTTCTGCCTGGGCCGCGCATCCACCGTCTGAAGTTCGTTCTTGCGTCGTAGCGTCCTATCGGCTCCAACGTTTGTTACAGATCACCACCGCGTGCACTTAGCCCCTGCGACAATGATACAGGCTTCCTCTTCAACCGTCAACACACTCTCACCGCTACCGCTCCACAATTGGCGACCCCCACTTCGAGAGCATAGCCCATCGCCTGCAAAAGGCGCTAGCGGGGACTCCAAACACCAGGGATCTGTTGCCACTTTCCTCGAAATTATTGGAGGCACCATAGCGATGGCCATCATCCTGAGTGTCATACGCTGTATCACCAGCTATAGATGCATACCCAAACGTGACCACATCGCGGCCGTAATTGATAGACACCCAACACATCGCGAAATAGATGAACTGGAGTATCGGATGAGCCCGTCGTCCGATTGCAAGCGCTCGTCCTTGCAAGAGCCACCACCACCTTATTTTCCCCGGCCGCCCGCGTACGATATACTAGAAGAGACACCACCTCCTAGTCCTGTTCGCTCGGAATTCATTCAGGTGGATATTGCATGCCCTCCTCCCTCCCGCACAATAACATCACAGAGAGGAACACGGCCGATGCTCCGTAACATATAGGAGTAGGAGACAGAAGGAGACAGTCTAATGTATAGCACACGTGACGGACGCCTTTTCGCTGCTTTTTCTTGCTATAGGCCAAGTATATATAGCCGTGTCTGTAGGGGGGGGGGGGGACATTTTAGTGTTATATGGCGGAGATTTAGGATAATCGACAGAGTAGAACGTAATGCGGTGAATGACGCGTCTTGATTGGCATAGAGGCATGCATGGCGTCCATCTATCAATGTGAATCTGTAGGCACCAAATGCACGAACAGAAGACGTATCTAGTGCCATTATGACTTGAACACGGTGCTGCCTCGAGGACGCTGAAGATGAGTAGAGTGATGCACGTGTCCCTGCCGGCTGCCCAACTCCGGCTGCCGCTGACGAGGCGAGAGCTTGACAAAAACGACCACCCCTCGATGCACTTTGCGCTTCGTTTTCGATTTCTATGCAACAGCAGCAGCAAGCACAACTCCCGATTTTGCCTAGGCAAGTCTTTAAAATCTCTTATGCGATTTGATCGTGACGAGATTTTTTGTTCTCCGCTAGCGCGGATTCTCGACCGCCCGCCTCTGGGCCCCCTTCAGCGCCGGTGACGTCTGATTTCTCTTCACAAGTTGATTTTCGAACCAAGATCATTGAGATCCTCGCTGGTACTGCTAATGGGTGCCTCGCAGAACTAGGGTATTACCCTACTCTGCACCAGGATATGCAGAACTTGAAGGTCCAAAATCAGTTCTTGAACAATTGTCTTAAAGAAAGGGATGTTCTTATGTCGCAATGGCAGCAAGAGAATAGAGGGTTGTGGGAGGACAATCGTCGTTTGATATCCCTCGATGCGGAGATCAAGGCAAAAATGGTGGAGATTGATACCCTCAAAGCGGAGATTATGGGAAAGGATATGACCATCAAAGAGCTGAATCGTCAGGTCAGAGGAGTTCCTACGCGCGAGGCCGATGCCTATCAGAATCTCCTTCGCGAGCATCAAGCGCTACTAGGAAAGCAGCGTGCCACACATAATGAGAAGATGATGCTGGAGAACACAATCAACCAGCTAAAATCGATGGATATCGTACCGAAGAATCAGCAGGGTGTGTTTCCTCTCCTTAATATCAGCTCTAGTTTTCCATTTTTCTCATATTACCTATAGGCGTGGCAGGACCATCAGTGCGATCTTGTTCGCTATTGTCTATAATGTCTGTTTATTGATGCACCGTCTCTTACAGACTGTTATCAGGCGCAATTCTGCCCCGATCACTTAACCTGCTCAACTGTCCATATCTATACGCGGACCTCTGCCCCACCCCCAGTCCCAGCCAATGCCCCAACAGCCCGTCCATCCTCCACTTGCTCAAGTCCTTCCGTATCCCAAACAACCTGTACAAGACCAGGGTGTTGGACTGGGACAGACCGCTGATCAACAGGCTCAGCCAATGCAGCGAGCACCCCAAGCCATATATGTTCCTTCGTCCAGGCCTCCGAATACACCCCTCCATATGAGTACCCATTCTTTGCCACCCTCTGTCAGCCCTACTCAAATACCTCCTACCCCACCTATGAGCGCGTTTCCCGTCCAGATATCCCCACCAATAGTGCCACCAATCACGCCTGCTTCCGTTCAAGCAAACCCATACCCACGAATGGTAACCCCAAATCCTCAACCACCTTCAATTCAGGCACATCCTTCGTTACCTCAGCCACAAACAACACCATCCTCGCAAGTTCCGATATCGCCAGAACGACCCCCGCCTCAGACGCAGGTTCAGAGTGGTATTGTTCCACCTACTCCTCCTGTTTCTCATAAATCGATGTCACCAGAAGCTTTCACTGAGACGAAACCCGTCATTCACGCGGCAGGCGACATGCCTTCAGTTTCAGGTCCTGGGTTCGAATCTAATAATCCTTCGTTGAAGCGCTCTGCTAGCACAAGTGGGGATGAACCACCTTCGTCCCCCAAGAGGGCAAAAGTGGAGCAAGCGGAAGATCCTCGCATGAGCACTTCCATTGAGGTGTCGATCCGTGATAATGATGAAATTGTAGAGGTTGATGCGACTGGATTGAGACCAATCTCAGTTGTTGTGGCGGAGGATATGGTGATCCCGGACGAAGCAGACCCAAACATCAAGCATTGTCTCTTTTGCCAGTAAGAGTCTTTTATTCTTTCTTTGATGTATGCGTTCTCATGGTTGCAGAGCACGGTACGAAAAAGGTGCCTTGAGCGAACCCCCAAAGCCATTTGTCAACAACCCTCAGGAGATGGAGAAACATATGCTTGACGCCCATCCAACCGCTCTGGAGTCGCTACGGAAAGAGATATTTGATGAATAGGTTGGTTCTGCTGTGTATCACTGTCGGGTTCTAGGGTCACCATCTATCTCTTGTCAGTTTTCATTGCATATTAAATTATTTGTTTCAGTCATATAATCGTCATTCTATAATATAGATGCTCTTGATGCCTAGATTAACCAAGTCGACTCAAGCACTCAGGTGCACGATTGAGGCAACGGCAGCCTAATAGTTCTGAATAACAGCCGCAGGTTCGTGACGCTAATGTGTTTATGTCTTGGGTCCAGCTGGGGATAAATCAAAAGCACGTATTTTTTGTCGACCGCATCGACACTTTAGCTTCTATCATACATCTGGTCCATCCGAAGCCTGTTCCATGGTCCACTTTACCTCGTTTCTCTTCACGCGAAGTGAACGTAAAATCCGTTTCTTATACACGTTGGCCGGAGGCGTTGGAGAACTCTGCTTTGGACGCGACAACAATGATAGCGGTACTATGCTTTCGCACTATAAGCACGACGTTCTGGCTTTACGATTAAGAAATCGAGAGGCGTTTGGACTACCTCATTTCTCCATGACTTCGATTCAGGAAGCGAACATTCCACCACTGGATGAGAGTGAGGTAAGGAACTGGGTGCAGTACTGGCGACAGGCGAGGCGAAGCTGTTTGACTAGTGAGAACGTTCCTGTGCTCACCTCTACTGGACGAATGAGTACGATTATAACAAGACCACACTAGGCCTGATCTTCATAGTATTAAATAAGACGGGTATGATATTCCTCCAACACACAATACTAACTGATATAAGATCAAGGTGAGTGTAATTCAAGAAAATGCAAAATGTCCAAACGAGACCAAGCAATCGAGAAGTCTGTATGTATCCGGTTCGTAAAGCGTCCATCGTCATCTAACCCAAGTCCTGACGAACATTATGGCGCCGATCGCAAAGGCAGTTGGCAACAATCCACTCGTACGGAGTCCAACAACTCCATTTTGTGATCCCTTGCTCGTGCTTCCTAGAACGTCCTTCATGCCACTATGTCCATTACTCGTCGATAATACCGCCTGGTCGACTGTTGCTGTATTCACCGTCTTCGTCAGAGCAGTCGTGGCGAACGTCATCGAGCTCGCTCCGGCCGTCTCCGTAAACGCTTCATCGTTGAGGAAGACAAGCGCGAAACCAGGTGCTGGAACAGGGATAAGGCAAGTGTTGTTGGCATTCTGGTCGCAGGTCACAGTCTGGATATCTTCCTGGCCCATGAGACGGCCATCTGATTCGAAGATGCCTCCAAAGGTCTGTCCGGCCCATCGGAAATTGCCTTTTTGTGATACGGAATCGGCGGTAAAATACCTGCACATAGGACATTTTAGCCTGTTCTCGGCGGGAAAAACATACAACCTACTTCACTTTGACTTGGGCAGGAGTGCCATTTGCTTGACCACTCTCGCCATCTCCAATAGAAATGGAGGCGATATAAGTGCTAGCACCCGAAGAGTCCGTTATGTAATTGAAAAGTGCAACTCGGACAGGATTCCCATTCTCGTAAATAGCATAGGCGGGGGTAAAGATATTCCCATCGTTGGCGTTCAAATCTAGGATCTGGGAGGCATTTGACGCGCCCATCGCCTCCGCCATAATCAATGCAGAGTAGTATATCGGGCCGATCGTCCATTGGTGGAAGGTTGATTGATTAGTCGGCGGTGCTGCGAAGGAGAGTGAGAGGACCGCTTGAAGAGACAGACGGAAAGGTCTTCTTACGAGTGAAAGGCTAATCAAAAAAGCGACGAGTGAGCTATGAGTGATATCACCGAAAGGAACTTACGTTATAGAAAACGTTCTGTCCACCAATGTGCATCAAAGCACCGGAAAAGTTGGAGTACGCCATTTGCATGGAATAATCAAGTCCCCATAAAGCAGCACCAAAAGAATCACTGATACCGGGGAAACCTCCACATGAAGCAGTGTTAGTCTCAAACATAAGCAACTTCTTGTTCTTCTGCTGGGCGTAGTTGCCGGAATTAACGTATGGCTGAATAATGGATTGCCCAGATGAGTGATTCAAGTAAGTGGGGAACATGGTTTGGGCGTCGCGAGGCGTTCCAGTACCGTAAACGGCGTAACAATTGTCTGATGGGTAGCTATCAAAATATATAAGTAACAAGTATCAAGAGGGAGCAAAAGCGCACTGTTCTACTGCCAGAAATGCCAAGTTCTCACTGTATGTGTCGACGAAATCTGTGTTCCAAACATCCTCCGGAAACCAGTCCCCGGTGGCAATGCTGGGTCCAATGAGAAGTCTCTTGTTAACAGCATTGGCATCGTTGCCCATAGCCTGAACGAGAGCACCGAATTCATTTCCATAATCAGAAGGTCCATAAGGCTAAGAATTTTGTTAGTATATTAAGACAATGATATCTTTGTTGGCGCTCACGTCAGTCCTGTGGCCGTGGCGAACATAAAGATCGGGCTCGTTGCCAGCCTGAAAGCCAGCTAATAGATCACCGAGGATGGCCTGACTTTGTTCGGCGATAGCGAGTTGAAAGGGATCGATATTGAAAAACGGGATGCCCAAGAACCATCGGATATTGACGAGCTCAGATATACCTCTCATCAGATAAAAGAGGTCATCTGTGTAGTCTAAAGGCGGGGTTTGAGTCTAGCAAAATCTTGTAAGTGAAGATAGAAGAGTAAAAGAAGCGTGGTCTTACGGGATTAGTGGTGTTCTGGTTATCCTTTTGAATCATTTTCCCATCTGGTAGGCTGTCTACATGCACAGCTGTTTCCTGCGTGTTTCCTCCTACTCGAACATACACCCCGCCCGCACGTTGCTGAAGATTCGCCATAAGATTAAGGAAAGGAACCTGGATATAACTGGAGTTTTTCCCGACTGTCAAAGAGGCCTTGAGCGGTATTACTTTGTGATGCAGTCAGTGCTCACGAGTTTGGTCCGTTACGGACATTTCTATCGAGAAACCAACAAATGAGCCCGACTGAACGATGGACACGCCCGTTGTGCCGCCATTCTGAAGCTGTATCCCGAACTGCATAGGCGGTAACGGGTCCGGGATTGGCGGTGGGTTGAGCACGGTGGGGTTGTAGGCCGCGGCACCAGTGTATGAAGCGGCATCAGCAGAAGATGCGGACGTCTGGGCGTTCAAGGGCTGTTGGAAATATACGGTAACTTGGGCACAAACGGCACTAGCGAAGAAGAAAAGAGAAAGGAAGGTTCGGATAGCTCCCATGTTGGAAATTCGCGGCCACGGGGACAGTGCGCAGCAGACCCGTCAATCAGGCGGTGATGCGCCCGTCTTTGAATGATTTCGACGCGTAGAATACGAAAGCGGTTCTCAACAAGAAGACGACGAATGGAATCCTGTGGTGGAAGGTGAAAAAGGTATTCCTTGCAAAGTCCATGCCATATCTATATCTGGAAGTCATTTCAACTTTTCGTCGTTGTGTCACTAGCTGGATTCCGCGCTTTCGTAACTCAACACGTTGGTATCCATCCACCGTTAGCGTGACTTCATCTTCTTCCTGCATATTCATTCCAGACGTTCTAGCGTATTGTTAAACCGCCTATAAAGCGACATCTAGAGGATAAATTGGCAAGGACATAGAGACAGCGCCGCGGACGTTTCGCGATATCGCATTCCTCCTTTCAACGCTCGTTTGGTGAGCCTTTGATGGAGGGAGTATGTAGTTCGACGGCCGTGGTGAACTGCCTCTGTCGGAAGTTGCGAGTGCTGCTGTCCGTTACTACAACCCTCATACTGTCCACCGCCGGCTTCCTCTAGACTTTTGGCCTCCACTCCTTAAGAATAGGTCCATCCTTGTCCTTGACAAACTTCTTCTTCTTTGCTCCCTTCGACAACTTCTTCCGGTCCTTTTTGTCTGCCTTTCGCACCATCTGAAGGCCTGGAGGAGTAGACAGCCCCGCCCCCAACAATAGCGGCTGCCGATCCAATGAGGGTGACCTTATTCTCTGCGACAAAGTCTTGTACGTGTTCAACGAAACGCGGTACTCGAAATGATGCTTGCTTATATGAGATGACGTTATGAGGGGCCCCCAACTCTCGATTTACTCATCCCCCACCTAAGTTACGTAGGTGTGCTTCAATCTTTTTTCTCTGGAGACTGGTGTTGCGGAGAAGAGAATCTGGGTCGTCGACTCCATCAATGGCATCCGCATTACTACCAAACAAAGATGATAGTAGTCGCATTGACATTTCATGTCTCATTTACTGAAAGCCTCAAGATTATCTTTTGGGTCGTATGACTTTGATGGTGTTTTCAGTGGCTCAGATCATCATTTACTGTAGAGTAACGTACGCTGTTATCGCACAGACACCACTACTCATGTGGAACGACTAGAGATTGCACATTACGTAGCATAAAATCACATAATTATTACGGGTACTTAAAGTATATAATACTTGATACAATACAAGGACGTCCGTGTCGTTGCAGTCGTTATCGGGCTTTGCATTCCCTTACAAGATAAAGCGCAAACTCGTATCCTTGGAGAAATTTGTTGACCCCCTGGAAGTGGATGACAAACCAGAGAACTCACTATGTGATGAGAACTGCCGAGTTGAGGTTTCTGACTGTACTTTGGATGCAGGATCTTCCTGTGAAGAGAAATTAAAAGGGGGGACGCATCACCTGAGGAAAGTTCGTCAAACGTGTTCGACTTGCTAACCTAATTGATCGAAGTAGTTGTTGGTAAGATTGCTCGGGGGTCTTCCTGAGTGATGTAACGAAGGCCTAGAGCTTCCGGTCAGGCCAAAAAATTGCTAAACATAAAGAAAATCACTCACATAGCTCATAGCGCCGACCGGGACACCACCCTGGAAAGTGTCTGCACTTGTCTGACTATCTTGACTTCCCGACCACGATATCTGCGGAAAAGTATACGCCATCGTGTTCAACCAAATACATAGAATAGGACCTACCACATCAGCAGGTGTAGATTTAATCTTTCTCCATTTCTTGGATATTTGCTCCTTTTTTATTAGTCGACCGTCATGACCGTACTTCGGGCTCATTAATTAGCTCTGGGAGCAGGTAATGTGCCATGCACTTACGACATAAGGTAAATCTGAGTGAAAAGGAAATAAGAGCATTCCTCAATATCGGCGTACACACGCACCTAAAGCAGTTCCAGAGTGACAACACTACACCGTTACAATGAGCCAATTGCATAAAAATCTTGAGAATGTGCTCTCTTACATCGAACAGAGCCTGGAGTCCAGTTAAGTGGCGTTTTCATATACTTTTCCCAAGTAGATGTACGTACCGTCAAACGGCACCCGGCAGGAAGAGATTTGACCATGATCAAGTGCATTTCCTGTGCAGATAGAACTTAACAAAACGAAAAGCGAGAGGATTCTGCTCTCACGTCGTCGATGATCTGTCCCCGATGCTTGAAGTCAACCGGAAAAATGACTGCAGGAAACAAGGGTTAGAGTACACAAAAATCTATTTAGAATTGAGCGAACCTTCATCATAACCATCAACTTCATCTCCATCCAAGTCTTTCGTTTGTCCACCGTGTCCGGAATCTAACGGTGAAGAATGAGAGAGATGAATGTAACTAGGCTTTAGTTATATTACAATGAAAGAAAAGCGAGTCGTGCGGTTGGGCGTTCTTGACAAGCCAGTGCATTCCGTCAATCATGTTCTTCCTTGTGGGTTGGGAGCGGGGATTGGTGCTATCATCAGTAAGCATCACGATATCCTCAGACTTGTATCCCCAGTGATCTGTGTTGTCGCGGGGTCAGCACCAGAAAAGAAGGGTGTAAAATTCAACCGACGCATTAAGAAGTCACGTATATGTCTGGCGTCATTAATACAACCTTTGAGCTCATGGGGCTGTCCGCGATAGTTGATTCCGATCTAGTCGCTCAGCATCAGCGCTTAAAAACTCTATCGTAAGGGGCAAAACATACACAAAGTGCCTTTTTACGTCCGGTACACTTGGAATATGTGAAACACTGATGCTGGGAAGATTGCGAGGGTTGTATAGGTTGAGGGACAGGAACGGTGGATGCAGGACGTGGCCGGCTGCTGCTGTGACTGCTATGATGGTGATGCGGAGTGCTAACAATGATATGCTGACTCCCGGAATGGTGCACGACAGAAGGGTGCTCGGGGTTAGAATGATGCCGATGATGACTGCTGCTACGGTGGTAGTGATGATGATGATGATGTTCACGACTGCTGAGAGCCTTGGGTACGTCGGAAGGCATATTCATACTGGAACAAAAAGAATGATTCCTTTCTTCAAGCTGTTCAGTGAGACTGTGGTGCACGTACTCTGGGACAGGTCTGTATGACTCGTGCTGAGTGTGTCACAGGACGACAGTGTCAAGTGTTTAGACTCACAGGAAATAGGAGCCGACAGGGGCCGGAACCGAGCCGTAAGGTGAGGCGCCAGAGCATGGGACATGGTGAGAAGAGCCTGGAAATGCCATAGGTTCGCCATAGCCGGGCTGACCATATGCACTACTTACGCGTTATTGGTCTGCGTTCCACATTGCAAAACGACTACTCACGCGGTCGGACACCTGCATGGTACTTTAGGTCAACGCAGGTCAATTGAACGGATACTCTGCACTCACTCAGAAGACGGCATGTCATATGCCAATGGTGGGGGCTGCTGGTATCCATTAGGCGGCGGAGGGGGGTTGGCATTTGCACCAGAAAAATCCCACATCATCTTGTCAGATTTTTAACGCGAGTACCACAGGAAACGAAGATGCTGTCCCAAAAACGGGTATCAGTACGATGATGGTGGTAGAAGGAAGAGCTGTGAGCTGGAGCTGGCTGAGATCAAAGCCAGATCAATCGGAGCAACTTGGCCGCCTAGCGCCTCTTTTCACTCGGATCCTTGCGCCCAGCGCTGTCTGGCAGTTTTCCTGAGCGTGCCATTTTTGAATCCCCTTGCAGACATCTACCACGCTGCCCGTGAAAATGACCGACAATAACACGGAACACGGCCTCGAGTCCGAGATCATGTCCGATCATGATCGACTGATTATATTTTCCTTTTCCTCGTCCCCATTGCTATCCATATATTTGCTCTGCTGTACAAACCGATAAAGAAACGAAATCTACTGTTTACATGCAGGAACGCCTCGAACGCCTTCAATTTCATCGTGGTACAAATTTAGTCGCTTCATTGCTTCGACAGAACCAAGCAGGTTCTAGTCGGAATGTACACCTGATGCCGTTCAATTAGCCCAGCAGCCCCACAGAACATGCCAGAAACAAACCTGAAGCCAGTTCTTCCTATTGTTCCATTCCATAGAGGTGGTAAAGTATTGTCCACCTAACCTGACATTATCGAAACCGCCGAACCTCGGTTCATCGCTTGTCAAAACCACGCTGTACTCCCCCGCTTCATCTACCCCAACTCGATAATCCGTGAAACTCTGCGTTGGATGGAAGTTGAATACAAATAGCAGACCGGCACGTTCGTATACAATCACTTTGTCGACCTCGTGTTTCAGGGACACGTACGCCTAGCACATGCCTTGTCAGAAACATCTCAGTCCGTCAGACTGGCAGCCCTTACCGGGTGATCAGAGAGCCAGCCATACTTCTCATCTGCGCAGTTCATCGCGCTATCAAAATTGCTGAGGTACTTGTACCGAAGTAAAGGGTCATCGACAACGTTCCACTGGCGGCGCGCATAGTGGAAGGAGTTGCCGTTACCTTCTCGGGGAAAGTCGAGCCACTATATCACATCAGCTCAGCCACGCTCAATCCGTGAATCTATGGATGTACTTCGGGATGTCCAAACTCGTTCCCCTCAAAATTCAAGTATCCTTCGCCGCCCAAAGAGTGCGTCAGAAGTCTGTGAAGCGTTTCATTTTCACAATGATAATATAATATGAATACCGCCAGACATACCGAATCATCTTGTGCAGCGCGATGCCCCGAGATATGACAGGCGTCAGCGGTGTCAAGTCGGACATGTGAGTATCTGGATTATGCATTAGCTCCTCTTAGCGTTAAATAAAACATTTTTGGGACGTACACATTTCTTTGTCCATCAACCAAAACGCAAGCGTTTTGTCTCCCACGAGCGCCTGATCATGGCTCTCACAATATGCCACGCTTTTTTCACCATATCGCCGGTTTGTTAGAATATGCACAATATCGCCCATATCCCACTCGTCGTCCTTTTTGTGTTTCAATAACTTGATCCACATGTCCGGGATAGCCATGGACAGGCGATAATCGAATCCGACACCACCTTTATTTACAGGGATGCAGAGCAAAGGCATCCCGGAGACATCCTCGGCTATAGTGATGACTTTCGGGTATAACGAGTGCATGGCGTCGTTTGCCTACAGAACGGTAAATCTCATCTCGAGATCAATCTAAGTCCACATACCAACATAAGATAGACAATTCCTTCAAGATCAGCAGAGTCACCAAAATATTCGTGGTATCCACCCGAAAAGCCGGCTCCGACCCCGTGGTGCGTATACATCATGCTGGTCACACCGTCAAACCGGAATCCGTCGAACCGATATTCCTCTATGTAGAATCGAAGATTGCTCAAGAGGAATCGCAACACCTCATGATTGCCGTAGTTGAAGAGACGGCTATCCCAAAGGTCATGTCGACCCTTGGGTCCCTCATGGAAGTACAAATGATCAGTTCCATCGAACTCATTTATCCCGTCAAGAACATTCTTGCAAGCATGGGAATGGACAATATCGAGAAGAACAGTCAGCCCCATGCCGTGTGCCGTGTCGATAAGCTCTTTCAGCTCTTCCGGAGTTCCATATCGTGAGCTTGCGGCGAAGAAACTAGTCACCTGGTACCCGAAAGCTGAAGAGGTCAGTTGGGGGCCGTGAATGTATGCGGTAGAGGAAGGGCGTACAGGCATAGTAAGCATGCTCCATGATGGCCATCAATTGGATGACATTGTAGCCAAGATTCTTGATGCGTCGCAAGACATTCGCCGTAAATTCTTTATACGACCCTACTCTTGGTTCTGAAGTCGAGATACCGACATGCGCTTCATAGATTCTGGCATCTTTAGGGTAGGATGGGCGGGGATTTTTGAACTTGTGCTTCTCAGATTCAGGCGGATTCCAAAAGCGCGCATCATAAACAGGTGAAACGCTGAGCTCCTGAGTGACGCGTTTGATCCACGCTGGAATGCGTTCGATACGCTCTCCTGATGGGAGAATCATCGAGATCTGATGCACTATCAGCATATATACGGGATTTAAGGATAAAACGTGATGCTTGCCTTGATCTTGGAATCGTGTGGAATGGCACAGACACCTGGCGACGACGGAGGGACTGCAATCTCCCAAATACCGAACTGGTTTTTCTTCATGGGGTGGGATGTCCTGTTCCAGCCATCTAGAAGAATATCGGAAAAATAGTTTTCTATGACAAACCGTGTACTCACTGAAGTCACCGATCAAAAATGCTTCTCGTGCATTTGGAGCCCATTCTCTGTAGACAACTTCTCCATTGGATCCAACGTTTAGCCCAAACTTCAGATATCCCTTGGTGAAACTGTCGTATCCGCCTTCGTGCTGCTCAATATCGTCCTTGAACTTTCTGAACAGATCATGTCTTTTCACGATGTGGTCGACATTTGGTTTTAGATAGTCATCAATAGCGACAACAGTCTCGGGAGAAAGACGGTCTTGAGGCATGAGAAGAGGAAATGGTCGGAGATGGTGGTGGGAATGGTGGTAAAGAGAAGAGATGTAAATTGTCGAAAAGACGTCTTCAATTCTCCTATGACGTATTGATGATCGTAACCTGCACCGCCACCAAGATGCGGTCAACGAGTTGGTTATCCCCGGGAAGAATTAGGCAAGCTGCCGTCGCGTTCTTTGGTTAATGTTGCTATTAGTGGCAGGGTGATATATGTGGGATCCCTGTCGCCGATTACAGTATTTCGCAGGTACAGTATGTGAGGTGACTTCTAAGGATCAAGGCATTATCATCATATTATATAGCGAACTTGGGTAGAAGCGCAAAGTCAGTATCTGTTTACAATAATAGCGCATTTTCAAGCTGCTGGAATAAAAGAGCAATGGTAATATTGGGCCTGCGGGGGAAAAGTGTATGCCGTCGGGATTTCTGGACAGGGGCCTCATGCTTACTGTTCGCTGCCTCCAAATGATAAAAACCAGACGTTGTTCATGAATGTATCTGTCAATCCTAACACCTGCCTCATGGCAACGCGTCTCAGACCCGGACAACCTACTGTTGCTGCCCTCCCTAGCTCTCTTACATTCGACGGAAAGACCGCACTCGTTACCGGGGCTAATAGCGGACTGGGTCTTGCCACATGCCTCCATCTCCTGCAGCGTCATCTCCCGAAGCTGATAATTGGTGTCAGGAACAGAGACAAAGGCGAGGCCACCAAGGCTCAGCTTCTTGCTGACCCAGTAGTTGCCGCCTTAGGACGTCGGCCGGATATCCTTATCTACGAGCTAGACCTCTCGTCGCAAAAGTCCGTAATCAGCTTCGGGGAGGCCATTCGGAATGACATACCCAAATTGGACCTTGTCCTTCTCAACGCAGGCATATACGCCTTCGAATGGAAGGTATCACACGAGACGCGCCGTGAGCTGACTTTCCAAGTCAACTATGTTTCCAATGCACTCCTCGCCATCCTTCTCCTCCCCCTCCTCCAATCTTCATCCATCCAATCAAACACGCATTCCCACCTGTCCATCGTCGGATCAGAGATGGCAGTCATCCTCAAGCCTATGCATATCCCTGTCCAGTCCGCCGTATTCGACTTCATAGCCGATCACGACAATTACGCAGTCAATAATCGATACGGAGAAACCAAGCTCTTTGTGGCCATGTTCGTTCGACAGCTAGCCAAACGCGTGAACCATGCCCAGGTGATTGTAAACTGCATGTGTCCAGGGCTGGTTGCGACAAGCCTTGCGAGGGACTCGCCATGGTACCTGAGAATTTTCTTGGGTGTATTTTATGCTGTGAAGAGTGCCAGGACACCAGAAGTTGGAGCCAGGCTGATCGTCAAGGCGTTGGCAGCTAGCCCCCAGAGCCACGGAAAGTTTATGGTGAACGATAGATTGAAACAGTAAGTTTCGCCACGATATCATAGGGATAATTGGCTAACAACACATACAGGGTTCCGCTCATGGAAACTGAGGATGGTCTTCAGGTCGAAGCGAAGATGTGGAAGGAAACTCTTAAAGTTGCAGAGAATGTTATACCGGGTTGTACCTCCACTTTGTCAAACTAGAGGACTATGATCGTAATACGTGTATCACGAACTAGTATTCCATTTAAATAATAATCTTCATCAGCCGTAGGGAATGAACCTTGCTTCGCATCGTAGCTAGATGGCATCATCGTGAGAATAATTTCGTTTACTGTACCACGTGTCATGCACATGCTTCAACGGTGCCTTCATAATCCAACTCGCTGCCTCGTAGGCCACGCCGTTCCTCCTCATCGCTCATTTTTCACATACGCCAGACCGAAGCCCTGGCGTACAGTACGCGTCGACAACCTTCCTGATGGCTATGACGTGACCAGTATCATTCAAACGATCCGTGCTAACCCGGTGGAGAAGATCGTTGCAGAGAGGAACCATTTACTGGTCCAATTCTTCGGAAATTACATGGCCGAACGATGTATACAGAACTATAACGGCCCTCCACATTTGTCGCTAAAGCTAAATGAAGCTCCTTCGCCGCCTCTACATGCTGCGACAGTCGCGGCCATCGGATACCTCAACCTGTCGCGCTCTTTCAAGATCGACAATCTTCCATTGGATTTTAACCTTGTTGAACACGAGATCTGGAAACACATTTCCGAACCCAAAAGCGTAGAATATTCCCGAATCCATTGCTCTCATACCAGAACCAGCGCTGAATTCTGTATGATCGATACTGAGACGGCCATCAACGTAAGCGAAACAGGATCCAACAATTTTTGTATTAACCTGACTACGTACCATTAGATGGTTGCAGATTTCAAGGGCCTGGCAGCTACGGAAGCGTCTTTCAGGGGAACCGGGGTGTTTTACACAAGCGGCGATATCGAACCCATCTACCCTGTATGGTACAAAGAGAACGACAAGGTTCATCCTCGGACAATAACCGTTTCTGTGACTACCGATACATACAGGCCTCTTCGAAGTTCTATGATGGAATTCGAGAGAACTTACCCAACTTTATTAAAGGCAAGCACGATCCGGCAAGAAAACGTGAGTAAACGACTATGGCGCATGATTAGGCATATAACTTGGATTCCTGTTCGCAGACAGTGATATTTGGCTTTGCTACCAATGACTCCGCCCAATTCTTCAGGGGGATGCTTCAGTCCCGGTCGGATGAACTTGGCCTCAAGATCCCCTTCAAATATGATAATCGCCCAGAAGTTGTATCTGACAACGTAATTACTGCCGTCGCCTTGGGCGCCCGACGCACTATAATTCTTACTATCCCCGTCGAGCGATTGCTGGAACAGAGCCAATATCATCTTTTGTTTAGAGAATTCGGAAACATCTCCTACGTTTCCAAACGTGTCAGGTGTGTCTTCGCTCTCTTATCTCTTCCAAAGCAATGTTTAATAATCCCCGATCGTTAGGGAAGACCTTCCCATGGCATCTATACGAGTTCAATTTGAAGATATACGCTCAGCTTTGAAGGCCGTGTACCTATTGTCTTCGCCTGGGAACCAAAATGGTGTGCGGGTTTCCCTCCAAGGTTCTACTGTGTCATTTTTGGGGGCCCTGCACCTGCAACCCGTCGTCATTGACTAAGAGCGGCTGTTGCGTCTCTGTCCTCTCAAATCGGTGGTACGTCGAGATCATAACTCAGATTCATCTAAGTTTTGGCACTACAACCAGACTTCAAATGACTGGCGGCGATGGATCATCGATCTTTATTTTTTCAGCCGTTCAGTCAAAATGCTGACTAGGGAAAACGAAAAATGATATCACTGGGATGGTATGACGTCTACATTGTTTATACAAGGTTATGGAGGTAAGTAGAATAAGCTATGGATACACAAGGGTCTACGAATAGTATAAGTGTCACGAGAGTAGAAAGTACAGTCCTGAAATAGTAGATATTGCGCCCACTCAAACACGGCGCCTCCAGTTGTCATCGTCTGGGCCAAGTAACACACGTGGAGAAGACTTTTTGGTGGTAGCTTGCGGGCCAAGCATAACACCACCCGTAGCAACACTGGTGGATCCCCCGTTATAGAGATAAGTCGTAACGACTCGCTTGATCTCGATCACCGGCGCTTGGGCCTGGCGGGGAAGATAAGGCTTAGAGCGCAACTTGGAGGAACCCCTGGATGATACAGAGGTCATGGACTCGCTCGATGCAGAGGAGAAACACGATGATGACGCAGTAGATTCGGCATCTGAGTCACAGCTCATATCTGCGTCTGTCTCGGAGAGGTTAAGGTCGGGAAGAGTGGGTACACGAATAGGCAGATGAGCGCGAACATTTGGTCTGGGTTTCGCCAGAGGCCGCTGACGAGCGATGGAAGGCATATTCGTCAGACATAAGTCATCATCTGCCTGCCAGAGGGTAATCATGCGGGAAGAAATGCATGCATGGGCATGAAGGGGTGTGATAGCTATGTGTATCGGCTGGTTCCCAAGTAGATTCATCCACCGGGCCCACGGCAAGCCAGTAATGAGGCAGGCATTATATATGGGACGTGGAGGATGGGCGTATGGGATGAGTGACAGAGACTGCACTGAACGGAGAGATATCATGAGCTGGAAACGAATTTTCTGGACCATTGTGGAAGAACAGAAGGGAACAAGCGCGCCGGTAAGAAAAGAAACAACAGAGGAAATAGCGTTCATGTCAATGGCCTGCATGGCAGAATGGGGTCCCTCCTTGACGCTGTAGTCCTTTTATACACATCGACGGACGAATAGTAACCATTGTCGACAGTAACCATTGTGCAAAGAACAAGAGACGAACCGACGCATTGTTTGCAAAAAAAAACTTATTGTTGCCTTTTTACGTTTATTTGTAGTACGTTTGCATCCATTCCGGTCCGAGAACCGCAAAAAAGTCGCGCTTTGCTTCTACGAATGCAGCGACTTTTTCTCTCTGCGCTTTCTCGCTACCACAGAACTCCTCGATTCTTTTTACCTCGCACCATTAGTACAGGTCCAATATATGAAGGTTCCATCTTACTTCCTGGGTACAGCCATCGAACCGTACGCATCGACAATCTCCCCCAGGATTACGATCTCAACAGTGTTCTCAATGCCATCCAAGCCAACCCAGTGGAGAGAATATTGACCCGGCACGATCATGTCTTGGTCCAGTTCTTCAGCAATGAAATGGCTCAGCGCTGTGTCCGAGATTACCAAGGCCTTCTGTCGTTGACAATACACCCTCATCCTAATCCACCGTTATCCTGCTTTCTCGTTGCTGCCCTCGGCTATCTTTCGTTGTCGCGCGTTCTGGAAGTTGACAATATACCGCTGGACATAACCGAAGACACCTTCAAAGACCAAGTCCGTTGCTACTCTGCATCTGTTCAGAGGTCAGAGTCAGAAGCTCGGGCTCGAGCTCGACTCGAGTTTCTGGACATACATGATGCTATCAAAGTAAGAATAGTATTCTCAGATCTTCAAGTGAACCGCTAACAACTATTTTCAGGCAAAGGCGACCCTTGTGCGCCTCGAGTCATTCAAAGACGCGAAAATTATCTACAAGGAGCACCCAGCGAGCTACATGTTTCCCTCTTGGTTCACTCCATCAGTGGATGATGCACCAGACGCTAAACGAAAAGTCGTTATCGACAATATACCCGACGGTGCTGCCGTGGTGGAATGTCGGAGGTGGACAAATGCCTTTGATTTGATTACGCCAACGACGCTGTCATGCGCCCGTTTTACTAGACTTAAAGTAAGAAATTGTCGCAGTCTCGCCACACTCAACTTATTCATTATAAACAGACATTGGTTGTCAGCTTTGGCACAACTGAATCTGCCCAAAATTTCCTTCAGAGATACAAGCCACGGGCTAAAACTCGAGGCATGTCAATGTCGTTGGCGCAAGATAGGTCTCGGTACATCGATCGTTGTATCCTCACCGCAAGAGACTTGGGTGCGAACCGGAAAGTTCACATACATATTGGTCAAGGGCACAGGAGAAGCGACAAAGATTATATCCACATGTTCCATCGTTATGGGGGTTTATCATCTGTTGCGGATAGATTTCAGTACGTACAATTCATGATGCCTGCCGCAACTGAGTATATGTTTATTTGTCATGCAGAGATGGTGCTTCAGAAGGGACACTTTGGATCGAGTATCAAAGTATACAGGGCGCCATGCGTGCAGTCCTAGCCCTTTGCCACGGTGCTCCCTCGGTACAGGCTTTACAAGGCGCTGACTTTGGTTTCTATAATGCGCAGCATTTGAAGCGCATGGAAGTACATTCTAGGAATGTAACATGAAGGTCGTCGTCTCATAGACGACCGTCGTTATAAATTTGACGTGCTTAGAGCTGCAATGGAGATGAGATATTTTTTCTGACAAGGAGCGATTCAAGGCTATTTTGAGGGCAAGGGCTCGCTGACGTCTTCATTACCCCAGATTGGCCCCAATTCTGGACTAGCGTTGTCTAATATATTTGAACAATGCTTCCGCACGCATGACCCTAGATGGTTTGATAGCCACCTCCGGAGATAAAAATTCAATGATCCTAGTGCTGTAAGTAATGGCGACCGTTTACTACAACAATCCAGGGGGAGAAGGGCCTGGGACGATTGCCATATCGGTAAACGTGAGTCGGTACCGAGCTAAGGGACACAAGGAAATGAACGGCGAGAAATATAAAGCGGGACTATGACATGATGGTGTGTGGTTCGAGATTTTGGACCAAGATTACCTATCCAGGGACACTGTAAGTGAGCAATGTCCCTGGTGATCGCGCCGTACTGGCGAAACAGACTCGAAGAGGGAATGGTGTTCTCCAACTTAAAGGCTTCTCATGAGTCTAAGCACGAAGAACAAGATGAACGTTCGAAGGATTGAAGTGGGCAGGGTAGTGCCGTACTTGGATGAAAGCTGAAGACTAGAAGCTAGAACCACTAGCGTGGATCGCATCATCAGGCCTCGGATGCTTCTTAAAGTACCCGCAAATTTGCATTGGTAGTGTAGTACCGAGGGCGGGGCCGCAGTCTGGAGAGACAGTGGAATTAGGCCTAGAAGGGCGAGGTTTTAACGGTGTGTTGGTCAATGAACGCATGGTGCACACATATACTTTTTTTCCAGATATCACGGCTGTAACCTTTAAGGATGATTTTCATTTTGTTGATTGATACAGGTGGTGGCAAATATCAAACATCCCCTGAGAACGACTCTGGACACCTGATGATGGCCTGAGAGGAATAAATAATCAGACATGGCAAAACCGCAGATGGTCGGGTGCTTGGACCTCAGGGCCGAGGAACCACCTTTGGAGGGTGTTGACTGGGTCATATTCCATTCCGTTCTAACAATTATCCAGTATCAACACTCGGAAGAAAAAATCAGAAAAGGCCAGGCGGTGAGTCAAGACCAGAAGCTGAGAAAGGAAAGTCAGGGTCACGGCAATTTGATTTCACTTGCCTCAAGCGGAAGGATCGGCGTCCGGGCCGAAAGAAAGGGGCTCCAGCCTCGGGCATTCCATCCGGCATTCCTTTCCTTTCCATACGCCAGCCAGGCCCACGCCAGGTTGCCTTCCGTCTCTCACCTCTTCCTTTCCTTCGTCCATGCAAGTTACTATTTCCTTGCTTCCTGTTTCCCTTTCTCTTGTCCAGATACCCCGCTCTCGTCTCTCCCAACTATCCCATCCAGTACTGCACCATGTTTTGCAGCCGAGCCATACCTTTTTGAATATCACCTTCAATGAAATCGAGCTCAGTCTGTTTGCAGACCAGGATATTCTTCCGTCTTTCGAGCCTATAGCACGAAAGGACAGACAGCGACGGCAACGGTCGCGCTCTGGCTCCAATTCCAGCCGAAAAAGTGTGGATGCACTTGAGCCTATCGAAATCTCGTACGAAAAATGGTCTGTTTTGCAGATCGACTCGCATAGTGACCAGCTGGGTGAGCATTCATTCTTCTTCCTCTACTGTATTATATCCTCATCTTTTTTCAGATAAATCCGGTGCCCGTATCAACGAACTCTCCGCGCTATTAGCAGACGCCGGAATATCCATCCTGTACCAATCCTCGTACATGTGCGACTTCATATTTGTACGCCCTCATTGTTGTCCTGCATATACATGTCTCTTATCCATTTTCTTCAGGTAAAAGAATCTCGACTTCCTGAAGCCTTGTCAATCTTCTCAGAGGCGGGATTCGACCTGTACTCCCCCAACTCTCCCCCTGCGTCGCCTACCGCTAAGGTTCTCACTCGTGCAAATTCACCAAATCGCCCACTGTCTTCTCCGTTTCCCCGACAAAAATCCCACTCGCCTCACGCCGGTCAGGTCAACGTCTTGGCCTCAGACCTAACATGCGTAGGCCTTGCGGACGATGGCGTTGAGCAATGGTCACTCAAAGTCATCAAGCTTATCGCATTTCCAGATCTCATAAAACCTTCACCCAAGAACAAAGATTCGACGTGTTACCCCACCCCCATTACCCCGTCGTCCTCGTCATCTGACGGTGACTCTGTTACTGATGAAGACGGGTACTTTTCGCATTCCCCATCAAACTCATCTCCGGTGACCAGCACCAGCAATGCCTCACGTTCGACATCTGACCTCCTATCTACCACGCCCACAATGTCCTTCAAGCCGCCCTCCAAGCACCTAATTTCACCATTGACCCCCCTCCGAATTGATACCACCCCTTTATCGCAACCCGCACCAGCACCTCCACCCCCGGTTCCGTTCTTCAGTTTTACCCGCACATCGGAAGGTTCATCCCTAACTACAGACATACGACTTCTTACCGCACTCTTCCCGACCCACGAACGATATCTCATCTCTGGGTTCGACGACGAAGCAGAAGAGGGTGAAGAGGAAGACTCTGAGCGTCTATTCAAATGCCTTCAGATCGACCTCCGCCGCTTTGGGCTCGACAAGCATGGGCTTGTGAATCGCTTCTCACGCGTGCTCGAGGACGCGGGTATAAACCATATGTACAGCTCGACCATCAAGACAGCTAACCTACTAGTGGAAAAGAAGTGTGCATTGAGGGCACAGGCACTTCTGAGGGCATGTTAATGACCGCATGACCTTCTTTTTGGATTATCCTTATACTCATGACGCACCACCGCACTTTCGTACATACTGCATAAAACTGTTGTACTAGCAATGTAGCCACTGTCTATTTATCGAAAGTAACCGTCCCACTCATATGTAGTACTCCATACTCCATTCCGATCCAGAGAGAAACGTAAAGCTACATAAAGCCTGTCTTCTGAAGCGGAATCAGCTGAGGCTCCGAAAACGCGATCACGTCTTCATCCCCCTTCTTCCGTCAACCATACGTCGAGTGATGTTTACGTTCTTTCTCTTCCATGTTGCACTCTGTTGGTTATCATGAGGCTCTGACGCGCCAGATATGGGCTTATACACGCGATCGCTGCTGCTACACTAAAAAATTTCAAAAAAATGCTTCAAGTTCCTTCCACCAGTGATATCGAGTCGGGATATCTCTTATTATTGCCTTCCCAGGAAAGGCTGTCGAGTCATTAAGGAGACCCCTGTGCAAGCAAGCTTTAGAGCAAGTTCGGACCATGGATGAGTATCTCTCAGGAGTTTAATGGCGGCCATGTCTTCCCGGCGAGTTCTACTGCTACCACATCACGCTTTGTTTTTCAGGGATTCCAATGAAATGCTTTCGTAGCATGACCGACAGGAGAATCGCGATCGTATACGGCGCGCCGACGGATCTTGATCTCCCCCCCCCCTCCCCTGGGCCATTCGAATATCCAATGACTCGAGCTCTGTACTTTTTCAAGTAGTACTGAGGGGCTGTTGGTGAAATCAAGGCGTACAAGGATTTTTTTTTCCAATCAAAGCAAGCTTCTGACGGCTTCTTATTCTTTTGTCCGTCCAAAAGTCGAGCTCACTTCCTCCTTTTTCTCCCTCGAACTTTCCTTGTGCTGCCGATTTGACAATTGGTTCGATCCAGGAACTCAACGGCGCGGACCTTCAGATTGCGGACTTTCATTTCTGGACGATGAACATTTGAACGCCGATATGGTAATGCTAGGTCGTACGATTAAGTATGTAAAGTATGATTGAGAGTAGATGGAAATCGGATGTGAATGATATAGAAATACAGATGATGTTGTTATGCATGAGTAGTTGTACAAATGGGAGGGTATCGAACAGAGGTCCGCAATAAGCATGACGGCAAGAAAGCAAAGGAACCGCACATAAAGATCAATGTACATGCACTCCATTTCTTTGCGCAATTTGTTGATACCAGTCATCGAACGGCGGTAGCGCGTCCTCATCCTCGTCCTCGTCTCCCCATGCATCCTCATCTTCCTCTTTGATGGTTTCCAAGTGAACAGGAGCCTCTTCCTCAGGCGTTCCAGGTGGTGTCGTCTCCGGCTCCGATTCTTCGTCCCTATCAGCTTCCTGATCAAAGGCAGCCTGTAAAAATTCAATGTCATCTTCGCATTTCATTACGGAATTGTCGTCCAACAAATATTCCTCATCACAACCCATAAGAGGTCTTTCTGGGACGATCAACCATCCGGGATACTGTGCGACCATCTGGTTATCCCATACGACCCATGGGTCTTCCGGTGGGGCAAAGGTGATGACAATATGCGGCACCCTGAAGGGATTGATGGAGTCAAGGACCAGAGTGTCGAGGGTGTGAGAGTGGGACTGAAGAAGCGGAGCAGCAGGGTCTGTCCATTGGTACTCGTAAGGGTCATTTGTAGGACCAGAATGCGAATGGGAAAGGAGCAGGGCTTGCGCAGCCGCAACGTACGCCTGGCACGGTGTCAGTTGGATCACAAAGGCAGGGAAGATATGAGGGGCCATACCACGGCTTTAACAAGGTGCCGCTGCAAAGCAGTTACGACGTGTAACATTAAGAAACGCTCGGGGGCAGCGGCCTTGACCTAGCAAAATTGAACTATTAGAACCTGACGGGCCAATACTCACCGAATACTCACCACCTGAGTAAACTTGGCTGAACTGAAAACCTTCTTCACTTTATGCGCTACCAGTTGATCAACGCTGAGTACTGGTCCAGGTGAGTCAACCTGGGCATCTTGTGCTATAGGAGGCATTTTTGTTCGGGAAATATATGTTGGTGGTACGCATAACCACCCAGGCCACTGAAAGTCGACCCGGTTTCCCCAAGCAATGGAGTCATCGTATAGCGTCCATTCTGCCGGTGTGATGACGATGTGCGGGGCCTTTTCGGGATTAACGCAATCTATTACTATGTTCCCTGGCGCTTTAAATGCCTTTTGAAGAAGTTTCTGTTAGAAGAAAGAGCTTCAAAAAGACTGGCGGTGAAAGAGGAGTTAAGGGTAAACTGTACATCATCAATGGATTTGTCGAATATTTCAATTACTTCAGGGTTTTCAAAGGCATAAGAAGTCTGATCCGACAATTATGAATGCGTCAGCGAAGTAGAAGAAAATCCACACACCATAGTGGGAACACAAACAAACTCTTCTTCGGAAGAATAGTGTGAGAGTTCGAGGTCATCCTCGACTCCTGAGAGCAGAGACTGAAGGTCTGAGAATGGCTGAAGGTCTGAGAATAGCTGACATGCGGTGGCATCATGGTCAAGGTCCGGCTTTGGGGTGTCTAAGACATTGATACTGAATTCTGCAGTGGCGTCGGTTGAGGTGGATACAGGTAGAACAGGTTCAATCTGATCATGGTTGATTATGACGAGAAACGAAAGACGGTGATAAAGGAACAGACCTGGACATGCACATTTCCGTTGCTATCGTCGAGGTCGAATATCGCTGCGGTGACGGACGTGAACACTACACTTTCGTCGGTTGGTCGCGTGACAGCAGTTTTGAAGCCCGTGCTCGACGTTTCCCACGATGCGGCCCGTGACGCCTTCACCACAGAGGATCGCGACAAGGAGGTTCCCAAGGTATATCTGGGCATAGAGGTGTCACAACGGCCGATGTCCATCCGGCGGGCGGCGTATGTGAGCATAATCTCCGAAAGAAAAACGTTTGTAGATGTTGGGCGATAGTTGTTTTGAATGTAGCGACGTGTCGGTCTCGATAGCTCGTTCGGACGGGGTGGAGGGGTGAGATATGTGGTAGAAATGAAGAAGGATAGTGAGAGAGGCAAGGCGAGATGAATGTGGTGGTGGTAGGAGAGTGTAGTTTGTTTGTGTAGTGTGGCTGTCTGAAAACTGGATGTGGCGACCAAGTCTGACAGCCTTTGTTTCGCCCGACAGTGCCTGGTATCGGTGGCACTAGGTCTTTGACACGGTTTCTTTGTTCGTAGGGATTCCGGACGCGTCGAACAAAGGCTCGTTGAAGATGTGGCGGTGTCCAAAAGACAAAGGTGGGCTCGTCCAGAAGGAATCGACGTGAGGAAGTGAGTCCGAGTGAAGTTTTTGAAGACTGTAATTATTTTGCGGTTCGTCGACAAATGTGGCACTGAGCAATGGTGAGTGTTGCTGTAGTGATCAATGGGAAAATGGCTGATGACAGCTCGGGCACAACGGCATCAATTATCTTATCAGATACAACACATTAATATTGATCTACATGACAAACGTCATCCCAAAATTAACTCTTCTCGGCAACATCCTCATCCGCCCGACGACCGGTCGTCTTCATGAAATTGGCAGTAGAATCGTCGGCCCCTGCAATCTGTACAGGCTATAAGCTTTCGGCTACTTTGAGATAGGTTCAAGACTCACCCACTGACAAAAATCCCTTAAGAAACTAGGCAAGTGCTGGAGAAGCGGCATGAAATTCGCATAGAATGGCAGCAAAATCGTCTGAGAATGTTGATCATCCAGCACACCAATGATTTTTTTGACAACAGTAACTGGCGGAATGGTTGGCATGAGGAATTTGAAGATCAGAGATGGCGACGTGTTGATGCTTTGGAATAGAGGGGTGGATATGCGTCCTGAAACGATTAGAGTCGTCCTGATGCCGGGACATTTGTACCTGTCCCATGGTTCAGCAAAAATCGTAGGAAACAGACTGAAACGTACAACTTGTCCAGTTCATACCGGAGGGTTTCGTTGAGAGAGATAAGGGCCGCTTTAGAGGCAGCATAGTCAGCTAAAGGGGGTCAGCTTCCAGAAAAGCAGTGACAGAAGTGTTGAACGTACACATGCGAACTACCCCACCATATCCCAAGACAGACGACATGGTGACCTACGGGTAGTTATGGTCGTCAAAGAATGCCATGTAGGAAGGCAAAGATATTGTTACAATATGGCCCGTTCTGTTCTGAATCATACCAGGAAGGAATGCCTTGAGCGTATAGAAGTGAGCCAGTGTATTCACCCCGAACGTTCTACAGAATACAATTAAGCGTTTCCAAGGGAAGAAGAAAAGACACTCACTGTTGAACGTCTTCAGGCTTCAAGTCCAAGATTGGCTTCCCTTGCACTACACCTGCGTTGTTAACCAGGACGGTCGGTTGCCCTATCTGAGGTTAATGTAAGGAGGCACTCTACAGACATGGTGACAGCCCCACCTCATCAATGACCTTCTTCGAAACAGCATCCACCTCCTCCCATTTCGAGACATCACACTGGTAGTATGTTATGTTATCTGGAAAAGTTCCATTTCAATTCATCAGCCAAGAAGGGATATAGCAAGGGCTAACAGTTCTCCGTTACAATGGGATTAACATCCAGGACTACGACGTTCACATTTCGAACAGCAAGAGTATTTGCCAAAAGTTCTCCAACACCAGACGAACCTACCATATCATGAAGATCCAACCGTAAGGTGTGAGCGAGCGCCTTTAGTTACCTCCAGTTATGACCACGATTTGTTCACCCCAGTCAAGTCGCGGAGGAGCAAACAAGAGATTTCCTTGGTTCCGGTAGAGCAACGAGCACCACTTGACGAACCCTGTACTCTTTTAGATGGAATTCACAGATAATGATGGGAAACCTACAGAAGAGCGAAATGATGACATAGTAAACCCCCCAGCCGACAATGATTGGGTCCGATATCTGGACACCTTGGAAGAAATAGAAAATAGGAATGAAGAAAATAAAGAAAGGACCTAGATTACAAGTCTATCTGAAGCTGTAGTCGGAAGATGGGACGGATACGCACTGAAAGCTGTATGAGACAAAACCTTGACAACAAGGTCGACGTCAAAACTATCGTAGATGGGGGAACCGTCCGGAGCCCTGGAAGACATTTGAGAAGAAAAAGCAGGCGCAGCCTGGTGGCGTAAGACGAAAACCAAAAGAGGGATGACAACGAAAAGTTGCAGCCGGTGTGATCAGTGATGCCGGCGTCTATTACTGCTTTTAGCGACGGCGCGGACTCTTCTTGTCTTTCTGCCTTGATGATCCTCGTCGGTATTGGACTTGAGGATATGGATCTCGTTATATCGACGACGCAGTATTTATGGTCTTGCTTGGGCGATAATATACTTCTTGGCTCTCCTTCATCTTTCGAGCCTTCCGGCGGGCAAGGTTACGGTGAAGAATCAGGAACAGCAAAGACAAAGGAAACACGCTAGGTATGCCCAAACAAAGGCCTTCAGCTTGAGCCTCAGACATAAGGAAGACATACAGAAGACATACAGTTGGTAGTGGAAGGGCCGAATTGGGATTTATGACATTGCCACGTTCCGGCGCGTCTTGAGCTTCGAACCTGCTTCAGTACACGCCTGTCCCGTCTCCCTTCCAGTACTTCACGAACAGCACCCCCTCACAGACAGTCACAGTCTTTTCCTCTGACGACGACAGTCCCGCTCTCTTGGACGTCTCCCAGCACTGTTCGCGACCGACAAACGCTAGGAGACACAATGCAGCTAGGAGCGAAGGAAAGCAGCGAGGTACACGCTCTGAATGCTACGGTTGGTAAACTTCCATCACTGCGGTTGCTTTCTTTACCTATCCGATAAGCCAGAAAAACGATACGCCAAGGCGTTCTTCGCCGCAGGTGCGTCCTTTAGATCTTACCATCTTCTGCTTTATCTGATAGAAATACATAGGTATATCTGGACCAAGACATAATGAGTGGAAGTAGTCGAGTTTTCGTGAGAATGTCTGCATCAGATGCATGGATGCCTGCATCAGTGGGTATCTTCGTTTCGTGAAGCGCCCTTTGCATACTAATGGTTCTTAGTTACAAAATAACGCAAGCGAAATATCTACTGACACGTTGACCGACTCGGCTGACAATGACTCCGGGCGTTTTCCCAATGCCTTCACACCACTTCACCTTTCCGCCGAGCTTAAAGCTGGGAGCCTACCGCATCTCGTTGCCCCAGATGGATCCAATGAACATCTCAAGGCACTCCCAGAATGCACTAGCCCCGAAACTGTGCGCATATACCCTACCTTTCTACCTTCTATTCTTTGATTTATTTCACTGCAGCTTAAACTGGCATCATCGATAGCAGAAATCAAGATCGCCGACACGACTCTCTCCAGCATTTATACCCAGTCTGCTGCGATACATGCTTCATCTGCTACATGCCAATCCAGTGTCTCCTGTAGGGCTGAAAAATCTCCCGCTAAACATTACGTTCAGCTGCCTATCTTGTCGTCCTATGCCGACGCGACCAATGTATCTTTATTTCCTCCCTCATGATTCAATTAAGAACTGATATTGTGTCAGTTTGCCGCTCGCTTTCCGGACCTAGCATCCGAAGTCTTGTCGCGTCCCCTGAAAACAGCTGTGACCTCAGGCTTTGCAAACGTAGAAGTATCCGCCAAAGAGACTAGGCAGCCGAAGATGCCCGAGCACACTGCCGATCGTCCCAACTGGGCTCTAGCACCAGAAGAGATGCCTGAGTCGAACGATAGCGCTAGACCAGGAAATTCCAGTATAGGACCTGACGCGATGGACGTTGAAGCAACTGCCGATATCTGCCTCCCAAGGTCCAGACGGACAAAGGTTTCCGTTCGGGCGTCAGTGCCTGGTGACATAGGATCCAGCTCCTCCAATCTGGAATCTCTCGAGCAGTCGAGAAATAAGCCGGGAGTTTCTGGTAGGCGAAACTCTCTCCGTCGAGGGCCTCAGACGAAGGATACCGTTTCTCGTCGCCAGGCACCAATGATAAAGGCTGCGAATTCTCACATCCGTTTTGGTGGCATGCGTGGTTTTGGTGATAAGCAAGGAAACTCTACAGACCATCCTTCGCACACTGCATCCTTACCTGTTGATTGGACATCAAATATTTCTCCTGACACGTTACCAGAGGCTTCGAATGCACCGAAACATCTTGGCTGCGAAGAAGTATGGCCTTCTTGTCGCACGTGGGACATCATTGATGATAGGTCTCCAAGGCCCAAATTTGACAACGAATGGGACAATTCGTCGGTGGAGGCTTCCTTGGATAGTACAAGAAAAATAGTGGAATTCCCTAACTCACAGCAGACGCCACAAATCGATAGGTGGAGCCGCCCGGTAGTGCAGGCTTCTTGGGACTACCCCTCATTGGTGCGTCCAGAGGTGGCACTAAGACCACAAAACTCCTCGTACCGTCCATTTGAGCCTTCCCAACAACCTCCAATAGAGTCGGTGCAGAGTAGTGGTTCAAAACAGCCGCAGACACACCCACTTGTTGGATGGATGCCTCCCAGCGACATCAAAGGCGGGATTTCATCGTGTCACCATGCCGAACATTCCATAAGTCTCCAGTCTTGTCCGCAGTCTGATTGTGCCAATGAATGTCATACATCTCTACCGTTGAGACGGATATTGCCTGGTGACGTTGGACATGCTTCTACGGTTATGGACAATCATCTCAACGATATTTCAATCCTTACTTCCCCTCTAACTACACCATCTGCCAGGAAGTCTTTTGTCAGAGAGACAATCATCAAAGCAGAGCAGCGGTCGGAGTCTCCTGTAGACGTTGTCAAGACTAGATTGTTCACCCAGTCCGTCCCGCTCACTCCACGAATGGTTTTGTTCGGAGCTGATTCGTGGAATTCGGCGGCACCATATGAAGTGCTTGGAACCAGTAGAGGAGAGAGAGGGGCGGCTCGGAAGGAGCCTTCCGTATGGTACACTGCGCAGACTGGTAAGCCGTTGGTGATACACATCGATTCATAGAAAGTAAAATGTTTGCTTCAGAGATGCCAAAGGTCACCCCAGTCACGATTAATAACAAATTTCCTGTGAAATCGGAAGGGAATTCGACGCCACTTGACGACGTTGTCCCTCTTGCCGCATGCCCCTCACCCACGCTCGGCGATTCGGTATACCAATCAAGGGAGTCTCATGTTAGTGCAACAACCCCCGCCACTAGAACTTTAAGGCGCGTACCAGGTGTGTAGACATATACTTTGGGGGCGACAGGAGGAATTGAACATCTTTTACGTTCATAGAACCAGAAGTGGAGCCCCGTGTTGATGAGACAAGGCGTCTCCACATCCTTAAACCCAAAGAGCAAACCATTCAGTCACGACCTGTTGCGTCGCGATCTGATTTGACGCCTAGCAAGGAAAAGAAACAGCAATGCTCCCTAGATAGCAACGATCAATCTCAAATACCTCCAAACGCATCACACGGCCCCGAGAAGCTCTTTGCTATATGTGAATCCCCGGCATATCCGTCTGCTGCAGAAACGTCTGGTGAAGGAAAGGGCGAGGTCCATGCCCGTGTTTCGTCACAGGTCAAAGGCTTCTCAGAAGATCCGAAAGTACGTTGCATCTCAGACGCAACAACTCCTACTCCTGAACGCCGTTCGGAAACGGAACAAGATGGGTGTAAGCGTCCTAAGCAGCATCCGGATGGTTACGCTTGGAGGTCGGGCAGATCTGTGTCTGACTGGAGGTGTGGACTTCTAGATCAGTCCTCATCCCAAAAGTATGTTGCTCCGCCGGCTAGGCGTTTCTCGCCTTCTACACTTGGGGAGGGGCCTAGTCTCAAGATTTCGGAACAAAGCAAGATCTATACATTCAAGCTTCCGCCTATTGCACCGGTTCCTGGATCGACCTCCCAAGACGTCAACGCGGCTCCAGAAGCGCAGGTGAAACAGTCCGTATCAGAAGTGGAGTGGGAGGTGACGCAGAATACTGACGCCACGGATGTCAGAAACAACAACACTTTCGCTGCAGATGTATCTGCACCAGAAATAACCAAGCTTACGGCAGTAGGCCAGTCATCACCGGATGTACACGCATCCTTGTTTTTTCACGGAAGTTCACCACTGTGCAACATCGACAATGCCAATACGGATTTGTCTGAAGGCAATTGCTTCGAACCGTCGAAGTCCCCGCCCCTGTCACTTTCCGACTCAAATTGTGTACTTGAACAGAAGACACCATCCGGTGCTCCATCGAATGACAAGGTTGAAACGCCTGACCTGCTTCCTGCTTCACAAAACAGCTCCTCGGTTCTGATGGCTTCCCGATTAATGGACCAGGAAAACATGTTGGACTGTATTCCTCCTCCTCCTCCTACACTTTGGCTTAGTAATCGAGTACTGTCTTCTCCTCATCTTTCACCGGAAGTGGTGGCTAAGCCACGGTGGTCTCCTCCTAGTGCGAGAATAGCCTCATCCATTCATGAACATATTTTAACACGTCAAGATTCAATCGATGTTACAGATCATTCGCATCACCTGTCGCAGCCTCCTTCCAGCAGCTCTAACCCTGACATTTTTTCCGCTCAGAACCAATCTCCGATAGCCTTTGTACATGACTCAGCATGCACGCCTATCCAGGGTTATCTCCACGAAATACCTAGCGTTCATTCAAAGTTGCACCGCCATCCCCCTTATTGTCATCCTGGACTAACGCAGGATTTGGTTGGTTCATCTAGATGGATCGCATGTCCGAACTTGGATGGTGACGCTCAGTACCTGATTAACCAAAGAAGAGTCTTTGACATCACCACCCCGTCTCCACAGAGCCATCGTGAGGCTGGACATCTTCCCCAAGGAGAGTCTCCACTTGTCAACTCTTCGCTGTCACAGCGTTCTGGTTTCATGTCGGGAATCTCCTCCCGGCCAATTGCGCCTTCGGGTCTTGCATTCCGTACTCAATATCCCGCTGGATCAAATGCCTCTTTTCTTTCTGGTTGAAGATAACTCGTTAGTCTGCAGTATCCGATTTCAAACCGAATGTAAAGGCTCCTTGTTGATTACCTGACGAAATATTTCCAAAGCTACCACAGGTTGAAGAGCGGGCTAAAGCAAAGTGGGAATCAGAAGCGCGTCGCGAAGAACGAAAGGTGTCATACAACTTCATGGCTTCATAAACACGTCTTTACAAATGTAACGTAAGCCAACTGGAATGAGATTACTAGTATTTAGACACTTACGCGAAGGAGAAATTCCCGACGTTCTGAATCGCAGTGACTGCAGAGCCATCGATAGTCATATTGGTAAACGGCGTGTTTGCTGGGGCTTCTTTTCCGAACCAGTCCATAGCGAGAATAGACGCGCGCCATCTGCCCGTACCCAGTATAGTATTATCTCACACGGAAACCAGAGAGAATGGCCTAGCTTCAAGTACGCCAAAATGGACAAAGATACTCTAGTCAAGACTTTTAGGTTCAGGTTACTATTTTCCTGCTTACTCTTTGTCTCGGATTTCTCACCCGTACATCTTAGCTATCAAACGACATTCACATACGACTGTTTTCATTATTCAATTTTAATGACACATGTACTCGGTGGCAGACATAAATTCCAGGCTTGGAAGAAACTTGTAATTGAAAGTTTTAATCCTCTTTTTGCACCACCTAGAGTACATGTAGGTCAGAGTCATTGAAAATATTATCAGGAGCTGTTGTTTGAGCAGACAATGGAGCTGAATCACCTCTGATGCATGTGATCTACCTCTATCTAGCAAATGTCCTCTCTCTTTGGACCTCAATGCCCAACCTCAATGTCTACCTTTATGAATTCCACTTATCAACTGCAGATATGTTAGGAGCTTCTGATACTCAATGGATGCAGATAGACTCTTCAGGAATTTTGCAATTAATGAGATAAGGATATCAGTATTGAGCCATGAATGCATGTGAGTAAGATAGTAATGAATGTGATATGATATACATACCTTGTTGTAAAGGTGGATTCCAGAGGTAGAGAGCATTTTCATAATTGAGATGCTTGCAGTTTCTGCCACTACAAGACACTTGCCTTATCCACAGGATGGGGCATTTGTATCATCTCTGATTTAGTGCTGAGTCTCAGTTGAGGCTGATTCATGAGAGACATTGGTGCAGTTGTCTCATTCTAATCCTCACTCTCCATTCTGCACTTTTAGGTGAGACAAGCTCCACTCTGTCACTGCTCACCCAGGCTCATTCATCACTCCCAGGCTTCAAGGCTTTGCCTCCACACTTGCTGTTAGCATTATTATTTGTTGCCTCCCTCTTCATCCCTCAGTAACTTACTCCAGCAGTTTCAGCCTGTGGTATTGCTATGTCTAATCTAGTTCCTTCTTTGAACCTATTATTTACAAAGTTCTATCAAATTACCAGCTTTTTGTCACCCTCCCAATGTCTCTCTTACTTCATGTATAATAATAGTAGCCATTCATGTGTTACAATAGATTGAAGAGCTTGGCCTCTCTTCTGTAGCTATCTATCCTCTCTTGTCAAGTAAGCAGCAGAGGTCAGTTGGGCACAGGAAAGGTAAAATGACTGAGACACCTGATAATTACAACTGTGAATATATAGATGATCAGAGAAGGATAAGAGGTAAGTATATATAAAGTAGGGAATAAAGAGTGACAAAGGAAAGGAAAGTATACTAGTATAAGGTATAGATATTTATCAACACTCTCCCGTATTCATGCTAGTCAATCTCCCATCATGTTGAGTGATTTCAGGTAGCCATGGTGAGCATCATGAGCCAAAGGTTTGGTGAACATGTTGGCAGGATTAGTGTTACTGTGAATGAACTTGACCTTCAAGTTGCCAGTCTTAATGAACTCCTAGATGAAATTCTCCTGAATATTGATATGATGTTTATGTTGTTCATGCTTGAAGTCCAGTGATTGGCTGGGACAGTCAGTCCAGACTCCTATTCTCTTCAAGCAAGCAGTACTGAGCTCTGAGAATACAAACCTCATGAGTGGTATAGCTGATATCATGAACATTGTCTTTACTATCATCAGTCAGATCATATCTGATCATCCATCTTTTTATGACTGCTTCTCTGTGTCTGACCAGGGGCAGGTTCCAGAGTCTATTATGACTGGAGGCATCTTTTATGTTGGCCACCATTGGAATGCTTTATTTACTCTTCCTTGGTCAATATGCTATGATCACCAAGATCATATATATTTATTTCATCACATACATCATGTCCTGGGCAATTCTCAAGCACATCTGGGTATCCTCGTCACAAACGCTGTGTATTTGTGTGACTGTCTTTGGGCGTTGACCCTCAACTGGGGTGTGAACTTTGTGGTTGCATTTACATAAGTTCACCATATTCGAGACATAGTACATCGTATATAGCACTATTTTATGTTATACGCATTATCAGATTCATTTCATTTTATGTCATAGATTTTAGGCTCGTGGATTTCATTATGGGGTTATAAATGAAACATTTCAATGGGATTACAGTAAGATAGAGCTCAGCCACTGGAACGATCCACGATTGTGGTCCTATATGGACCTATACATCAACATCGGATAGTAAGTGCCTGTTTCAAATTGCGACATCCTGAAGCAGGATTTCTCTCCGAGTACGACGGATCTCTCACCAGCAACGTGATCAAAGGTATTCTTCATGAGGATGTTAAAAATTATAAAGGATGGGCTGGAAAGGTGCCAACAAGGAAGCTGGTTTCATTATACGTGGTTCTGAAAATTCGACCATAAAGAGCGGGGTATCGAGTCTGTGCGCCCGACATGGGGACATCTCCGGATAGAACTGACCATAGGGAATTCGAATTGTTTCGTGACCAGTGAAAAGTAAAGGATGTCGGGGGTCATTCGGGGTTTATCTTCATTAAGACAAGTTCAACGCCGGGACTCTAACGCCTCAGACTAGTTAGTTATTTTGTGGAGGCAGGATGGAACTTTGATAAACATCTGTTAGATCTCGGTATAGCTGAGGCTCAGGGTGAAGTCAAGTGCCTAGATCTTCAAGCTCCAAGTTCGAAAGCACGTTCGAGATCCTTGGCAAACGGGTTTCAACAAGACCTGAGGGAAGCAACGGACATACCTAGTCTCGATTTGAAACTTGGCAAAAGGTCAAGGAGTACAAGGTATTGAATACGGGGGCAGGCTTAGCAGCGATAACTAGACAAAGCATACAAAGAAAGGGTGGTAAGAAAAGTATACATGAATCGGAAGTCACAGACAACCAGGTCCGCAAGAAGAGGCTGGCATCTAGCGCAGTCTGATGAGAAGAACTAGACATGGCTATGGAGAGTTGTGTGGTGTTTCACGGCCGGGCGCTGATCATATGGAGCATCAAACTTGGACATTGTCCCTAGATGAAAATAAAAATCAGTCCAAGGTGTCAAGGAAAAAACCCAAAAACGTACGTAGCCTCGCCGATAACATTACCAGGCGGGTTGTACAAACAGGCTATGAGCGTCTGTGAACCCCCAGTGTCGAAGACATCATTACAGGCTGTGTTTCGTGCACATCCTAGCTCCGTAGTTGACTTCCACACTACCTGGGTAAAATGATTCAGGACATCAGAACCATCGGTGTAATCCGCTGTATATTCAACAAATGTCATGAGCGCCCGGATCACCAGAGGTAAGAAGAACGTCGAAACGTGCCTTCATCAGCCACGAACGCATTGACGGCAGTTTCAATGGAAACCTCCCCTGAACCCGCAACTATGATTTCGCCGTACGAAGTGTCGAGCAGCTGGCCATTGGTGGCTCTGAATTCGCACTGATTCACCCATAATTGGGCTGCATCGGCAAGGGTGTATGACCATGTCAGCGAATCAGCACCGTGCTGGATGCGGATGGCGTTATGGGCGGATAGAAAGGTATACACATCGGACAAAGACGTGTCCCGTCTCGACGCGTGACGCTTCTGAAGGTGGGCAGATGCAGCCGGCACATAAAGAAAAGACAGAATAGTAGCAATAGCTACGATAAGGAAGGAACGTCGGGCGATGAAGATCATGTCGGGTGTAATGAACGTAAAGCGCTGGCTCCAAGGCCGCTGTGAAGGTGGTGGGAGGGAAAGACGTGGAAGAATTGTTCTCTTCGCCTTGGCCTGAAGGCGTGTTGATCAATGTGACATGTGGGAACAATCGAAAAAGACTCATCCAGTTACCGTGGTGATGATGGGTGATCGTATGTCCACCTCGTATTGGCCCGGATCCGGCGGATAATGAGACCGAGGCTATGCAGGAAGCTGAACGCAAAGAAAATAAGAGGTTATTTTGAGGAGAATCTGTCCAGATCTCCGCCGGACAAGGTTCACCATCATGAGAGAACGACGTTCACACGACATAACGGACACTTCCTTTTCACAGCTTTGAGGAACAGAATGAGGAGTGGCTGGGTAAAATTTTGGCAGTATGTCGGTGATTTGTATGGAGTCAAAAATGTGTCATTTCGTAACATGCGCACTGATACCTCGCATGGGATGGGAGTACTCTCGGCTTTTGGGGTTCAATGGACCGATGTCATGATTACGGTCCAGCAACAGGTCTGATTTTGTACAATTCTTTGAACGCGTCAAGCTCCTTCTCTTTTGTTTTGTACTGCTCAGCGAGATTACCCACGGCCTGAAGTATCTGTCAAGTCATGATCATCTGTAAACTGTCGCAGAAGCTATAAAGACGCGACATACCCCATCCCTATTCATAGTAAGAGCAGGTACGACATCCTTCACGGTCCGTTCAACCAGAACTCCCCCGATAAGGCGGAAGCATTTGCGATCCGGCTCCTCCGTCAGTGCTTCATTGAGAGTCGTGAGGACAAGCCTGGCAGACCACCATCAGAAATCAAAGGCCTTGAAAAAGGATCTCTCTCACACACCCATGCTCATCAGCCTCTGATTCCAGTTCACCAATCTTTCCTGCGAGGTTTCGAAGATCGCTCTGGTACCGATTAAACGTCTGCAGAATCTCTGGCTAATCCACTTTAGTTATCAGCAGAAGCACAAGTCCATATAGGACATACCCTGCTCCGATAGCTGAGGAGGCTTTGTTTTTGCCTTGGTGGCCGACATGGTGATGGTCCCGGTCAGAGACAGACTGTTGATGAATTCTAGTGACACGATTGGCCAGAGTCACGTCACGCACCGTGACCCACAGATTTCCGTGTCACGCCAAGGCTCGGAATTGCAACGTCGACCATGTCTTTTGCTCGTGGACGCGCCTTTGCGGCCTTCCAGTCTTCTCTCAAATTGCTGCAGCTGTCGTCTTCGATGTCTTCCCGTTCTCTGCCTTTAACTCGCCGGCTTTTGTCGACATCGGCATCTATTCGCCAGCTACAAGGCTTGAAATCCAACAATACCGACCTCGAGAGTGACATGAAGCTTTTGCACCATCATCGGAGCCATGACCCCAGACTGTTCGACGAGGCTGGCCGTGACCTCAATCCGTACAGAGAGGGTCCCAGTGCTGTTGACAAGGCCGTGCATTTGTTCTTCCTTACCGAGATCGTGAGAGGTACGTTGGATAAACTTGGAAAATGGGATGTCCCTATAACGCTTTCTCAGGAATGTGGATTGTCTTAGAGAACTTCTTCCGCCAACCGTACACGATCAAGTATCCTTTTGAAAAAGGCCCCTTGTCGCCGAGGTTCAGAGGAGAACATGCTTTGCGCCGCTATCCCAGTGGTGAGGAGAGATGTATTGGTGAGGGGATGCTTCGTCTTCCATTCCCACGTTACTGACTTCATGTCCGAACCAAAGCTTGTAAGCTTTGCGAGGCCATTTGCCCCGCCCAGGCTATTACCATTGAAAGCGAGACTCGAATGGATGGGTCAAGGCGAACAACGAAATATGGTCCGTAGTCTCTATGAATCATGAACCTAGGTTACACTCATGCTCCGCTCAAAAGATATCGACATGACGAAATGTATCTACTGCGGCTTCTGCCAGGAAGCTTGTCCAGTGGATGCCATCGTTGAAAGTAAGTTGATTGGTTGCTTTGGATACCCGTCATCTGAGCTTATTGTCTGTAAAGCTCAAAACCAAGAATTTGCTACGGAGACGCGCGAAGAGCTGCTGTACAACAAAGAGAAGCTTCTTATGAACGGGGACAGGGCTGAGGCTGAAATCGCTGCCAACCTTTACGGTGCGTTCATCTGCCTTTCTTGATTATGCATCCTCTTATACCATTTATTCAGCCGAACATGTCTACCGGTGAAAAGCAGGCCTAGTCTGACAGAGTAGCGGGGTAGCTAAGGTGGTGTAATCTAATATATCAATCCATAAGGATACTGGACAACTATTGACCGATGAACAAACCTTTCTATACTCGTGAGACGAGTTCTATGCTCAGGAGTTCGGGCAAGATTTCTTCCCTTCTTTCCCGGCCAATTATATTCAAGATAATGCAGGGCTGTTAGAAAATTGCCGTCGTCAAAAAATTTTTTTTTCCACACTTGCTCACCAGACACCACATCTACAACCTCGCTTCCACATGATATCCTAATATTCATAGATGGCTGTCCAGACAGTAATTGGTTCAATTCTATTGGAACCATTCAATCATTTCCACCGGCTAGAACCGACGGGCACTACTCTAGGTACTTATTCATTTTATCTGCGCTATAAAGAAATGATCCTGATGCATTCGTTACTCGAATGCATTGTCAGTGTGACTCGCTGAGCTGGAAATTCTCATACATAGCCTGCCGTACTCTGGCCTCCCTAAACCAACCTATGATCAACCCAACCGCGTGTATACTCGCCCTAAATAGACGCATAGCTGTGGAAAACCAAATACGGCGACTTCCCAATACTCCTCGGAAGAACACCGATCAATGATACGTGGTATGCGCCACCGCCGGGAGTGGGAACCACTATGTCAATTCGTCCACCAGCTCGCCAGGAGTAGTTTTCATCTAAGTTTTCAGTCTCACCAAACCTACTCTGAGACTATGACTCCTTTACAGACTTGGGGTCATTCGTATTCGATCCACCTACCGCCTTCTTGCCCACTGCCTACCACAAATGGACTTGCACCTCAGTCTTGATTCCGACTCTATTGGGAATGCAGAGAATCCGCGTCCAAAGAAGCTCCGAGGTGTCAAGTATCACAAGTACGATCCGTTCTCTTCAATACAGTGTGTTATCTATCTCCTTGCTAACCTGCAACCCGGACAGACCTTCCGTGAAAGGGACTCCCCGCCGGAGTCTGCGTGCCCACGAAGCCATTCCCGAATACACCAAGTCATCTATCAAGATATCAGCTCGTCGTACGTGTGCTACGATGTGCAGTCCCCTATCAGCACAGCAGAATCACAGTCCATTTGACAGTGAGCATCCCACGCGCACTACTAATAGACTCCATATGTCAAGTCTTGGGAAAGCCTCTGGTATGCAGTCAGGTAGTAATGCTGCGAGCACCCGTTCCGTAACACACGATCGAACGTCGTCATCGGCTTCTCCTCCATTGTTTACCGCCGCCTCTAATGGTCTGTCCCGGGTCCGTCAACAGCTAGAGCGAGAAACAGCTCGCCTCGGTCGAAATCTCTCCATTATGGATTTCGTACTAGATTCGAGATCTCCCTGGGTAGATTTCTCGGTGGAGATGATCCTAGAGATTGCGATCCGAAGCCATCTGTATTCTCCTTCACGTCGTCGCGAGTACGGGTTCGGGGATGAGCACAGCTTCAAGGCATACTGGGACGAGGAGGCGATGATCTAGGCCGGCGTTCAAGATCACAGCCAGCCCCTCTTAGGGGGGAATCGGTTTCCGGATTCCTGCGAGCGCTCCACTGTTTCTGTTCATGTCACCAATGGGTAAATATTACAACTGAGGCACGAACTATACGGGACGGGTCCTAGCTAGATATGCGAATAGTACGGCCGTAGCTTCGCCGGTATTGAGGAGAGCCACCACGAAATGTCATATGCACGTCTTCTTGAGCTACGAAAAGGGTGTCCTGGGGTCATGTCACTAGTCTTCGTACTGTTGTTCCATCCGGTTACTTACTCAAAGCGAGTGTACCTTGCTAAATTATCGTGGAGTCTAGGCTCGGAGTGAGATCCCGCGCTGACACCAGTTGCTCCGTTTCGTAGTGCGCTCGTCATCACACTGCTCGGGCGTAGCGTGTCTCCAATGAACATTATGATAAATGAGCCTCGTACACATTACGCCACATAGTACCTACAACGTCATGGGCACAAGGTTTTTGAAGTGAGAATGACGTTTGTGTGTGTGTGGATGGTATATCTATGATGTTTTATTTAACCCTTGTATAGAGGATAGGAAGAGAAGTTGTACATAACTACAGAAGGATTGCACGACAACAGAAATAGGAAGAAATGCCTTGATTATCGTACCTTAATGTCCAAACAGAACCGTTAGAGACTTTCAAGGCCCCATGCGGTCGTCATCCTGGTCCTCACCACCCCGTACGCGCTCCCTGTGATATCGTTTGGAATTCCTGTCCTGCCCGGGATAGAGCGCTGCCATGGCAGGATCATCAACCTCCATCATATCTACACTTCTTCGTTTTCTGGCGTCAATCCTAGCAGAGGACCTTCCTTGCTCCGAAGGTGTATAAACGCCACCGCCACCTCCACCACGATCTCTCGACTGTGATCGTCCGTCTTCGTGTACAAAGTCCAATTCTTCCTGAGGTGGGGCTGACGGCGGTTGAGCCTGACTGACAGGACGCAACCTAAACGATCGCGGTCGATCGTGGTCATAGTATTGGCCACGGGAGTCCGGACGAGAAGGACCGTCAGCCCCGCCAATGCCAGATCCTGAAGCACCTGATCCTGAGCCAGGCGTTTCGGACCGCGAATGCTGCATAGGGTAGCCAGGACCCGCGCTCGCGCTGCCAGCTGACATTTCATGGTAATACCCTGGTTCTTCGCGCATACGCGACGTGTGATGGTCTGTGTATTCCATGGAGTGTCTGGAAGACCGATGTACCACCGGAGGCGAGTGCATGTGAGCAGGGCCTAACTCAGCCTCCCGGCCACCGCGCATCATGTCGCGACGGTCACGTTCTCTTAGCTCCCATTGACGTTCCGCATCGTAGTCAATCTCGCGTTGGCGGTCCCGATGATCCTCTCTGTTGATGTACGTGCCGGGACCGAGACGCTGGTGGTTGTGCACTCTACTAGAAGACGACCGGGCATCAGACGAATGCGAGCGAGGAGATAGCGGGCCCATGGCATGATTGTGCATATCGCCATGCGGAATAGCTAGTTCGTGCATATCTTGACGTCGGGAACGTTCACGATCTGACGGAGGTGGCGAACTGAGCAGGACGTGGCCAACGGGTGGCAGGCTATCCCCTGGATACGGATGCGGCACATAAGGTGCCGGAGGACCCCTCCGGGAACCAGAATGGGACCGTTCATGAGATGGACTGACGTGAGAATGGTGGGTGGTTGGACTTGTGGTATGAGAATGAGACCGAGTTGAATGACTTCGTCCTGGTTCCATGGGTGGCTGCATGGGAGGTAAAGGGGGTATTGCACCGAGACGCGCGTCGTGGGCTGGTGGAACGCCTGCTGAGCTGCGCCGTGTCAAGCGTATCGACGATGTTGCCGGCGCGACTGCTGGGCCTAAGGATGGATCAGCAACAGGCAGGGGTCGTCCGTCGGGGCCAGTGACGACCCTAACATTGCCATGGATGCGAAGATACTCGACAAGAGCAGGATCGTGGTCCATAGGTGGTCCCTCGCGGTGAAGGTGGGAGGTGGGCAAGGGCTGTCCCTGAGGGGCGATAGGAGGGAGCGGCTGGCGATCCTGCAATTCTGGCGAGTGAGGGTGAGGCGCGACCGAAAGGCGTTCATAAAGAATGCTGATAAAAGATTTTTGGAGAAATTATTAGACATACGGAGGAAGGAAAACAGAAAATGAATATTGTGACTCACGCCCTCTCGAGTTTCATCCGTTGGATATTTCGCTTGGCCTGCATAACCTTGAGCTGGAGTTTATCATTGTCCTTTCCGGCAGGTCAGCGACGGAAAACATATGAAATACGTTTTGGCACACACCGACTCAATTTCTTTGACTTTTCTCTTCAACTCCTTGTATTTGTTGTGGTACTTTGCATCTTCAGCACCGGCCGTAATACCTCCAGAGTATGCTTTTGATTTTTGCTGCTTTGCAGACTGGATTTGGGCTTGAGTTGTGTTGGAGAGATGTGCATTTCCTGGCGAGGGTTGTCTGGACATGATGGTTCGAAAAAAAGAACCAGGGCCAGATTGCTGGCAGGTGATGGATATTTTCGGCGCCAAATTCTCGCTACGAAGGTGTTGTTGCCTTTTTTAGGAAGAGCTTAGGGCCAAAGTGACGAGTCTCCATCCGACCATTTCTTTCGGCTGTATGAATTATTATGTCTGCCATCATATGTAGCCAATCATTCGCACCCCCGGATGGCTGAAATTACGAATTCAGTCGATGAATTAAATAAATAATGTGGCCTCTCCACGTAACAGCTCTTGGCTGACCAAGATGCCAGCGCCATGATACATATCTCATATCTACTACGTACGATGCATTATGCGGCAGATCAGCAAATCAGATGCGGCCAATTTCGGAATCGGTATCTCGTCACATCATTTGTGGCTGCTCACGTGACCACAAACTTGGCCAGACACCACCACCACCGTTGTCGTCGTCGTCGTCGTCGTCGCTGTAGTCATTCTAGTTGCCTATCAACCAGTGAGTTAGCCTTTTACACTTCTGCATCACCAGTATGCTAAGAATGTTTCTAGTGTCGATCCCATATAGACAGTATGTGCATGGACCGGCACCATTTTGATCAGCTCTAAGTGTAGCACTAGGGATATGCCCCCACCGGGAGGCTTCGAGTCCGTCAAGTACAAACGGAACTTGCCTTTTCGTGGACCCGGAGCTTTCGCCATTCTGGGTGGTGTCACGCTTGTCTCCGCGTATGGCTTCTATCGATTGGGTAAAGGAAATCTAGAGAAACGGTATGTGACCTCTGTTTGCGCTACTTCCACCGAAGTGCAGACGTCAGCTGAACGTGGAACGTGTTCATTTGGGTCCCGCTCGTCGATAAACGTGGCTCTTTGCTGGATCCGTCCGCCCAATGGAGCGTTTATCTGCACTGGATCGCGCGGTCCGTTATGAAGGGGCAGTATGGAATCTGATCCTTCTTTTTTTCTATTGTTTCTTTATTGCAGGGAGCTGGAGAGAGAAAAGGTCTGGTCGCGTATCCACCTGGTCCCCCTTCTGCTGGCCGAGGGTGATCGCGCCGCGTATGCTCGCCACCAAGCGGACATTGCTTTAGAAAAGGCTATTATGAAGGATGTGGCCGGTTGGGAGGTAAGTGTGTCTGGCTTGAACCGATGTAGCCGTGATTGATTTGCGATCCGTCATTTCCGAACGGCACTTCTAATCGCTATTCATCTTTACCTGTTGCGCAATTCGGCCAGGCTGGTAAAAGCGTCTACAACAACTCGAAATACGAATCGCCACGGATTAACATATCGTAGTGATGTATTTCGGACTTCCGAACACCGACGTCTTCCATTAGAGCCTGAAATTAAGAAAAGAGACTCATGGCAGTATTATTGATCTTGAGTGATGGCTGGATTTATTGGACAGATTCGATACATTTGATGCATACTGTCGGAAGGAGATATGTAGACCTTTGTGAGGGAGAGAAGGCCGAGGCGTCGATGTCCAAAAACAGACAGTGGCCACAAGGCCGGAAATGCCCGATCAACAGGGTCATATATACCAAATTTGGAAAATGCGTGGGAAGGGAAAGTACGGGTTTTGCTATTTTTTTTTTTTTTCCCGTTTCAGCCACACTTGCACTAGTCTCCGTGTTAGTGAATTCTCGAAAAGTCTGGTGATTTGTCTTTTGATTTGTTTTCGCGGGACGGAAAGAGATACTAATTCGATACAGGTGTGCGGCAATTGACTGCTGTTTGCACAAAACTTATATAGCACATATCGGTACTTATCTTGGATCTATCAAACCCTCCGGACACCGACATATGCTCTGTCACCTCGCATCAGCTGTGCTATAATTGGGCGTTTTTCTTCGATAACCTGATCAGGATAACGGTGAGAAGCAATAGAACAACAAAGACCTCCTGTCTCCCCCTTCCTTACGCGGCTCGGGGGGCAATCTTGGCTTTTGTCGTGACTGATTCATGTCGAGTCAGTAACATACACAGGAATGGAAACATTTCGAAGGCCGCTCCGGATTCCTCTTAAGCTCAGCTTCCGACTCCTCAGGGCGTTTTCTTGTGCCCGAACTTCCTCTTGCGTGACTGCGCCACGTATTTTTAAGCGCAACAGCCTGCGGTTATCATCTCCCCCTTCTCCTCCATCCCTAGCCATGCCTGCTCCCACTCTACCTCGCAGACAGTTCTCCCCCCTTCCCAGGAGTACCCTCTATCCTGCTGACGTCCCCATGATGGACGCGAAACCACTCGCCTTCGACGACAACCACTTTGTCAACCCGGATTCTGACCAGATGCTTTTTGACTTTGACGACGTGTCATTTCATGAGCAATCTACCGTCCAGTTTCCTTGGGACCTCCATGATATCGATATGGACTCCAAGCCCGTGTTCGATATGCACACTTCCCCGCGTTTCGCTTTCCAGCACCCCCCCACTGACAATATCTTTGACTCGGCGGGTTTTTTTCCTTCTGAAGCCCTTGACAGTTCCCCCTCGTTCGACAATAATCTCTATTTATCCAACTGGGTACATGACACCGACTTGCCCTCTCCATCGTCCCCCATATCTATTCCCGCTTCTACACCGTCTCCGCCGTACATTCCTTTCGCTGAGCGATCACCTTATGCCGTCCCAGACAAAGCCTACTCACCTGCAAACTTTGCTGTTCTTCATCACCTTCCTCCTTCTGCTTCCCCCGCCTCGTCCTTCGAGGACATCCACTCCTTTGAACGTTCCCGTGTTGATTCCATTTCTCCCAAAGAAGTGTCGGCAGTGACCCCCGCCTGGGCTTCCCAACTCTGGGATGCACCGCGGCCAGGTCACATTCGCTCTTCCTCCTCTCGTTCTCCCGTTCGACACTCACCCCTCTCTCCCACCAATACCCAGCGATTACGTATACCCAGACGCGACACAGTTTCTCCCGTCAACCTCTTCCAGTCGGCGAGCGCCCCTGCCTTGACCCTTGCTCCGGGCATGGCTCGGGCGTACAGCAGTGGCAAAGCCGAGTCAGGCGGAGTCACCGACCGTGACGCGACCATCCGGCGGAAAAGAAAGACGTCAGATCCCGAAGAAATAGAAAATAGAGCCAAGGATAGCGACTCTCGTATGTCATCTACACCCGCAGTAGCTGTTTTGGCAAATGATTGACATTTGTATTTAGCTCCGTTAAAGTCCGTGCTGCGTCCCCCAAAGTTAGCTCCTTCGGCTTGGCAGCTGTATTTCACGGACTGGATCCAAAGGCAGCAGGCATCCAACACACGTAAGCTTAATGTTGCACAAGCTGCTAAAGAAGCCGGGCAAGAGTATGCAGGGCTTAGTGCAGAAGAGAAAGAGGTGTGTGACGATCTATTATCTGACGTCCACCCAATCTAATATCTCTCTCTCTCTCTCTCGCTCCCATTAGCCCTATAAGCGAAGGTCTCAGGCTATGAAAGAAGCCAGAGAGCGTGAGCTCGCCGCTTACATGCGAACTCTGACCCCCGACGACATCAAGCGCGAGAACGCTTATCGCGCTGCTCAGCGGAAAGCCGGGAAATCGCGAAAGAGCAACATCAAGGATCCTAATGCGCCAAAGAAGCCTCTGTCCGCATACTTCATGTTCCTTCAGCGCATCCGGGCGAACCCGCACTTGGTCCAGGAGATCTTTGGTGATGAGACCGAGACGACGAAGCAGAGTGTTCTCGCTGCAGCCAAATGGCGATCCATGACCGATGATGAACGTAAGGTATGTTGAACTCGATTGTTTACTGATTATTACGGGCGTGTTCTCATTATGGTGACTTGGCAGCCGTTCCTCGCTCAGGCCGAGCAGGAGAAGATGGAATACGAAGCCGCACGGAGGCTATACGAAGAAGGGGCACCAGCCTTCGGAACGACTATCAATTTTAGTATCTTACCTGGCAGTCCGGCATTCCGAACAGTCAAGGTGGAATCAGAGAGTGAGAGCGAGGGATACACCGATGACAGTGGCTACGAACGATTCACTCGATGACCGTTTTCTCGTTTTCTTCTTGATGACATATTCCTTGTGCGAGCCCCTTTGGCTTGCTGACGTGCTGACGACCCTTCATGCCCCTTTCTATTCTACGTACGTGCTTCGAAACGATCTTTTTGCTTATTAGTGTGTTTCGAGTATATTATTGCTTTGAACAATCTTCGGACAGCACTGTATAATGGGAATACCTATGCACCCCACTTATGTATTGTTAGCACATATTGCATCTCCGTACATCTGACGAATACGATTTCGTTCAATCAGAAGACTTTGGAGCCATCAAAGGGAGCTGAAGGACCATCTTCTGATGAGGTTCACCATCCTCATCAAACTCGGCACCCTAAAATGATAAGATAGCCATGAGGCGACACCGGAGAAAGACGACGGCTTCTTGACATACCTCTGATATATATCCAAACCTGGAAGAGGAAATATATTAGAGTATGCTCCGATGTTCGGCGGAGAATACCCACTTGGCATAAAATCCCTTGACAGGTATCTGAGAATGGCACACGACGCTCGCGGATACGTCATGCTCGGGCATAGTGGCCATGGGACTCGCGTCAATTTTCACCCATTCACGCAAGCCCAGTAAGAGTTCTTTCCCCAACTTGAACTTTCGATACTGGTCCAGTACAGCGAGTCTACCGATCTTGTAATAACTTGACGATAACCTGACTCCACGGATCGTTCCAATTGGCTGGAGCGAAGGCAGGAGCCGCAGAAGGAAATGGGTTGTTGCAGCCTGAGGGTCGTCGAACCTGTTGGAACATCATCATAGTCAGGAGAAGAAGGATACGAAGAGGTGCCAGTGTAACTCGTCTATTTCGGTTTCAAGGGGGAATTTTTGCTCGTGATGGAAGACCTGGATTCGAACATCAAGGCATTGCTGGATGTGTTCCTTTGTGGTGGCGATGATGATTTCGTGGTCTAGAACGTCGACAGTCATAGTCGGACGGTGGAGTGATGGTGATCTAGTACGGTAACAAGACGCAGGGGAAGTACGTGCGCCGCCGACACTGTTCGACCTCTCGTGAAGAAGATATATGGGTAGCTATAGCCTTCTGAGTTTCAATCTAGCATTCTGAGTTTCAATCCGTTTCCGAGTCCGTTACATTGGTGACCGCAAATACCTAAAATTAGAAGATAAATTGGGGGGTACGGGGCAAGTACGGGGGAGAGAAAGAAGACAGTCGGACAAGCGAAGGGAGTGTGTAGAAGCTGCGGTAAATATGAACTATATGAAGTTCATGAACAGAAATGAAAATACGGGTGCATTACTTGCTTCAAGCGGATCGAAGCAAGTGGGTGGAGGGGGAAGCAGCGTCACGTGACGTGACGTGAAAGAGTGACCGTGACACGATCGCCCTCGAGTAAAGTTTTTCTTTCGCAATCAATTTCCGAATATACTGGTCATTTGTTCAATCACCTCTCATTATTCGCCTGCAGGTATTCTAGCCACTGTTTCTATTATATTTGCCACACTTCTAATAATGGTTCTGCAGATACTTGTCTACCTGGACGAGTGGGTGGGTACATGCTGGAACCCGTTGCAACCGCACTTTTCACTTCTGTCCTTGGTAGCCATATAGGACAACCGGCTGCGTTCCAGGCTACTGCTCGATCAATGCGACGCTCTTCGGCAAATATTTTGACGTCTGATTTCTTTATTCCCCAACCAAGACGCGTCAAGGATAAGGGGAAAGCAAGGGCAACGGGGGTCCGACTTGAACTGCACGAGTGCACCCCGGATCGTCTGTTGCAATGTCGAGAATGGTCGTGTATCGCCCGGCACTCGATATGGTGTTCAAGTGAGTCCGACGGATTCTTCTCGCCTGCTGAATTCTCATCTACACCGTGTTAGATCGCCATCGACGGCTTCTGATGAAAGAGTTCCCTTTGGTTGAAGACATTCCATCCAGAAGTCGTATCTCCACGCGAATTCCCGCCACCCTGCATCCATATTCTTCTCGTCGTGTCGCTGTTCGTGCTCACGGTGGGCAGAGAAGACATGTTTCGCGTACTTCGAAAACCGGACCGCCGTCTGACGATTCCGGAGTTTCTTCTGTCGCCGAGGCAGGTTCTGAAGCTGTTGATGCATCCCTCATACATCCGGAAGTGGCGTCTGAGATTCCATACGACTCTTCCGACTCTCGGTGGGTTCTACCATCGCATCTCCTTCCACCGGATAAGAGCGCACAAGCAATACATTCCCTTCACCGTGTTGCACTCAAACCTCCAGACGATTTTGATATTGAAGAAGCCTGGACGGTTTACGAGTCTGTCACTGAGGAGCATGCAGAGCATCTAACAAGTGTTTACCTTCTCCACCAACTCGTAGAGCGTATGCTGTACACAGCGGAAAAATGGTACGACTCAAAAACCGGCCTAGAGGCGCTTCATCAATGGGGGGACCGGATAAAACATCTCTTGCAAACCCTAGAATCACGGATATTGTCTCCTTCCCGGTTTCACCATGCACATTGCTGTCTCACCGCACGTGCACACGCATTAACCGGCGAATACGAGCTCGCGGCGCAGTACCTCCAAGCAGCGCGCGTGTACAGGGAATGTACACCGGTGGACGTCATCACGATGCACCTGAGCATATTGCTATCAAAAGTTCGCTATTATGATGTGCGTCAAATGGTGGCATACCTTCTTGCTGAATGGAACGACGTAAGCGCCTATCTTACCGTACCCTGCCGACAACCATTTCCCTCCGACCCTGTCCAGCGTGCATGGACACTGTTTTTCTTTACCGTGACAGACCTGCTGTGCCACGTTCCAGATGCCAATGTTTTTTTTGCCCCGGAAGCGCGTCTAGAGGTTATCCAAAAGGAGCGTATAGGTAGCTTGTTCATCCAAGCACACTGCACTCGTTCGCGACCTATGCATGCTTGGGATGTTTTTCGGGCGATGCACGCCCAAGGCCTCGTCCCGCAACTACAGGTCCACCTAGCCCTTGTTCGCGCGCTAACGAAGGAGGAAGCGATGGGTCCTGCGAAAGAGGCTTTTTCTTACCTCGCCCAAACACATGCCAAGTCCTACCTGTCGACTGCACTTTATCTGTATGCCCACGACGGCGACTTTGAAAGGAGCGAATTTTTTTTCGACCAGCTCTCACATGACGACCTGGTGTCGAGGGAAGATACTGCGATGTTGATGCATTCGTACGCGGTGCACGGCAAGGTCAAGCAGGTGCTACACTTGTTTAAGGAATTCTTTCCCGAGTTTGTGAATGCGAAAGGGCAGCGAAGGCGGGCGAACGATCCTCGGAATATCCACTATGCTACCGTGTTGTATGCTTATGCACGCAGTGCCGACCTCGGTGGTATTGACCAGTGGTTGGGAGTCATGCGTGAGGCGGGTATCAAGGTCAACGTGGTCATGTATACTATGATCCTCCAGGCGATGGCCATTAAGGGAGATCTGGAAGCACTAGGTCTCACTATGGAGCGGATGCAAAGCTCTGGCATGAAGCCTACCGTCGCCACGTATACTACTCTCATTTCAACCATGGCGAAGATGCAGGATCCGCTTACTGCTGAGAAGCTTTACAAGAAAGCGCTGGAAGATGGGATCAAACCGAATTCTCGTATGATCAATACTCTAATGACTGCTCATGCTGAAGCGGGGTCATGGAGAGGAGTTATCAGGATATTCGACTACGTCCGTTCGATGCCCAATACGCCATTGACCATCGACATCTGCAATATCTTACTCAAAGCCTACGTTCGGATTGGAGCACCATTCCGTATCGTAGCGCGTTTATTCATGAAACTCAAGTATTCTTCTGTTAAACCTGACAAGTACACTTATGCGCTAGTCATCCTCGCTGCGTGCGACGCTGGCCTCATGCCTACAGCCACGAACCTGTTTTATGAGATGGACCGCTCTGCAACATTTATCTCCGACATCAAAGTCACCGTTCATGTCATGACGATGCTCATGGGAGGTTGGCTCCGGTTGAATAAAAAGAAGAAAGGAAAAATCGTGTATGACATGATGGTCGACCGGGGGATCCAGCCTAACTCGATCTCGTTTGGGGAGATCCAGAACGCGTATGGTCTCGAACGCTCGGATGCGGGGCTCAAGCTCGCGGAAGAATTCATTGAAACGCTGATGAGTGCTCCGCCGGAGCACCGTACATGGTTAGTTCCCCCGCGAGTAGGCAAGACGTCCATGGACCACATCTACGCGGCGGTGCTGTGGGGCTACTCACGCAAGGTGCAACCGGAGGACGTAGAGCGGGTGTACCAGCACATGCTAGACCACGGTGGAGCGCCGACACTAGGGATGCTCACTGCGCTGATGGACGCCTATAGGAGGTCGAGGAATGTCGACGCGGTGCTCCAGGTGTGGCCACAAGTGTTCCAGATGGGGTTGCAGCTCACTCAGCAGACTCGTGTGTTTGGACTGGATAAAGATGGACGGGGCCAAGTGAGAGTCCGGGGAGACATGCTGAGTATCCCACTGTCGATATACATAGATGCTCTCTCCCGTGCCGCCCTCTTCACGGAGGTTGCAGCGATCTGGAAGCGTTTCCAGGATCACCAGTTCGTATTCACGTCGAATAACTACAACCATCTCGTAATCGTACTCCTCCGGGCCGGGGAGATCGAGCGGGCGTTTGAGATTGTGGAGAAGGTGATTTTACCTTATCAGCGCAAGTACAAGGCGGTGGTGAGCGACCGAGATCAGCAGCCGGAGACGCCACTGCTGTTTGAGGAGTATGATAGGATACTGCAGGAGGAGCGAAGGGGTGACTGGGGCAGGGAGAGGAGGGAGTCAGGGAAGATGCATGTCGATATGTTCAAGCGAGAACCATGGACGGAGCAGATGATGGTAGAGGATGAACGGGAGGATGACTACGCGCATCCGCTGTACATCCTGCAACAGATCTCCCCAGGGTGGAATACATGGCGGCCGCACCGGGCGACGATGAGCGCGTTGTTGATGGTCTTGCTGAGACTGAAGGCGGGGCTGCTGTTGGAAGCAATGGCCTTGCATAAGCAGGACCCCGATGAGTTTCCGGCACAAGGGCGTGAGGAACTTGTGGCAGAACGCGAGGAGAGCGAGGCGCTGTTGGGAAGTTTGTTCGGGCAGTTCCCCGACTCAGTGGAAGAGCTGAGGGTGTTTGAGATTAAGGAGAGGAATCGATTAGTGAGTGGGTTCGATAAGAGGTACAGGCAATTTGTGCCAAGATGATTTGGATTTGATTGGGTTGGTTGGGTTACGAGCTCAGAATCGATTAACGATATCCCAGCTGATCATCCTGGCGACAATGCTTGCCAGGCGATTACGACTCAGTCGTCAGTCGAGAGGAGGTCAGGCTGAGGACCTGAGGCGAAAAAGGGAAGGTTTAATATCTACTTGTAGAAAGGAAAAGTAGCAATACGAATACACTACTAGTCAGGATGCAGGTGGAAGATAATTTCACGTTAAAGATACTAATTACGGGAAGGTAAAGGAAAGTTGGATTCAGTGGTGTGAAAATAGTACGTGTATATTTAGATAGTTTTTACTGTAAACATCATGCTGACTGACATCATCAGTTACTATCTTTTTTCTAAAGCCGGGTTGATATTGCTAAGATGGTATATTTGGATTGCTTGATTAATAAATACATGCTATCGAGCACAATGCTTTCGTGAGTCGTTTCGCGGAATTCGAATCATCCATATGACAATCAGTGGACCTGGGACCTTGACTAGTAGCAGCCGAACCGGGACGATGCTGTACATGAAACTTGTATATACTATGTCCAATCTAAATTTATACCTTTTCGAGTTTCTCGGGCTGGGATAAGTAGAATTATACATGCGTACGTGATAAGTATACGCAGATCTGCATTTCGGCTTTACAACTTGTTCCTGATAATAGGGCAGCGATAGGCGCCCTCAGTTGTGTTGGGGTCCTTGTGGTGACGGGATCAGCCGAAGACAAGCTGTAGACTGGAATGCCATAAACCCGTTAACGAATATATAGCACTGGTGGTGGTGGTGGTAAACAGCAGTGTGATATATGAAACGGCCAGGAGCCGCCGGGTACGGGCATCAAAACGAGTTACGTTACAGACCAGGGACGTCGACGTCGCGTAAGTGTGTGTCAAAAACAAATTCAATTGGAGGAGGTGGGTGGGATTTCCGACCAACCCATACCTAAAGCGCCCGAACAAAAGAATGAATGAAAAAAGCGGCGACTGTGCTGTGCGTGGGGGTGAAACGTACCGCATCAGGGTTTCCCCCGACTGTGATGATAGGAGGACGGTCTTCGCTGAACTCCAAGTCCCAAGTACACATCCATCCGCATAGAGAAGTGACCGAGGATATCGGGGGCTTTTATCACCGGCCCAGACGGGACCGCGCAACTTGGCCAGCTCCTTCTACCGGTTAGCTAGTCTTTGTCCGGATCCGCAATGTTTCTTTTGTGACAGAACAGACCTTAGGCTTAGGCTGGAGCTTTGTGATTACCGAAGGACTTTGGAATGTCCCCCTTGTCAAAAGGCTGGACAGACCGATTTGGTTTCCGTCAACAAGCGCTCCGGGATGCGTTGAGTTCCTCTGTTACATATAGATGGAATGGCTAGTTTGGGAAGTCAATCCGATATTTGTTCCTCGCATTCGGGTCTTCGTGCGAGGATTGCATCAACTATTAGTGAGTCCGACTGACGGTTGTGCGAGAATGATTGAAGGACTGCGCTTTGAAAAGGTTTGGACAGACGGGCCTGTAACAAAACTTTGGTCGAGGAAGGGAGTGAGCTTTCCTCCGCAGCAATGATGGGGCGGTGCGTTCTCGCAGCGAAGGAGGTCTTTTAGAGTGAGTTGTGCGTATACCGCTTGCAATTTCAGAGACCAAGGGGAAGGGAACTAAACCCTCAGCGTTGGTATAGCAGTACGAGACCGAAGAGCGGAGAAATCTGACCATGACCTCGGATTCGGAGTCGGACTGAATGTGAGCTGTAGTCACGAACAAGAACAATAGCTAACATCTTATGCCCACCGCCATGCAATTTGGGAGAAGGATCATACCATATGATTTAAAGCACGCTTTGGATCGCTTCTGGTACTAACAGAACTGAAAGCCCCAAATGTGGCCCGTTCCCTTTGACAGACGGTCAAGTCGAATTATATGAAAAAGAGAGCGTGCAAATCCTTTCCATAAATTCAGGGAGAATGGAATACCTCTGCCGCAGCAACAACTTGTGGTACTGTATTCCTCCGATGGATCGTTGCATATGGTCGTGGAATCACTGAATACATTTCAGCCCATTGGCGAAGAGGGCCCTTTTTGTACTTTTTTTTTGAATCCAGAGAACAGTTGTGCCAAGTGCTAGTTCTTCCGCAGTCTGAGGCGTGAAAAGAGACGAAGGACGGATCCGTAATCCACTGGACGGCGGAGAACAGCAAGCAAATGGACATATGAACGTAGGCCGTGAGGTATCAGAGAGAGACAGCAGCCGTGGTTGAGAACACCCCAAGAGAGACGCGTCAAGTTGGAAACAGTCGTCTTTATTGAGAAGCATGAGCGCGACATTGTCACAAGCTGACACATAGACCTCGTACGTTATCTGAAAATTAAAGCTTCAAATTCCAAATGAATGCAACATTGCAGTTTAAAGCGAGGTGTTTAATCCATTAGGATTCGCATAAAGTAGGCTTCTCTTGATTTTGAGGTCAACCCCTGGTTACGAGTCGAAAACAGAACCCACTCGCGGTCGCTGTAATCCTATTCAGCAGACGGTGTTCCAGTAAGGACCAGATGACGATGCGGGCCGATCGACGGAGGAAATAAGGGAAATAAGATTCAATTGCAGGCGGTAATTATAATAAATGACTTTGAAAATCATCAAATCGTGAGGAGATCTGGACTGCCGTGTAGTGGAAAGATAAATCTTCCATTCTTTGTGAGATGAGGAGCGAACAGTAGATGATGGCCGGTAAAGAGAGGAACGCTGAATAGCAGGTCGGCCCGCACGGGAAAAGCATGATTGCGCCCGGATCTTCCTTAAGGATACGCGGGAAACCTGGAATTCGATAGCAGAAAAACGGAGAATAGCGAGCAAGTTGCCCAAATCGGTATAGTCGTAAGAAGAACTCGCGGGGCTATTAGATCGGTGGTATTGCTAGTGGGTCGATTTACATAATTGGTTGTTGAGAAGGAAAAAAAAAGTGGCAGGGGTTCGTCTTTCCAATAAACTATGGCCGACGAGAAGAGATGCGTGAGGCGATTCCGCGTGTGGAAGGCAAAATTTGCACCCGACGAAACTGACAATGAAGACCCGACATCTTAATGGTCAAACGGCTCTGCACTGGTAGATATTTAGGGAAGGGTTCGATGAAGAGCTGGGGGGGAGAATGAAATGCCGTGATCCTTGAGATGCGAATTTGTCGATGCATGACACGAGCTCTCGTCGACGATGTAGCGCGCTTCGAATGCGAATGGCAATAATTTCTCGCAGCCCAAAAAAGGAAAGTGTGGGTTCCGTTGTACCATCATGGACCAGACAGCTGCCAAAAAGAAGCTGCAAGAGCTGGTGAAGCGGGACGACCTTGGTAACCGTGTATGTGTCGACTGTGGGAGCCCCAATCCGCAGTGGGCCTCGTTGAGGTGCGCCTCATCCTTGCTGTGGACCTAATACTCAGCATGGTTGCAGCTTTGCAGTGTTCATGTGTCTGCAGTGTGCAGGCATGCATCGCGGTTTTGGGGTTCATATAACGTGCGTAACTCATCTTTTTGGTATCGCTAAACTGATATGGGACAGGTTCGTGCGGTCGCTGTCGATGGATACGTGGCAGGACGACCAGCTCAGGCGCATGCAAGTCAGTCGATCTGTATCTGTCTGAATTGGCTGGTTGACGATGGTAGCTCGGCGGAAACGGTCCGTTTCGCGAATTCATGCGGGGCTACAGACCGGTGGAACAGGGTGGCTACAGCGAATCGCAGAGTATACATGATACCTATCACTGCTGGGCAGCCACTCAGTATCGACAAAAAGTCTGTCTCATGTCTATTGTATCTGCTACTGCTACTGCTGCTAATTATTCTGCAGCTTGATTACGAGTTAATGGATAAGGAATGGTCGCCGTCCCCCCCACCAGAGCCCGCCTCGCCCGCCCTACGCAAGTCACGCAGGGCCGCCTCGTCTTCCCCAGCGCCTACCCCGCCCGTCCTCGACCAGAAACAGGCAAACGAAATCTACTTTTCTTCTTTAGGCCAGGCCAATGCCAACCGTCCCGACCACCTCCCTCCATCCCAAGGCGGACGATACCAGGGTTTCGGGAGCACCCCCCCACAGAATACACCCTCCACCACCGTCCAAGATAACCCAATGGCTGCCCTCAGTAAAGGATGGTCGTTTCTCTCTTCTGCAGTCATCGGCGCGTCCAAAGTCGTCAACGAGAACGTCATCCAGCCGGGTATGGAAAAGGTGTCGGATCCAGAGCTCCAGAGGAACGTCAAGGGCTACTTGGAGGGGGCAAAGAAGGGTGCTGTCAGTGTCGGCAGCTCTGCAAACGCGTGGGGCAAGACTCAGTTTGGGGTCGATGTCGCAGGCAGTGTCGGCGAGGTCGTAGGCAAGCTAGGTGGTGGACCAGCAAGGGAAGGCTATGGTGCTGTACCAACCGGGTGGGAAGGTGAGGGCCGGGGCTTGTATGCTGAGGCAGATGACGAAGCCCCGGCTCCTCCGCCAAAGAAGCCGGGCGATGGCTGGGACGACGACTGGAAGGAATTTTAGATTTTATAGATTCAGTTATTTATTCAAATTTATTAATTTGATTTTCTACGGCTTACCCCGCATTCATCCCTCCCCACATCCATGAATCGTATTATCCGACTCGCACGACGAAGTTACCATGCCTCCGTTCTGCCCTCCCGTATATCACCTGCATCTCCCGAGTTTCTCGCCAAAGCACAGGCAATGGACGACCTCGTCGCCGATCTCGACGCCAAGCTCGCAAGTGCCCGGCTCGGAGGAGGCGACAAGGCTGCACAGCGGATGACGAGCAAAGGAAAGCGCGTTCCCAGGGACAGGTAAGCTGCGTCTATATTGCACTTCTTACCTCACCACCAACAGGCTGAACTTCCTCCTCGACCCACACACGCCCTTTCTCGAGCTCTCGCCACTCGCTGCACACGACGTCTACCCAGGCGATTACGTCCCGGGAGCAGGCATTATCACTGGTATAGGCAGAATAAAGGGAAGAGAATGCATGGTCGTCATCAACGATCCGACCGTCAAAGGCGGCGCGTACTACCCGCTTACCGTAAAGAAGCATCTCCGTGCCCAAGAGATCGCCAGGGAGAACGGCCTGCCGTGTATTTACCTCGGTGCGCCTTTTTGCCTTGTCCTCAACGTCTATCGAATCAGTCCCAGTCGAGTCGGGCGGCGCAGCACTCCCACACCAAGCCAATGTCTTTCCGGATAAAGACCATTTCGGGAGGATCTTCTACAACATGGTACGCGCCTCTTCTCATCTATCTACCCTTATTCATTTTATAGGCCCAAATGTCCGCCCTCGGTATCCCCCAAATCGCCTCTGTTCACGGTATAAGCGTCGCGGGGGGCGCCTACGTCCCAGCAATGGCCGACGAGAACGTCATCGTCCAGAACCAAGGGCGCATCTTCCTCGCTGGTCCCCCGCTCGTGAGGGCTGCGACCGGCGAACAAGTCGGCGAGGAGGACTTGGGCGGCGGCCGCATGCATTCTACAGAGAGCGGCGTGACGGATCATTTGGCGAGGGATGACGAGCATGCAATCGACATTGTTCGTGGTGTCGTTGGGGATCTGGGCCAAGGCAACGAGAGGATCCCGGATGCCGTCCCGGAGGATCCGCTGTATCCCACCACCGAGCTTCATGGTATCGTGGGTAGCGACATCCGCCAGGCTTTTGATATGCGCGATGTCATTGCACGCTTGGTTGATGGCAGTCGCTTGAGGGAGTTTAAGAAAGAGTATGGGCCGACTATCATTACTGTGAGATTATTAATCCTATATCAACCAGTACTCATTCTTGCAGGGTTTTGCGCATATACACGGCTACCAAGTAGGCATCATCGCCAACAACGGCATCCTCTTCTCCCCCTCTGCGTTGAAAGCAACACATTTCATACAGATCTGCGAACAGAGAGGGGTGCCGTTGGTGTTTTTGGTCAATGTCACAGGTAGGCGCGCTTGCGTTCTTAAGACATTTGATTTTATTTGGGTTGTAGGTTACATGGTAGGTTCCAAAGCGGAGCGAGGGGGGATAGCCAAAGATGGTACGTACTCCCCAGCTGCATTGAGCGTGTCGTTCCATAAACTTGGTGTAGGTGCAAAGATGGTCAGAGCCGTTGCCTGTGCTACTGTCCCCAAGTTTACTGTCATCGTCGGCGGGAGCTTTGGAGCGGGCAATTACGGTGTGTACATAGTACGCTCTGTAGTTCACTTATTCATTCATTAATTCAGGCATGGCCGGTCGAGCGGTAAGCCCTACCTCCACACTCTGCACTAACGTTAACCCCCACTCGGCAGTACTCCCCGAGGTTCCTGTGGATGTGGCCTGTACGTTATCTACACTCCAATCCTAGTCTGATTTAAATAACACAAATATCCCACAGAACGCCAAAGTATCCGTGATGGGCTCCGCGCAGCTATCACAGGTCATGACATCCGTGTCCAAGTGAGTCTTTTTTTGCCCTTTATTCCTCCTCTGTGACCTCGTTGTCCCAGGGACCCGACACAGCACGCAACACTCAAGACTGAGATCGAGGAGCAGAGCACGGCGTTGTATTCGACGGCGAGGCTGTGGGACGATGGGATTGTGGCTCCTAGGGATACGAGAGACGTTTTAGGCTTGGCGTTGGGTGTTGCGGGTGGGAGGTGCAGGGATTTGGGTGGGTTTGGAGTGTTCAGGATGTAGAAATTTTTTAGATTGTGATGAGCCATAGGAATGACAGCAAATAATATAAAATGCACCCAACAGCGTGCATGGTAATATGACGGAGTGGTTAAGGCGTTAGGTCTAGACATTGTACTTTGTCTAAATGTGTTTTCTAGTCCGCACGGGTATGGGTTCTACTCCTACTGTTGTCATTTGGATATTCTGTGCTTATTTTGAATCTTACAAAATGTCTCGGACGACGGACACCCTCAGTGAAACGACCAGTAGGGGAAGTTGGAAAGCATTTTCGTGTAATTTTACTGTGCTTCCCTCTCACAGAATAGTATCTACTTTTGTACTAAACTCATCCTTTCTATACACTCCTAGTGGGCAAACAATTTGCCGCCTGATGAATACGGTTCCGCATCTAACCTTTTTTTGAGTGCCTGCGGACATCCCGAATCAACAGTTAATATTAATGTGACCGAGGCTTCACTTCCTCCTGAATGTGTTGTTCTTCGGAGGCTTTGCCTCAGCGCAGATTGTGACGGAGGCCGATTCTGTGCAGGGCGATCGCGTGGATGCAACGGAGAACATCATCAGGAATGGAGTGTCATTATCGTGAGAGTTGATGGCAAAATGACCATCAGGCCTGCTGCTGCGAATGTCGGTCCAGGGGGGGGCAAATATTTAGTGTAGTTGGGCGAGTTGGGACGATAAGAACAGCAATGGAACAGGAGAGCTTGGAGCATCGAAAACGTGCTGGTTTAAGCTTAGGGTCACAGATAGCAGAAAGCCTTGAGGGACCGATAAAGTGGATACAAGGACCAGCACAGAGGATCTGACCAAGTCGTGGGATAACAGAAGGATGTCAGATTGCAACAAAAATTCGAGCTAGAGTCGGGATCGATGCAGACATTCCAAGCTCAGGCTCTGCATCCCCGCTTCTCCGTTCGTAGTCGGTTAATACAACTCGAAAAAAAAAAGACCGTTCAGCAGAAGGCAGGAAGACGGCCGGGTACTCGAAGCCCGGTTCAATTGTTGTTCAAGAACCGGAATACCACACCAGAATAACGGTACAATGAAGGCGACCCCGACGTGGCTGTGCTTTAAAACGCGCTTGGGATTGAACCACGACCGACATCGAGCCCAGCGACAACGTTGTTCCCTGGAGCAGGTTGCTGTCGGCATATCGCGCAAGTGCAGCGTGACTAGATTATTCAAATTGATCGTCGTTCCTATCACTGGCTCTCCTTCCCTCCTCCTTCCTTCTCTTCTCTCTCCTCGGATGATCCAACAAACGAATGCTCGTCAGGTTGGGACAGGTCTTCGTGGAGGGGCCGTGGATACTTCAGAACTTACATGGGGTCAGTGGTCTGGGCGAAAGTGAGCGTTTATTCCTTGCCATAGTCTGCTTTGCCTCTGATTTTCGTAGGTTATACGCCCTCGAGGTCATTCAGAATCCGCTAAGAGCTCGAATGTGTGGTTTTGGTGACAAGGTTGGCTGATTCATTTGGAGATATCAATTGGAAATCAATGTATATATGCAGGATCGACGACCGTTAGCACCAGCAGCAGTGGTGAAGATGGTGGTCAAGCGAGATGACGATAGTACTGTTGACGTCGAGTATGTGTCTCTGTTTTTTTATCGATTAGCATAGTTCACCTCCCTCCAGCGACGTGGATTGCTCCTTTTTCCTTGTAACAGTCGATCTCTGGTCTGGGGACGGGAAACAAGAGATGAACCTAGTCTTACATCCTTCTTCGTCCGAACGATACGTCCAGCAGACGCCAAAGTCAAGTAGCAGCAGCAGGCGGCGTACATCCAAAAGTGGACAACCGCCTAACCCTACTCGAACGCCGACACCGACACCGACACCAACGTCCCCCGAGCAGCCGTACCCACCATACCCGACACCTACTACGAACGACCTCGCATATCAGGAGACTACCCCGACATGGGGCTACCCCAGTACGTCCTTCCCACAACCGCCTCAGCAACCTTCCCAGTCTTTCGGCCGAGAACCATGGCAAGTCGACCCCGACAACTCCGAAGGGCCTGAATACCGTCCATGGACTGCAGAGGCGTACTCCAATCCTCCACCACCACCGCCACCCAACCCAAATCCTAATCCAAGTCCAGGTTCGTATTGGGAACCGGCTGCTCCCGCCCCTACGTCTCCGTCTGTAGCCAAGGAGAAGCGACCCCCGCCTATACCGCCTCTGCCCCGACACACATATACGCGCACTCTCGTCGGTCCGCTATCTGCAAATGCCACTCGCCTTCTGGACGAACACCGCAAGCCAGGGATATTCTTCCTCTTCCAGGACCTGTCCGTTCGCACTGAGGGTACATTTCGCCTGCGTCTGAGGCTGATGAACGTAGGTGCTCCCCCTGCGCCTGAAGCGGGGGCATCGGCGGTGCATACAGACGTGTCGCCTGTGCTGGCGCAGACGTTCACAGAGCCCTTTACGGTGTTTTCGGCAAAGAGGTTCCCTGGTGTTCCGGGTATGTGTGGGTTTTTATGGTGTGGTGTGGTGACTGATGGTTTTGTAGATACGACGGCGTTGTCTATTGCCCTTGGGAATCAGGGGCAGAAACTTCCTTTGGTGAGTGTTTGGATAAGCGGGGGTGTGTGTGGTTAATGAGATTTGTAGCGGAACCGACATGGGTCGAATAAACGACGACGACACGATTCTGGTTCGGAGGACGACTCGGATGGGGAGTAGTAGGATGGGATGGACATATAGATTTGGTTTATTCGTTGGTGTTTCCTGCATCTGTAAGATTTATTGATGTATTTTTTTTTGTATATCGGAAGAATTTATGGTATCTTTATGGTGGAGGTTTATCAGTGTCTTCCATCTTCGATTTGTACTGTGTCTTTCTAGTCTACGGTGATCCTGTGGTTCGTCCATACGCTACTTCCCCTTTCTTATCTCATTTCTTTTGGTTTAGGTATAGTTGGTCGAGCTCTCTGAAAATATGACATCGCCGTTAACCCCGACTCAAAATATTCCTTGTATTCGTGTTTTTTGTTTACGATCCCGTACGGCGATCCGGTGGCTCTCAGACCCCGCGAAAGTATCCGTGATGGGTTCCAGACGGCACTCGCAGGTCTTGACATCCGTGTCCAAGTATGATGACTCGAGTTGCCTAACAGCCTGCCAGCGGGGATCCAGAGAGGCACGAGATGATGATCAAGGACGGTGCTGTCTTGACAGGGTGAGAGTTATACGGCTCTTGCAGTTGATAGTGAGGGAAAAGATGAGTGGATCGATCCTATATCCTCGAGCCGGACTCAGATTGTTGGGTTTATCCCTGCCAATGCTATGATCATGGTATGTATTTTGTTCTTCGTTGCCTCGATCCCAACATCAAGGCCAGAGTTTTCTCTACTCTGCATGTATTTTCCGTTTGTTTTCCGTAGATTTTGCCAGTACAAAACAACTGCCATCCATTTGGTAATGAGAAAGGGCGTATTGTATACAAAGGCGCCACAGGATACGACTTTCAATTGATTAGGAATGGGTGTTTGGTCCTTGCAATTGCTTTTTAGTGCAGCGGCGATGTTTGGCTCTGATGAATTTCTCAGCCTAGTCAATACAAGGCAATCAATGAGTATTCGACCCCATTTTAGATGGGAGGGCGCTGCAGACGAAGCTACCGGGTGATTGTAAGTGGTCGAGGACCGGCTGAGTATGTACCACGCCAGAGTAATGGTACTTGGCCATGGAGCCGTGTTCGACGCGTCTGAGTGGCTGTGCCCCGGAGCGCGCTCTGCCGATCTACAACCCACTGCGCCGAGGCCCCGCTAGCGACGAGAGTATATTGAATTGATTGTCGGGATATCGCACAAGGGCAGCGTGATTATATATTTATTTCGTGTCGTTATGGGTCACCTTTCTTATCCTCCATCTCGTCCTAATGATAAAGCAAACGGATGCCAGCACTGGCCTCCACTGATAGTTCAGAATTTACGTGGGGTCGGTGGTCTGGGAGCAAGTGAGCATTTATCTCTATTAGTCTTCCAGCTTGTCTCTGATTTTCTTAGGTTATACGCCCTCGAGGTCATTCAGAATCCGCTAAGAGCTCGAATGTGTGGTTTTGGTGACAAGGTTGGCTGATTCATTTGGAGATATCAATTGGAAATCAATGTATATATGCAGGATCGACGACCGTTAGCACCAGCAGCAGTGGTGAAGATGGTGGTCAAGCGAGATGACGATAGTACTGTTGACGTCGAGTATGTGTCTGTTTTTTATCGATTAGCATAGTTCATCTCCCTTCAGCGATATAGATTGTTCCTTCTTCCTCGTGACAGTCGACCTCTGGTCTGGGGACGGGAAACAAGAGACGAACTTGGTCCTACACCCCTCCTTGGCCGAACGATACGTCCAGCAGACCAAGCGGCGCACATCTAGAAGCGGACAGCCGCCCAACCCGACTCGAACACCCACGCCGCCGCCTACTATGACCACCGACCTCGTATATCTGGAGCCTGCCCCACCACCTCCCCAGCAACCTCCCCAGTCTTTTGGCCAAGAATGGCAAGTGAAACCCGACAACTCCGAAGGGCCTGAATGGACTGCGGACAATCTCAATTCGCTACCAAATCCAAGTTCTAGTCCATCGGAAAATGTATACTATGAACTTCCCACCCCCGTTTCCCCTTCCCCGTCTATGTCCAAAGAAAAACTGTCCCGATCCACTGATCTCTCCATCCCGCCCCTCCCCCGACATACCTATACTCGTACTCTTATCGGTCCGCTCTCTGCCAATGCAACCCGTCTCATTGATGGGCACCGCAAGCCAGGGATATTCTTCCTCTTCCAGGACCTGTCCGTTCGCACTGAGGGTACCTTTCGCCTGCGCCTCAGGCTGATGAACGTAGGTGCTCCCCCCGCGCCTGAAGCGGGGGCCTCAACGGTGCATATGGGCATGTCGCCTGTGCTGGCGCAGACGTTCACGGAGCCCTTTACGGTGTTTTCGGCAAAGAGGTTCCCTGGTGTTCCGGGTACGTGTGTTTTTTCTTGCGTTTGTTTGGATTAGTGGCAATGATGCTTTTCTGTAGATACGACAGTGCTGTCTGTTGCCCTTGCGAATCAGGGACAAAAGCTCCCGCTGGTGAGAGCTAGTATCTGGTGTGTTAGTACGTGGCTAATAAAAGTCGGATTTGAAGCGAAATCGCCATCGGTCGAGTACGCGTCGGCGTAATTCTGCTTCAGAGGATTCAGATGTGGAGTAGGACTGGGTGGAGTTACGGATCCTTTTTATTCGTGTTTACTGCACTTTTTTTGTATCGGAAGAATGTAATATGGTCCTTTTATACTAATTGGTGCAAAGGTTGGATGGAGGTTTGTTAGCTATTTATCTTATAACATGATTTAACTTTCCTACGTACGAGGAGCCTCCCTCCAATGGCTGCAAAGTGGATGTTATTTTCGTAGAAATAGGGGCCATCTCTATTTGTGTCCAAGTATGACATCATCGTGAGATTCCTAACCAGTTCCTAACCTTGTTTTCACTGCACGACTCTCAGCTCAACTTGAACCCGTACCTCCATGTCGCTCTCTCTGCACTCATTCACACCATAATAACAATGAAACCGGAAAAGAGCATCGAACCCCTCCCAGATTCTACACGGAGCAAAATCCGGTCCACTCAGATCCTCACCTCCCTCCCTCAAATCGTGTCCGAGCTCATGCAGAATTCACTTGACGCAGGGGCGAGGCATGTCGATATCGGTGTAGACTGTGAGGGGTGGACATGCTGGGTGAGGGATGATGGGCCTGGGATGAGCAAGGATGCACTGGCTAGTATCGAGGGGCGGTACGGTGCGTAATGGGAATCGGTAGTAGAACACGAGTATCGCTAAGTGCTTACCAGCCACATCGAAAGCGTACGATCCGGAATCGTTAAATGTCTTGTCAACATTTGGGTTTCGCGGCGAAGGTGCGTCATTATGGTGACTTGGTTAGCTTAGTACCAACCAGTACGAGTAGCTCTCGCATCGGCTGCCGATTTATGCTGTCTGGAGATATCCTCGCGGACGGCCGTGTCGAGGGAGACGTGGTCTGTCATACTCAAGGTAAATGGCACGCGGGACTTGGGTCTTCCATGTTTCTCACTTTTTCAGGGTGGCAAGACATTGTATTCTGGCGCCGCCGTGCGATGGAGGAGAGAGACACCAGGGACGGTCCTTTGTGCTCGTGATGCCTTTTACAACGTGTTTTGTCCTTCCCGTATGCGCATATAGCCTGTGACTGACAATCTTCAGCTTCCCGTCCGACGGCGCTCCCACCCTTCCCCAGCCCGGACACTGGAACTAATCAAGCAGGAAATCGAGACCTACGCGTTGCTCTTTCCTGCTGTTGCTTTCTCGCTGGAGAATACGAATGCGGTTAGGAACGATGGGCTTGTGCTAAAGGTTCCCAAAGTTTGTTGTCTTTCGCTCTAGCTGGGTGTCTTTCTTGTTGATCAAGGCGTCGCTGCAGACGCCGTCGACCCTTTGTACATTCCGGCATTTATTTGGCAAGGCTTTGGTGCAGGTATGTGCTCTCTCTTGTCGCGACGATGGCCTATATGCTTTCGGCGGAAGGACAGCCGCATCTTGGCCGTTCTGTCTCAAAGACTGGAGTTTCCGGCGCCTGAAATTCAGTCTTTTTGGATGCCGGACTTTGTTTGCCTCTCTGAGAACGAGTCTAGGAAATAAGACTTGGTCATATCTCGTTTTGCCGCCGCTCAATTACTCGGGACCCGTACATAAATTTGCGTTTGTTAAGATTTTAACATCAGTTCCCAGCATGTCGACGAAATCAATCTCACCGCAGATAGCCTGACGCTCGAAGGCTTTATCAGCTTGGACGGTGCGCCATCCAAAGTGCGTCATAAATATATTTGCATTTGCCTTGTCAATCAATATCTGTTCTCACAGGCATATCAATATTTATGTATTTATTTTTGCGCCGTTAGTGTTGTGATCTGTTAACTGATATGTTTTGGAAGACGTCAACAAGCATCCCATAGATGTAGGGGATTTACACCGGTTTATTGATACAAAATTTGCCGCGAGTACATTCGCGAAGCATGTATGTAGCAATTTTCCGCAGATTTCCCTTGGGATGACTCACTTGTCCCCTTTGCACAGGCTTATAGCGAAACCGGGGAGACGAGTCTGCGCCCAAGTAAGCAACCTCCTGTATCGGGGGATAATCATCTCAGCACAGTCCATAGCCTTCCGGAGATCTCCCAGAAAGGCGGAGAAAAAACCCGTTTACGTCTTGAATTTGACTCTGCCGCCGCGTGAAGTAGACAACTGCCTTGAACCAGCAAAAGGAGACATCCATTTTCAGGTATTCTCTATTATCCGGTTTCGTGATACCATCTTCCTACCCCTTGTTTCTTTGCAGAACAAAGACACCGTGTTCGCTCTTCTATCTAATGCTATTCAGTCATTCCTGTCCCGTCATGGGTTTTCCTCTAATGTGAGAGAGGGAAGCGCAACAGACGACGCGTCCTCGTCCCCTCGTAAACGGAGAAAAACTGATATTGACGACTCGGGATATGTTTCTGATGACGCGGTACATGGAGGCGGCCTAGAATTACAGCGCACCGCCACACCGTTGTTCATCAGACGGGTATGTTTTTCGATCAGGCGTACCATATATACATTGAGATATTTCAATTATCAGGAGGAACGTAATACCGTGCCGGGCGAGTTTGTTTGGACTGACCCAACAACAGGGCAAGGCTTTGTTGTGAACAACCGTACGGGCAACTCGCGGGCTTGCGAGAATGCTATTTCAGGAGGAAGTGATGATGTGAGGGATGCTAAGTCCCGAATATCTAACTCTAGGACCACTTTTTGTCCCTCAAAACATGCTTCTGGAGTTAAGACACTTGAGATGCCAGAGTGGATTCAAGAGGCCCTTGAAGTCAGTTTGGCTTCCGCATTCATTTGTTCGGTGCTCATTTTTTTGACAGGCCAACAATGTTTATACCCAGACTGAACGCAAAATACCCTCTATTAGTATTATCGACTCCACACTGTGGCTGAATTCACAAGACGCTTCAGGGCGCAAGAATCCCTCTCACGGTTCCCAATCCTCTCGCTATTTCCCTTCCGGACAGCACAATCCGATGACTTATGCCATGACCACCGGTGGATCTTCATGTCATCGATATCGAAAGGAGGACCTAAGAAATGCCCATGTCATAAATCAGGTGGACCGGAAGTTCATAGCCTGCCTTATCAGTGACACCGGCCAAATCGAAGGTGGCGCTCGACATGGACGGGCACTTGTTCTTATCGACCAGCATGCTGCTGACGAACGCATACGGGTCGAAAGATTTCTGAAAATACTTTGCTCGGGCTTTTTGTATAGTCAGAAGGGAGGTCAAGATAAGACTAGGATGGTAGAGACTAGGGTACTTTCTCCGACAGTACCTATACTTCTAACGAGACACGAAGCGATTCAATTCGCCCGCGGACCGCAAGTCCAGCGTGCACTGCGCTATTGGGGCTTCGGATTCTGTGGGCTGGATGAAGTCGAGTCTGAGTCAGAGCCAGGTTCCGATGAAAGTGGATATATACAAATCATGGTGGAGACTATACCGGAGGTCGTTGGGAATAAGGTCGGGGGAGTATTATCAATTCGACTTCTTCCGTGCGCTAACACAGGTACAACCAGCTCCTAGTCGGGGACGAACTGCGTGATTTGGTCAAGGGATCTCTGTCCAATCCAGACCTGTCCGGTGATCCTGCCGTTGAAGATAGTACACCAGAGTCGGATGAAAATAGTTTTGTTTGGTTAAAAGCTCTGAGATGGTGCCCCCGAGAACTCTTGGATTTAGTTAATTCAAAGGCCTGTAGAGGTGATCTTGTTTACGTTTGGTTTTAAGGTGGTTGACTCGACTTTTTCTTTACAGGTGCCATTATGTTTAATGACGCGCTTAGTATGGCACAGTGTGAACGGCTGGTGCTGCAATTGGCTAGTACTGCGTTTCCATTTCAGTGCGCACATGGAAGGTCGGTCGGGCTGTTCTCACATGCTGTTTTAGGTGACGAAGGGTTTACTACAGACCGTCTTTGGTACCATTGACTGATATATCGAGGGACGCGACTGGATCGAAGGGGGGTCGCATAAGTTGGTCACAGCTTGAACATACGGAGAGTAACCTCCATTAGGAACCAGCATTATAGATACCGGGTATGGTATACAGTCTTGCCCTATTGTCCTGGTTTGTACCTTCTATACTGGACGAAATCGTAATTTTTAAAGAACCCTATCTAGGGTTAGGCAAGATCATTGGATCGAGGGGGGAAACAGTGCCTTCGGTGAGTGCACCGTGCTATCTCGACGGATTTGTACATAAAAATCCCATATGTGCTTAGGTGACGCCACAATGACCGAGGCACAGCTTATGACGACTTTTGCCACTTGTCGGGGACAAGTAAGATAAAGGCGCGACTCAGACGAGGTATTTGTCATGTTGTGCTATTGCTATCTTTAAACTCGAGCTGTTTCCGTGGAACTAGATCGAACTGAATGGATTTCTGGAGCGGCAGAAGCAAAATACCCAGTACCCGTACCCACCCTGCCCTATGAGCAAGCGACCTTGTGCATGTGGATACAGCCTTTCGTACGCGGCATGTACTCCGTCCGATTCCCGACTCAAATGATCGAGTGATCGAGAATCGAAGTTGTTACTAAACCCAGTCTCCTGTGAATTTGTGTTGATGGATCTAAAGTTTTAGACGGATTACAATGGTAACCTTGATCATGATCTGTATGTACGTACGGTCAATAATGAAAATGAGCATTGTAACGCTTCAGTCTGATCTTGCTATAGGTGATTTACAAGGGCGGCTTCGAATTACGGAACAGTGGGACGGAGATGAGTTTTTAACTTTTTATAGCGATGTGCTGCGCAGAACCAGAGCTGCTGACAGATGGCTTGAATGAAATTAAGGAAGGGATTGGGAAGGGGCCTGGTGGTGGCTTGGCGCAATGGTCATCAAGAGGAAGAGGAAGAGGAAGATGGATTCCAAGCGCATCACCGTTCGTTTATTGACTATCGGGGCCGCTAACCGGTCCGAAGCGATATCTAATTTGCTATCGATTGGCCGTGAATATATCTCGTAGTGAGATAGTTCCCAAGGACTTGGAACCTGATTAGAAGCTTGATGTCTTCGTCCTGGAAGATAGGCCTTGACCAAATATGTCGTATTTGTCGGCTAGGGCGGTAGAAGGGCGAACATTGTTTGTCTGCCGGGGAAATATTGATTGATGTATTCTGATATGCCTTAGGAATTCTGCCGAAGGCACACCGATAAGTCAGCAGACGCAATCCCGAGGGTTGATCGTTAGTGGGTGCAGACACTGTGCGAAAGTTCCTTGCCCGGCAATCTCATTCATTTCCACGGGCGGGATTCACACAAGCAAAGTGTATCCGAATCAAGCCGTTGTCTAGACTCGACATTGTAGCGCCACTTAGAAATCTTCTCTCTCAGTTCCATAAGACAGATTCATTCGCAGAAGATCTACATCATCGAATAGGAGCTCACAAGGTTGTCCCTTTCCCAATGAAGCTTTGTAAAATACACAGTCTGTGCAAGAGTTTCGAGAATGGACGGCCATTAAAACGAGAACATTGATGCTTGGGCCTCAGATGACCGCTGGAAAGCTAACAAATAGACGGCATACCAGAGGTAGCTTTCAGCACCGTGACAAGGGAAATCATACAGCTTCTATGGTAACTGCGCATATATCGCTATAGGACAGCCCACTCTGGAAGGAAATAAAGCGGGGACACATTAAGTTTCCTGATATCTGTTCACCATTAATCTAAACTTTGAAACCCTTTCCAGAGTTCCGTGCTATACTGCAGGGCCGACACAATTTTTCAAAGCCATATTGATCAAATACCGGTACAAGCATTCTCATAGAAGCAGAAACAGCCAGTTTCAGTCTTTCCGCCTCTGCAAATAAATGAACCTACACAATCACTTATACGACATGGCGAGCCGTTTCATCTGATATCCGATGACCTCAGGAAAACAGGTCAGTTGATGGATCGCGCAGTCGCCAAAAGACCTACATCAATAGGTTCGTATTTCTTGGGTACGGTCTCAGACCATGTTCCGGGAACGCTGTCGACGACTGCGGAGAGATTCTGATGACAGCAGAATTCAAGTAAATCAATTCTATTGATGCTTGAGAAAAGGAACGTACTGCACTGCAGAACTAAATATTGTATAAAGAGGTAAGATGTCAAGCGGCCAAATTGGCTCGGAAGCGACGACTCACGTAGGGAACAGAGTATCGCTCCGTGGTCATGCAGTCAGTGCCATACATGTGCTTCGGCGCACGAACGCGGTGAATGGTGCTTCTAATGGTGTCGTTGGACCCTATTCAATGAATAAGGGCTGTAGGAGGTAAAAAAAAAAGTATCCGTGACATACACCGCATCAAAAAGTCTCCCGCGTTAATCACGAGAGAACCGGGAATAGGTGTCGCGGTCTATGTCAATACAATCATCCAACGACGCCAAAATGAAGACCAGTACGAAGATACTTTAAACTCGCCCGGATTATGAGGATCTTCAACTTCGAGACCCCCGGCATGATCTTGAAGTAACATAGTCATGCTACAGAAATCTGAATGCGCTCCGATACGGGGAGCCAACCCTTCTTCGACATCCTTGACAGGGACGCTGGAATGCGGTCTCCAAGATGACAAGAAGGAGCAACGAAGTACGTAAATCATACCTGAAATAATGCAACAGACGAAGTTGATTGTCAGCAGCAGAGTGATACTCTGTAAAATATTCCTCGTCGATGCGAAAGCCGAGAGCGAGAGCCCTGAAGATATTCAACTCCACTTTGTAACAAGTCTATGAATAACATTCATCAAGTTCAAACATCGAAGAGATATGACAGTAATACCGTACCCAGAAATAATCCAAGCATGCCTCCTTGAAACCTGGTAGAATCCCATCAGGCAACCAGATGTTCGGCATGACTTTGTCGTTCTCTTTGCCAGATTCGAAACTTTCTTTTGCATCCGGAGCCTTCTTTCGGCTTTGAACAATCTTGTCTGGATCAAACTCCTGTTGGATGACCTTCTCGAGGCCGGGTGGCGAGTACCCTGAGCGTTATTAGCTCATCTATGCTATGAAATGAATGTGTGAAAGCATACCACGATGATGAGTACCAATAGGAGGATGTGGAGCCAACATCTTTGTTTCCATGGGAAGCGCAAAAAACGTTTTGGCCTACTCGAAGTCTTAGAAGTTGGATGGTAAGATATGATACCGGCATACCCAACCAATGATACCGTCCATCTTCTCTTGGGGTATACCATGATTGACTAAATATACAAACTTTTCATCATAGTTGGTGATAAACATAGCAGCGTGGCAACACGTACCCCCAGCTCCTTGAAGGACCTTAGGATGGCATCAGCGACCTCTTGTTTCCGAGTCCCATCTCGGAACGGACCAAAGTCCACGACAGGAATGCCACTTTCGTGGTCGTAGTTAACAACGGAGGACATTCTGGTCCAAGTTAGACAGAGAGATACCAGATAGGCCGTAACAGATAACTAAAACAGACCACGTGCTGAAGCCTGGGAGAACATTACCGGTATCTTCTGGGTATGATGTATATAATTTGATAGTAGGTCCTCGGGCAGGGTCAGTGTAAAGGCTAACATCTCAAGCTTAAGTCTCGACTGGAACTAAGTTGAAATTCTGAGACCAATCCAAGACAAGGACAGAGTGGAGGATCTTCAGTCAGCAGTCGGCCAGAGAACCACAGAACATTAGACAAATCTGCGAGAAAGCGATCTTTTTCTTTTGGATAGACTTGTTTGATCGTTGGCGACGGTAAAGTTACTACTGTGGTGTCCACACAGCCGGGATTGCCGTCGGCTCGGGTCGGCTTCTTCCCGTCTCGCACGCCGACACGCCGACGCACATCTACCCAAGTGAGCTCTGTACCGTCACCATGGATGTCAATGGTGACGAAGAGGGGTGGGCTCTTCGAGAACATATCAGGAATATTCTTTATGAATATGCTGTCACTCATCTAACGACCGACTATATTCAATTTACTGAGGACGCTGTCTCCGAGGTACAAGACGGTGTTATTGTGTTGTTTCAATGACATAGAACTGACCTTCGACTTTCCAGTTACTTTCCCAAGCTCTCGCGGAGGTGCCACTGCATGATAAAGACGCGATACGATTGCCCACAGATCCCTTCTTGAGCTTGAGGCTGCGGTATCGGTTAGACGACCTCGAACCTTATCAAGAGAAAATTCAAGTTCTTCCTGAGGTGCTGCAGTATCTGAAGAGCGTGATGAAGATCAACCCCGGACTATCGAAGACTGAGAGTGTCTCATACGAGTTCGGCGGTACGTTACCTCACCCGTCGCGTCCTTGTTTTTACCAACTGACATTTTTAGCCTATGATAAGGAGGACTCCGTAGTTCACGAACCCTTATCTCCAAAGCTCAGTCGCAGGTCGAGACGAGCCACCCCGTATTCTGGTTCGAGTGAATCTTTCAAATCGGTGCCCCAAAGTCACAGAACGTATTTGAAGTCGCAGTCTATCAAAGTTGTCCCGCTTGAAGCTTTCAACGACCCGAATATATCACCAGCAGAAGTCCTGTATGTCCTTCTCCTTCAATTTTCCTGTAATTTAACATGAAAGCATCCAGGGATCTCAATTGTCGCCTCCAAACCGAAGAACATCGGGCAGTATCCGCCTTTCTCAAATCTACTGCTGCTTTATCTCGTCCAGGGCCGGAGTACAAGAACAAGTATCTTGATCCTTCCATCCGGGAAGATTCCCCTCCCCTTCGCGTTCGTGAAGAGGTCCCTGTCCCTATGTTTCCTAGATCAGCTAGAATGGGTGCCGGTCGTTCAGCCAATACTAATTTCTTTCCGTCTGACCTCCAGAAGATGTGTGATCTTCCTGCAAAGCTGCCACCCGTAGTCGAAGCAGAAGACGATGACGTGGAACTGTTCAAAGCCAACATGGTCGTTGTAGATGGATGGCGTAAATTGCATTATCACCTCTAGGTCCACTCAGTACTCATGAGACGTTTTCGTGGCAGAAACGTATATCACTTCGTCTCCATCGGCTTCAACGCCGTCATCGAGCCAAGAAGATAAAATTGATCAACTCTTCAACGTGTCGTCCCCCGATACTGAAATGTCACCCCTCAGGCTGATTCGTATGGGTAAGACTCTTTTCGTGTAACTGGAATCATTTGACCATCTCAAAAGATGTGCCACCCATACCGCGCAACAGAAGGATCTATGGCTCTAGAGAACAAGTCTCGCCCATTGGAAAAGGCAAATCGTACGATCTTTCACCGTACATGATTTTCACGTAAGCATAATTTGTGACGACAGATTAGCGTCGTTTCTTCTGCCGTTTATCTCGTTGACGGCAGCAGGAAGGGAGCCCGAAGAGCAACACTTGTCGCCGGAGCCTGCATCGTCAATGTCGGGTCAACCAGCCTCTCTCCTGGATAGTGCTGTTCAAAGCATGGACATGTTGGATGACGAGATCGACCGGATATATGAGAGCGTGAATGTGGAAAATCCTAAAGACGTCATACTCAATGAAACGCTCACCGAAGAGGCTAGCTTACTCATGAAGGGTATGTTGATGGGTTTCGTTGTCCCTTCGACTTTCCAACGATCGGTCTGCATAGTTCCTGATCTACTGCCGCCTAATGAGCATCTACCGGGTGCACTTTTCCTACCAAAGAAACTACTTGAATATGTCTGTCCACCGAAGATGGCCAGGGCACACAACGATCAGGCGATATCTACACACCAGTTTTTGAAAAAGGCCAAAGGAATACAATCTCTGGGCTTAGCTCTCCCTTGGACGTGAGTGTTCCAAGCTGCTACCCACCTCAACCACTGACCTGATATCCCATCAGGCCATTTACGATCAAAGGAAGCCTTCCTACACATATGGATATTACCGGGTCGACAACGCTCATCGATGGTGACGACTTGAGGAACGCCCTTCCTAAAGATCATATCAAAACTCAGGTGCAGTCTCTTCTGGACGCGGCGCTTATGTTGGACTCTTCTCCTGTGGTATCGGATACAAAGCACTTCTTGCTCGATGAAGATAATGGACCGCTTTCCGAGGATGACTCAGAAATCATGTTGTCTCGAGTCGAGCGAATTCGGCTTTCTGGGCTCAAATCTGTCGAAGACAACGACGAAGACGATAGTAACAGTGACAAGGAGAATCAACCTTTATCTCAAAGGCCTGCGAAGAGGGCAAGAATCGACAACCACCACAACATTGATGATTCAGGCATCGCCGCCTTTTCTCACAAACACTTATCTGTCGAAAATTCTTCTCCAGCAAATCCTCCTCCAATTATCCTTCCTAACGATGACATCTCAAATCCATTTCGCTTTTCTCAACCCCACGACATGTTTGATGTCGCTATGACTAGCACTTCCTCGTATCAGCTCGAACAAGGAGACCATTTCTTTCAGCAGCAGCTATTTGATGAAGACGCCTATCCGATGTCGCAATTCTCTACCGGTATCAGGGAGGACTCTCAGTCTCAACAAGGGCCTTTCCAGCCCTTATCCTTTGAATCAAACGAGGCCTTGTCGCAACACATTACCCGGAGAGAAACCTCTATGGAGCCTCATAGCGCGCCACCTCGGATGATTTGTCTTTATGAACCTGATATTATAGGCACGGACGCTAACGAATATACTGTCACTAATAGTATTGCGCCTGCTTTATCTACCCAGCCTGCCCCTGACCTTCTTCCTCGTTCTCTTGCTGACTCTACTCCCATTACAAACGATGCCATATTCATCCCCGAGATTGCAACTCATCCTCTTGGTATAACCGACTTCCTTAAGCTACGCGCCAAATGCACCAATTCTACCGAGTTTCCATCTGCAACTGCTCACCCTTGTGCCCCTGATGTTCAAGTCGAAAGTGCCATTCCCGAAGCACCTCGAACAGCACCTCCTGAAATCTTTGACAAAAACACTCTACGTCTACCGACCCGCGGTGCTCCATCCAGTGCACATCTCTATATGGCATCCATGGGAACCCTGCAAAAGCAAGTTTTGATCCGAACTCTTCGCTCGAACTTGTGTGCCGTTGGACTTGTGGAACGCGACCACCTTTCCAACGTCGACCTCATCCTCGACCCTAACACTGCAATCGTCTTCGCAAGTCTAATCTCTCTAAGTTCTCAACGTGAAGCCGTTCTGTCGACAGTTTCTGAGCAGTCCTGGCGGTATACGAACTTACTCGTCATCTTCGAAGCGTACCCAATGTCTGCTTCGTACAAAGCATCTGCACCTGTGCCGTTGAATGCGTACACACCTCCGAATCTCAAGGCAATAGGACGCTTTAGGCGTGACGTTGACCTTGCCGAAGCTTGTGACAAGAAGAGCCCCGCTTGTCGAGTTCGAATGGCATTCGCCGATACCGTAGAAGATGCCGCTATGCTTGTGAGATATTTCGGTGATGTTGCCGAGACCGAAGATGTATCACAGGGGATGGTATGGGGGGATCGGAGCTGGCTCGATGGCGAAGTACCAGAAGTTCGTACAGATATCGCTTCTTATTTCTTGGCGTGCAGCTGATTAGGCCACAGGAAGAGGAAAGTTTGGCAGCTGTTTCTGGCATGAACCGGTTTGCTGCATATGTCATTCTGTGCCAAATCACGGTAGAGCAGTTCTTGGACTTGTCGCCGCAGGAGAGAATTGACAGGTTCGGGATCTATGTTGGTTACGAGCGAATGGTAACGGATTTGGCATTAATGTAAGATATGTGAAGCTGATGAATGATATGATTAGGTATCTGTGAACGCTTTTGTAGAGGCTCGAAGTCGTGTCATCGAATCCTCCGATCTGGATGATTCGGACTTGGCTGATGGTGTGTATATGAATCATTCTTAGGCTCTGTTTAAGTCTGGTGGTCTCTGTAGACATTGTTGTTGGAAGGTCAGGCTGGGTTTAGTTTCGTTGTACGTAGTGCTTTATGTTAATCCTTCCCCAATGCTTGTTTTGCATGTTGAAAAGGTACGAGTTATCTAGCCGATGATTAAGATGTGGCAATCTTAAGCAGGTAGTCCAGGCAGTAGGCCCGCAAGCAGCGAAGGGTTGGTATTATTACGTGACAAAGTCCCCCAAGAAACTCACAGAATATGATTAATACACTGATACTCTAGCAGAGCTATCGCATACGTAAATTTCTACTGGTATCTCGAACTAAAGTAGAGGCTGAAACTGAAAGATAGCCTGACGCTGTGTCAACATAGCCTATGATCTACTTGCGCAACTTTGAAGAAAGATAAAACGCTGAGTAACAGTTGGTAGTTTCTTGTGGTTTCCTTCCTTTAGCTTGCTACTTGCCATGATTGACAAATGTTCCCTCCCGTGCGACCTCACCCCGGAAGATGCGCCTCCTTCGTACGATGCTAGTACGAGTGGGAATGCCCAGACAAACGTCGATTCGAAGAACCAAGCTGTAAATACAATTTCCGGCCCATCTTCAGGTCGGTCTCCTACCACCCAACGGGTCTTCCATGGGGGCCTGGCTGCCCAGTCATACAGTTTTCCGTTCGGTTGGTTCTCTGCTCGCTCCTCTAGAGAAATCAAGTCCACTATAATATCTCTCGTACAAGACCTTGTTCGGCCAACAAGTTTATCTGGAGTATGCAACGAAATCCTCTCCAGTTGTGCCCAAACTTGTGCTTCTTATTCCATGTCCCTGTCTTCCATCCTGCAGGAAAGGTTCTGTGAAGACCACACGCCCTTATATTGGGCGATCATAAACAAGCCACGGCAGACGGAAGAGAAGAGTGAAGAGATCCTTTCAGCTCTTCTACGCTACTCAGTGCCACCGACACTCTCGACGATATCCGAGATCCGTCTAGCGTGTCTCGTCAGTTCAGACCAGAATCTTTTCCGGCAGCTTCGATGCGAGCTCAAACCCATCTCAGGAATGGACGAAATGCTCCTCGGCACGACGGGTAGTGACAATGTACGCGTTGTGGATACCAATGCCACGGAGGGTGCATTTGCCGCAGAGATTGAGATAAGCCGGTTTCAGAAACGCATGCGTGTAGGAAAGGAAGTGGAAGTGGAATTCATTGCCCAAGCGCATTTATGGCTGCTATCATTTTTTGTGATGCCCCAATATAAGCCCGGTAGTCCTCGACGGGGCTCATGGTGCGTCGGGCTATCTTTGATGGAGAGCAGTCCGCCAACATGGGTGGATTCGAGGTTAATCATCCAAGATCAGCCTGCCCAGGACGTAGTAGATGAAGAATCACCGCCGAAAAAAATGATATCTTTGAGGATAAAGTCCCCAGCGGAGCTGATCTCAACCAATACTTTCGCTCATGCCAGCAGACGAAGCAGGCAGTCGCCTCACTGGAGGATAGTACTATAGGTCAAACCCTGCAGTTTTGGTAAGCAGTCACATTCTTACTCTTCACCTTTTGTTGATTAACATCTAGTGGAACGTCTTACATAGCCGATGATGAAGTTCTGCGCGCGCGATTAGAAGTCCGTTTGTGCAAGCCAGGACTTGAGTGTGTTATCATGTGAAAGTCTATCTTCCTGACACTGCAGAAGATATCCATGTAAGCTCTGCTATTCATCTCAAAACAATGAATCGACAAGAGCCTAGATTACCCGAAATAATCAACAATATTCCTAAGCCTATGGTGATCTCTAACTCATCGAATTCGCCGATCCTTCCCTCAGTAATCTGCAGCGTAAATGAACTAAGTCAGAAGTGCAATCCACCTGTCAAGATATTTCCACCCACCTCCGACCACATCCCTGAGCCGCACTCAAAAAGAAAAGTCGCTTTGATTCCCACCAATTTGTCCAGGATCCTCAAGACGTCGCTATCTGATATCAGATAGTCTGAGTCATTACCCTCTAATGTCTCCGCCAACTCCACGATTTCAAACCCTTGCAAGTCGCTAGCGACGTTAAATGCCCCGAGTAAAATGTCAACAGCCTCACTATGCCGATTGTCGAAGTCCTTAAAAGTGCTTGACTTGCGGATGGCTGCTAAACGAGGTCCTCGTAGGGAATAGGGTAATCACTGGCAAACCAGACTTTACGAATATCAACTGAGTGGAGTGCATCGTGTGGGACAGACTCCATACGCCAATGGACCATGACGTATTTTTCTGGCGAGGCAAGCCTTGATGCGAGCGAGGGCAGAAGCGGCGAGTAAGCGAGCTGCAGAGTGCTTGAAGAGGGGAATATGGGGTAGCGAAGACCGTAGTTTACGACAAGAACGTCGGGGTCTCACTGGTAAGCTTGAATAATGCAAAGGAGCTCCTTGAAGATAGGCTGTCTGAGTTTCGAAGGATTAAGGTATACAGCGTCGAACCCCCCGGAAGTCCGAGTGCTGAAATGTGTTGCAAAACATTCGGGGAGAGATGAGATGTCGTTTTGAGTAAGATATACATTGATTTTATCGATGACTATCGGAGTCGATGTCATGTTGGGGTTGACTTTCCATGCCAGAGTGAAAATATGTGTACTTTGACGGGAGCTCCCTCGCTGGAAGTCTTCCAAACTAATCACATCAGCATCAGCAAGTTTGAGCTTCTCGATGTCGTAGTATGTGTCAAATTCCAGTGGGTCACAAACGCCTATGCGACCTTTTCCCACTTCTGGAAGTACGACGGTCCTGTTAAGCTCTTTGGATAGCTGGATAATCTGTACTATGAACGTGCTTTGTACTCCTGTTCAGATATTCGAGCGGGAAACAGAAACCGGGTTGGGTCATCAAAAGGTTCTGGAATTTGAGTGATGAGAGGCGGCCACTTAAGGGAGCGAGAATCGCTTGTGGGTGCAGAAAGTTGATCAAGAAATGTACGGTCGATGACAGAGATTTTCCATCGCGAAGGTAGATATGCGACAGATTGAGAAGCAGACCGTGTATTAGGTAGGATGATCCTTTCTCGCTGTGCATCGTTTGCAGCCATCTCCTCGTTCGCATTATGGGCTTCCACTACCACCCAAGGCGCTCGAGCGATTGGTAGAGGATGGAGATAAAGGTAAGGTCGACATATCCATTCAATCCGTAGAAAAAGAGGCAGCGACAGGCAAACCGCACTTGTCCACAACGCCATCGCCGAAGACAGCGCATATATGAGAAACCGTGACGCCTTTGAGAGATCTTGAAATTATCTTGAAGAGGGCGCAAGCACTGGATGAAGGTCGTACAGTTTTGCTCGAGAACGCAGGGAAGGACTGGGCCCTACAGGCGTTATGGTGGTTACTGGTTGCGGTGTCTGTTTAGTTGTGCTTCGAATTCGATGACATGGGAAAAAGTAGCTGAATTTTCAGGTTCTGCTCAGATAGTAGATTCTATGTTCCGTTCATTATCGATTATGAAATGCCGCCGACCCGGAAGTAATACAAAGATTACCACTTCTAGTGTTATATCCACATCTACGTACGGGAAGAATTAGGTGTAAGAAGGTTGTTGCGTATTATAACGATGTCTTCACTGGTAAGGCCTAGATAGGTTTTCACGTATTCTTCTACTCCGTTATATGCGTCTGCAAGGTGTGCAAGAAAGGCGAGCATCGTCTCCCGGCTGAAAAAAAATCCATGTTATTCACCCGATGATCGTAATGTGTCTGCCAGAGACATACCGACAAGTCAGCATGTTTAACGCAGCCTGGTTATTGGAAGCAAAGAGAGGTTCCTTGGAAAGGCGTTGTAATATCATCGCACGGGCAGGTTCCCGCCCGACACGAGATAAAGCATAGTCGTCTGCTATACTATCATCGTCGACCCCCGCAAGCTAGAATCCGGGTCAGTTCTCATCAGTACCAGCAAAGCTAGACCAACCTTCAAAAGTATCGCCGCAACAACACCAGTCCTGTCTTTCCCAGCAGTACAGTTAAATACTAGTCCTTCGTTTGGTCTGTCACGAACATGGCGAAGGATGGTGCTAAACGCGGGACCGCCATTGTCCAGTATCTGGGAATAAAGCTCCATAAATGCCTGTAGGATGTCCCAGTCAGCTCCTTGGACCATGCGACAGTTGAAGTCATTGCGTACCGCTATATCTCCCCTAGCGTATAGCTGATAGCGCCTAAACGCAAGATAAGCCATTGCATCACGATTGGCGATATCCCCAACACGTACGTACTTGGCCATCACCTCAGGGCTGTAGTCTTCCAGCTTAAATACCGGGGTTCTAATTACATCGACACCCTCTATCTCTGGCAACGGTGTGTTGTATTTCGCCATCTCGGTATCTGATCGTAGGTCGTATACCTTTGTGATACCCAATTTCTTGACTTGTTCTTTGCCTAGATATTCTCGGTCAAGATCAGGGATACAGGGCATCATCGAATCCAGCAAACCTTCTTCAGTGATACCAGAGAGCTCGGCTGAGCGAAAGATGAAGCCTGGTCTTGTGATGTGGGTTGGAAGTGTCACTGAGGGATACAAGCCCAAATCCCTAACATTTATTACGCCGGATATCTTCACGAACGGATGTCGAGAAAGCAATCCAGATACGTAGGCAGGATCAAGAGGCGTCAATTCGTTCGTAACGGCCATTAGGGGAAAAGTAGCAGTGAAAAGTAACAGATCAAGACGAGAATCGCTTTGTCCTTGCTTGCACGGAAAGCAATCTTGGCCAATATTGCGTCATACATAACTTGCCGTGTACAGGTGCATTAAAGGGAATATGTGTATACTAATCCGGTGTATATGATAGCAAAGAAACGGATAGCCAAGTCAAAACAATGACGGTAAGAATTAAACAGCCCTCGGTGATTGAGACTACGACCTGGCGTTCCGATTCAAGCTGCTCGTCCGCCTCTGTTTCTGGGCTTGCTGCGCCAACGCCGCCGCCGCAGTTGGGAGACCACCGGTTGGTGAAAGCGCACTAGCCAACATCCCACTGTTCCCCCTTGCCCGTGGATTCAAAGGGGACAATGCACCGTTTCGAGGTGAGAATGGCGTATTTGAACCCGGTACAGGTACCGAAGGTGCATTGGCGTGAATCGACATATCACCAGTCACTTTTCTCCGTATGGGTGGCCTTACCCCTGCGTTACGAACGGTTCGTTCTCCTGAATCAAGCGGTCTTTCAAGGTCAGCATATTCAGAGAATGACGTGGTATCTGTGCCCAATGCCTGGCGTCGCGCCTTCTCATGTTTGGCCTGCACCAAACGGAAGTGCTGCACGAGTTCCTGCCATTTTATCTCATCGCGACCAATCTTGGACCGGGTAGATATTGTCCCAACAGTCCTAAATTATGAAGATTTAGTGAAGCCTGCGAATCGATTGAACGACTCACGATTTCGGAGCAATATGAAGGAATCCAGCCGAGTTAACAGCATTCAATCGGTTTCTCAAGGACACAAAGGCGGAGCTCTGCGGTAACAGCATGAGGAGGCCGTAGAGGCACTTGAAAAGATGGGGATATCGCTCAGGTTCTAGCAGTTGGAGGCGAATATCTAAAAGATCTGCTCAGGACGTAACTGCGACATGAAAATGGGTTGCTCACACGTAAAAACAGGTGACTCGATGAGCTGCACTAGCTTGTCAATCTGTACTAGCATTGGCACAGTGATTTCTAGGTCGGCACTTGTGGAGAGGCCAGGCGTCACTCAAACTGACATCTTCATGTGGAAGTCAATTGACGTACAAGATGTAGAGAAGATTTGACGCATGTTCATATGCTTGTGCTAGCAAACATAGGGAAAAGACAGCGACTGCGTTATGACACCAAGACCGATATAGGGTAGTGAATAGCGCCTGCCCATCTTGCTGATGGGTTTGTCAATGACGTCTGAAGGTGAATTAAATCAATGGCTTACACGTGTTTCAAGACTCTTGAGACGTTTTCTGAAGTCAGCTAGCTCTGGTGATGTAATAAGGATGATATTCAACTTCTGAACCATCCCACTGGCGAACTCAAGATCCTGTGAGGGGTTTAGAAAATGAGAAGCAAGCTTTCGGGTCCACGTACATCTTCTTTTTCGAGGATCTCGGCGAACGTTCGATATATTCTTTCAGTGTTGAGGTTCAGACACAACTGTCTGATGATGAGACTGCCTCGCGTTTCTAGTAGTCTGCGGTCGGTGCTGAAAAGCTCTAGCAAATTCATCATGAAAGCCTTGAAATAAGTCTCTTCTGAGCTTGACGAGATTTGAGCCAGAAGTTGCAAGTCATGCTTGATAACCTAGCCCACTACGGATTAGTCGACAACAAAGTGCATCCACAGATGGAACCAACCTCTTCCGAACTATCCGACAGTGTCTTAAGTAATGCCGGAAACGTGCCATCGTCCATAGCTAGAATCTAGACAGAAGATGGTTATTATACAACTTGGATAACAGAAGCTGTGAGCTTGCCTTTTTGGGAGCTTTCTGATGCAGCATGATGAGCCACTTAAGAGCTGCCACTCGTGTCTCTTCAAACTCGCTTAGGAACTGAATCGTTAATTCGTTCACGTTAGCTTGGTAATCGAAAGGGTCTGGCTCTTCCTGGATTGTCTCCGGAGGAACGCTAGTGTTTGGTCCAGTCGTTTGACTTTTAAGAGATATAGGTGAATGTGATCGACTAGATCCTGTATTCGTCTGTATATCAACAACGGGGGCGGGTCGCGGCGTCAAAGTCGTGTCCACGCCACTCCCCCGACTTCGGGAAAGTCCACTAAGTCCCGTGCCGGCATTAGCAGGTGCTGTAGTCGTTTCTGCTGCAGATTCGGGTGATGAGGCTTCTCTGGTGGAATCTTTTCCCGTCGTGGACTGCCGCGAATTTGAGGCCGACGTAGCTGGTGTAGGAGAAGCACGATTTCTGGCGGGTGCGACTTTGTCACGCGGCGATGCTTCAGATGGGGAAGGGAGGTTCTGGATGACGTTCAAGAGAAGCTTATTGGCGCGGATGGCCACTGATTGAATCATGCTGACGTGGTGAGCGAGGTTGGGTAGTATTGCGGGAATGAGACGAGGAGTAAAAGGAAGCATGACATCCGAAGCGAAGGTCAAAAATTCTGCCAACCATCGCAGAGCGGTGGACTGTTGGATTTCGTCATCTGCGCCGATTTCATGAAGACGTAACAAAAATGACATTATTATAAAACTTACGTTCTCCATCCAACTGCTGGATCAGTATTTCTACAATCGCCAAATAGTCTATTCTGACTCCTTGTCCAGGAATCCAGACTGCCACGGGAGTTAATATACCAAGGCGGTGAGACATGGTGCGGATCACTGACCACCGGCATCCCGAAAGTCAATATCAGATGTGAGATCATCTCTGAGATGGTCGGGATCATAGGAAGAACGTTCATCTTGATCAATAATAAATGCTGCACGCTCTGCATCCTCAATCGGAGTATCAAGAATTTTTTCACTTGCGTTATCTGATCGCCTAGAATCAGATTTCTCGCTGTATTTCGACTGTTGAAGGGGAGACTCTGTTATTTGCTTCCGAACCACACTTATATCGCGTATCTCGCGAAGAAATTCCGCAAGTAGGGTTTCGGTCGCTACGCGTACGTCTTCGATGGGGTCGGAGAGGTACTTGCTATGCAAAGTTGATGAGGTTCATTTGGCATTTGAATCGGAAGCACGTACAGAAGCCCGTCTAGAAATTCTGGAAGATATGAAATCAGCTCGAGTTCCGGGACCGAGTCTAAAACGGTGATCCAGGACACTAGGTAACTTCTTGTGAAAGGACTGACGACATAAATACGCTCGCGAAGTAGCGGAATGAAGTGTGCAAGAGAGAAGGCCTTCCTGGGTCCTTCACCATCATTTCCAAGAGTGCCGTCAGGATGTGTTACCAAAACGCCTTGAACTTGATCGCGGACCTTTTCGGTTTCAGGATACTGAGGAATATAGACAGAGGCTGATTCGGCAACAATGTCTTTCAGAAGACGATCCAAAAGCTCAGCGCCGTTCTTTACCGACAACTCCGAATCAGCTGCGAGCTATACACAAGGTTAGTCATAGCGCAAAGCAAGGAGGAAGAATACACACCTTGCTCAAGGCATCGAATATCTCATTGAAATACACCAGAACCTCTCCCTTCGACACCTTCGCTATGTTGTATAGACACTCTGCTGAAAAGTAGCGTATCCTGTTTTCGGGGTCGACGAAACAATCCAATAAGGGGTGCACGAACTTATCCATGTACGGTGCGACATCAACACTTAATGCAATAGCAGTGCCGGCCAGCCCTATTAAGCCGCCGTTACGCATATGTAAAGGGTTGGCCGGATTGTTGAACATTTCGACGAGTTGGTCGATTATCTGGGTAATACGCCGTTCGTCCCCTTGCTGGTGACATTCTCGAATCTGTCTTCACATCATCACCACAGTCAATGAAATTCCTCGCCAATGCCAAAGGGGACCCTCACTTCTCAAGGTCAAGGGCAGCCGCCTTCCGCTTCTCGTAGATTTTGTCAATGAGTTGTTTGGCAATAGCCGATTCTGCATGACGAATCAGAAGACATTTCTACTGTAGCAAGGCAAAGCGTACCCATAGGTAGTCAGACGCTTACGCTGACAGGGTAGGGTTCATGGGGAAATGTGGAATAAAGGAGAGGGAGCTGCGTGATTTGAGACGCGTCGAACGGTTCCCCGACAGTGGCTGTGTAAGGAGTGCTGCTTGGCAAGAGGCTCGGGCCAAACACAGCTATTTTGAGACCACCACAACTCCTTGCTCATCATGGACGAAGACATCATTGTCGTCGACGACGCTGAGGCTCCACCATCTCAAGCCGGACCATCCAAAGTCAATGGATTTAGTGGTGTATCAGATTTATCTGCAAAACCTTCACCGACCGGTGCTGGAGAAAGACATTCTTCTCGTCTTCGAACAACAAGTGCTGCTGCCCGGGCTGCAATGGACGCTGCTAACGAGCGGACGACACGATCTACAGGAATAAAGAACAAGCCACCTCCGAAACTAAAACTTAAACTGAGTGAGAAAGCGGCAGCACAAGCTCCAGGAATGTCATTTCTGGGCCAGTACGACCGAGAACTGGATTCGGATGACGAAGAACTCGCATTCGAAGAGCAGTTCATTCTGCGTATGCCAGCGGGAGAGGATTGTGAGAAGTTAAGGAAGATGGTCGCTGCTCGGGAGATACCTAATGATGTCTGGTTCAAGTTCAAAGGTGCGCGAATTATACCTGCCGTTGTATTTTTGCCTTGACTCGTACACGAAGACTCTCGCCGTGCCGTATTTCGTATTGGTAATTCAACGTATTCCTCGAAACTCGTGGATCTGCCCTGTATTATTGAGTCCCAGAAAACGCTGGATAACAAACAAATGTTCAAAGTTGCGGACATATGTCAAGTCGGTCCTAATTTTTCGTTTTCCGGAGGTCCATAGATGATTGATAAGCCTCTGGCAGATGCTTGTTGTTGAAAATCGCGTCGAGAACGATGATGCCGCCATGAACCAGAAGAGCTTCAATATTGAAGAGTTCATTTGGCCGCATGGTATCACCCCACCACTGCATCATGTCCGGAAACGAAGATTTCGCAAAAGGATAAATAGAAGGGTGATTTATTTTGTGCCCGACCTGTCGAATGTCTTCGAACTAATGTCATGATAGACCATTGAGAGCGTGGAGCAAGCAGTCGAAAGGCTTCTTGAGGAAGACACGCTGGCAACAGAAGTCAAATACGGTGGGTGACACTTGCGTGATAAATTTTTATACTAATTTTTTCATTAGAGGTACTTGAAAATGTCAATCCTGACTTGTCGGACTCAGAATTCATTGAACGAGAAGAAGCAATCGACGCTGCGACACCCGCTATATCTGATATTGGTGACGCCGCCACACCCGGAGGAGATATCGGAGAATACGAGGCCGAAGGCGATGAGGAGGAAGAGGAAGAACCTGACGGGGACATTGATGAAGAGTTGGCGGCGGAGCTCGACTTGGCCCTCGGTGACGAACAGCAAGGTGATGGTGATGAGGATGAGGACGACGAGGACGATGAAAGCGAGGAAGATGAAGATGATGAAGATGATGAGGAGGCCCAAGCAAGGAAGTTGTTGAACGAAGAAATTCGTGATTTGGAAGCGGCGGTGGCGAAAAAGGGTAACGAGATTGCAAGCTCTTCCAATCCGCTCATTAGGGTCTGTATTTGCTGGATTTTTTTTTTGCGCTCTTGTTTCTGACATGCTGCCAATGATAGAAACGGTTCGAAGATGCCCTGAAGAAATTGACTTATGACCTAGAAACTAAGATTGTTCAACGGGATGAACTACAGGAAATGCAGCGGTTGAAGAAGGAGGGTATTACTCTCGATGATAACCGCGAGTCTGACTCCGACGGAGACAGAAATGATGATGGCGATATGGATCGAGGCGGGGAAGGTCCAATGGAAATTGACTGACATTCTGCCCGAGTACTTGTTGCATTCCTATTATTTTTGTGTACTGCTTATACTCTTTCTTCGATCTCGATAGATCCTCTTTTCCCTGAGTGTTTACTCGTAATGGCTTTCCTAGAGTTCTTTGACGACTTCTCGTGACGGGCTCAGATCACTTGAGATCAGCATCAGCAATATTCGTGGCGTTCGAGAGTAAAGAAGTGTTATCTGGGAAGATGTGACATCCTCTCCATTTTTTATATTCTTCACCTGGATCTCTTTTTCACTTCGATTGCAATCGTAAAGATGCCACCATTCCATTCCATTCCACTTTCCTCTATCCAAAGACGGTCAGCCTCCTCAGAGGTAGTCACTGCAACTAAATCTATACCGATTCAGAATCAAGAATCAGGACATCCTAGTCAAATCCGACCGCGGAAACAGCCAGATACGTATATCCTCCGACACGTCCAGCATGTCGGTCATACCTCTTAACGGTTATAATGAGCGTTCTTGTCACAAGAAAAAGAGTGCGTGTTAGAATCCGGATCTAAAGAACAGATAACTCAGTCTCGACACGTCGGTGCGTTAACGGACTGAGGAAAGAGTTGGGATAAGAGGCTGTGCTACTTAAATAGTGAGAGAACAAAGGAGAGTCCTTGGTGCTTGCCGAGAACAATAACCAGGTGCCAACACTCCTCCTTCATTGAAGCCCCATGAAACTTTGAAGATGGATGAATGCCATCAGTTCTAAAGCTTTTGTAAAGCAATCAGCAACATTGTTCTTTGTGTTAATATAGGATAGGGTGACTTCTTTGCTTTTGACTCATTCTTGAATGAAATGGTACTTTATGTTGATGTGCTTCACCTGGGTATGCAAGGATGGGTCCTCTGAGAGATTGATGGCACTATTGTTGTCATATAATAGAGGAGTTGAGTCCTTTTGTTCAAAACTGAGTCCTGACAATAGTGCTCTGATCCAAATAGCCACCTTCATTCATTCACATGCTGTGACATACTCTGCTTCACATGATGATGTAGCAACTGTTTGCTGCTTTTTGGCATTCCATAAAATCATGTCTGAACCCAGGGTGAAGCAATTGTTATGATTTTTCCCTTTTCTTTTCTATTCTGACCCCTATTTATGCTTAGTCAGGGCACTTAGACCAGGCACTTAGGACAGTGAGACAGGCTTAGTCACCATAATAGGCCAAGTCTGCCATTGTCCTCTGATGCAGACCCCCTCACTCTCAATGACAGACAATACTCTTTTGTAGATAGTAACAATGCTCAAAGACAAGGAGCACTATAGCATAGAAATGCACAATTAGTAGAGATATATTTAACTTGAACTCAAACAGTATATAAGTAGTATAGCTCTCACTGTATATCCCTAGCTTTGAGCTAAAGTTTATTCTTCTATCACTTCATCTTGAGCCAACTGTCCTTGGCCTTGAAGCATTAGATCAACAGACACATATAGTGAACTCTGACATGACTGTATGAACTCAATACAGCATCAGTTTGTCATGTGTTTAGATCATATGCAACTTGAGCTTAACAATTAGCTCAAAGCTTCTAACTTTTCTTTTCTTACACACAACACACATGAAGAAAACTGAATGCCACTATCAAACACATCAACCTCTGATCTCACAGATGACTTATTTAGGCTTTTAGCCTCAATCATCAGAACTCTCTTAGGGCTCCTAGCCATCACTCAACTTTGTTGAGAACAACAATCAGTAACTGCCTGGATAGTCCAGCACTACCACACTTTCAAACAAATACAACAGATTCTATAAAATGTCATTTTCCATGACATTCCAGCCTCTGTCCAAGCTTTCTTTCAGCCTATGTTTAGACCCATACCTAAAGCCTAATCTGGTGGCACAGGTTTGTGAGTTTATGTGGAGAAAGAAGGACACTGATACCCTCTAGGATCTCACTAATCAGACAGCAGAAATGGCAACACTCAGCACACTGGGTTTAGAAACTCATAGATGCAGCCAATGAACCTCTCTCTGGTCTCAGACTATGAGGACAAGAATCTCCCTGAGGACTTCTTTGATACCAAGCCATCCTCTGACCCTTTCACTGTCTCACCTGAGCACAGAATTGGCAACTGTGTCTGAGACTCTTTTGATGCCTCTTGAATGGCTCTAGACTCTGAATACAGCTCTCTCTATATGACCCTGGAAGAGAGCTCCACCTCCTCTATTCACACTGATTATGGAAGTGAAGAGCTCTCAGGCTTTAGGTCCAGCAACAAGAATGTCTGGCCGAAAGGACTCTACAGGTGTCCAGAGAACAGAAGTTTTGAACAGACTCCATAGTCTGAAGATGTAGAAGCAGAACACACCTGCCAGCAAGAAGAACATAAAGCTAACCAGTATAATGCAGAATACTAAAAACACCAGTGTGAGCTCAAGGCTGCCACCTGAGGATCTGCTTCTTCAGAGTGATATGAGCTCAGAATAGAAACCTCAGATTTCTTATTCCAGGAGCCCAGCACAGCAGCATCAGACTTATAGACAAAATCTGCTGAAGTTATCACCACCAGCAAAGCAGCATAGTGAAATGGCTACCCCTCTCTTCTCAGAAATACTAATACCTCTGAGTGAGATATCATTCTCTCAGAAGCCAAATCCATTCTTGACACCTACAGACTTTAGGTTCCTCCCAATGTCTACATTAGTGACCACAGCCTTTGACAATTTCTTGGTGGAAGGGTCACAGGACTCTTTCTCAATCTATACTTTTATCAAAACTTCTGCCAGTGTCACCATGAACTGGAGGAACAAGAGATATGCAGAGACACTGGAGTCAGATCTAATTGATCTCAGTCACAGTCTTCTCTTAGGATCAGTCTCAACATCACCAAACCCAGTATCTGAAATGAAGAGCAGTTCATCCACAATGATCAAACCTTACAATCTGTCAATCTACAACCAGCCCAACAGCTATCTTGTTAAGAATAATAAGGAGGATGAAGGAGGCAAGACAGATGAGGAAAATAAGGACAAGGAGGTGGAAATACCACTTAAATGAAGAGACTGAAAACAATGCACAGAGTCAATAGACAGAGAGATACTTAAAGAAGAAATACAGTACAAACAGAAGAAAGAATATCTAAGGCTATATCAGAAGGAGGTAGCCACTTTATGGAGAGACATCAGCTGATTGATGATGCTCTTAGAATGAGAGTACAGTTCACTATCTCACAATGCATGATGTCAAAATGCATAATTCTGACTTTGCATACAGATTGGACTGGAACACAGTTGGAGAGCAGAAAAATAGGCTAGAAATGCATATCACATAATGCATATATTTTTAGTTAGAAATATGCATTGCCAGATCCAAAATTGTAGTAAGCCAATATAATATTATGCATATATTAGAACAATAAAGAACATAATTTGTTTGTATAGACTATGACAAATACAAAAAAAATTATTGTAAAGCAACACAGCCTATATCTCTATAAACATGCCTCCTGAACCAATATGAAAACCACATGCTAAACCTGGAAATCTATATGAGCATACAAAACAGGAGGAAAAAGTTCTAATATACACATCATCAGCTCAGCCTCCAAAGCAAATCTCTCACTCACACCTCACAACAGGAGATTGGCTTATAGTATTCAAATATGTTGATAACCATCCTTCCCATTGACATGCTGACATTGTGGCACATTTTGCAAACTGAAAGGAAGGTGTACTTCTCTTTATCCAACCAACTCTTTTATAGAAACTGGCATCTTGTACAAAAATCAAACAGCATGCAAATAAGAACTCTAATGCACTATCATCTAAAAAGTCTCATATTGTCACTCAATCTGATGTGGAGTGTGCTGTTGCATCCTGGTATTAGAATATACAGCTTCAAGATGAAACTGTGACCAGTGCAATGCTGATAGAAAAGTGAAATTGGATTGAAAATCTGATGAATATTCTAAAGAATCAGTGTTTGAAAGGAGAGAGATGGTTGAGGTCATTCTGCAAGGCATAAAAGATTCAGGAGGTTCAGCAGCATGAAGAAGCAGGCTCAGTGGATATGATGGCAGTGGAAAAAGAATGTGTGTGCCTTCACAGCATTATAGTGAAATATATAATGCAGAATAGATGGAATATTAATGGATCTGATCTTGTCATCTTTGCTATCCCAGATCATACCTTGGCATCTGGTCCTATGAGTGGACAGAAACAGAACAAGTCTGCATCACCATATGTTTTACTGTGAATGCAGATAGAAGTGAGCAGGTGCCAGTTGTTTTCATTGGAAAGTTGAAGCAACTGCAGTGTTTCAAAAAAAAAAGTCCAACAGCAATGAGATTCTATTATTGGAATAACAAGAAGGCCTGGATGACAAGCAAAATATTTACAGAGTGAGTGAAGATGTTTGATTTAAAGATAAAAAGAGAGATATGATAGGTTCTGCTGACTTTAGACAACTTTTGAGAGCATTCCATCACTTATATACTCCATAACACAAAGCTGGAGTTCTTTGAGCCCAACATGACTCCATATATCCAGCCACTAGATGCTGGTATTATCTGCTGCTTCAAGACATATTATCAGAATGCTATATGTATCTGTGCACTTGATCTCAATGATCTTGGAGAGTCTGAGATCTTTAAGCTTGATCTCCTTGAAGCTATGACTATTGCTTGTGATGCTTGGGCAAATGTTAGCAGTGAAACAATAGCAAACTGCTGGAAACACACTGGTATAATGTCTGACAATGCACTTGAGTCACAGTCCATCACACTATCTAATGATTTCCAAGATGCCTTACTTCTCAAGTCTGCATGAAACCTTGTTTATGACTTTGCCTCAACAGACAAATACATGCTTTCAGGGATTGAACAGACATTGCAGGATCTGCTTGGAAACCAATATGCTGATGCTGACTGGTGTCCTGCTCTTATAGCTGTTATGAATGCAGAGAATGATGTTGGTAAAGCACTGAAGACAGTCAATCAGTTGGCTCCTTTGTCATAGTTAAAAATAAACACACCTTCCACCCAAATTGCTCTCATTCAACAGCTCCAGACAGCAGAAATAATGTTAAAAGACCACCTTGTCAAATTAAAACAATGAAATTGCATGTTTGGTCTTATTTCAACTATTGAAGAGATGATTAGCCCTATTGCAGAAGAGTATATTGAAGATCTTGAGGCAATGCCAACAGATGAGAAGATTGTTGCTGCTGTCAAGTATAATATTGCAGTAAAAAATGGAGAAATAACTGTCATTGATGATGATGAGAAGAAAGAGAAGAAAGAGGAGGATGAGGAAGAATAGACCTTAATAACTACAAGAGAAGGATTTGAGCTTATTTGAAAGCTGGAGGCATTTTGTGTTTCACAAGGTGACTAGGGTGGATTAGTATCACAGCTGAAAAAGTTGAGAGGAGCATTATTCAAGGAGATGCATGAAAAGCTGACCCAAAAGCCACTGACAGCATTTTGGGGCAATGACAATATTGTCATATAAGTTATATGTCACATCATATGCTATTTTGGTTCTGCATAAATCTATAAATGCATATGGTTTTGGTGTCTCTTGATCATATGCATTGTGAGATAGTCAACTGTATAAAGTCACATCTGACATTGAAAAAATTGACATTTTATGGTATGCTGCAACTGAACAAGCAATTTTCATCTATAATGAGACATATCTCAAAGACTTATTGGAGAAACTCTCAGCATATGAGTCTAAGTACAAGATTCAACTAATACTATGGACTCTATCAGTCACTCCAAGATGAGCCATATATATAGCACCATTTATCCAAACCACCAGTATCTGATATATATACTCAATGTCATCTATTCAAAGCTCTGCTAATTAGCTTGCCCAGTCACAACCACAGCCAACCAGCCAGCCTACTGAATTCTAAAACCTCTAGACTGGTAAGGGAAGCCAACTCCTTAGTGGTCAACTGCTACCAGATGAAGCTGATATCAGCAGAAAGACTCTAGAAAGAGATGATCTGGAAGCTATCAAGCTCAGATTCACTATGCAAAATGAAATTATCATACAAAAGGAAGCTGGACCAACAGAGAGCCCAATTGCCAATAATAATTCACTTCATTCATTTTCTAGTCTATCAGCTGAATGAAAATGACCACTGTTTGATCAGTACTCAAACCTGATAGGAGTATTATCTCAGGATACTGCCATCATTAATTGCTGACCTGATCTACTCCAGAAACCCTGCCTCTTTAAAGGTGCATCAGATAATATTGATTATGAGCAATACTTTGAAATATACTCTGTCTACCTCACCTTCAACATTTATTGGATTGTCTTTGCTACATTGTACCTCAAGGACAAGGC